GATCAACTCTACTTATCATAAAAGGAAGTATTGCTCAGTGGTAAATCGTTTTCTTTATATGATATAACTTAGACATTTTATCATTAGTTTGGTCTAATTGTACTATCCAGAAATCTACTTTGGAGGATAGTATTTTACCTTTAACGCTATGTAGTTAATGCTGAATTTGAAGAATCCATGGCATATCTTTTTCCAATCTCCTGTTGGTACAAACAATATACAATTTCCTTAGTTATCTCGATAACACTATATATGCGGAAATTTGTTATTCAATCAGTATAATACTATCAATTCAAATATATGTGATCAAAATTAGATAACCATTAAAGATAATATATCCTGTTCCTATATATACTCCAACCGACTCTAAAGGAAATGTGAATATCATTTGTGATAGAGAATTAATAATATATATGACCATGACCATTTAAATCCTAACACCAGATTTATTTTTGCTTAGAGAGTTCTAGCAATTGTTCCAAACAGGAATAATGAGTAAAAAAACAGCACCTAACAATGAAAACATAGAGTTCTATTCCACCCCACCTAAAAGATGGCGGAGGAATGAGGCAATCAATACTAGCAGAAGTATTCCACGTTCTAATACACCTGTCTCTAATGGTTCTGTCCCTCTACGTTCTGCATTCAATACTGTTTTGCAAGATATTACTAACCTTTCATCAACTCCTGTTATACCAACTGTTATGTCTGAGGATCCACCAACGGTTAGGTCTGCACTAAAGAAGACAATAGTAAGAGGTAGGCATTAAACATTTTATGTCATTCACAAGTTTTTTTACATAACTGTATAAAGTGCAATCATTGACTTGATAGAGTAAAGTAGTACCAATTTTCTGTAATTGATACAGGTACACCCCGTGGAAGCCACTTAACTTCTGTCTCTCCCATAAGCATTTTATCTACTTCAGTATCCACTCCATTAGGACTTAGGGATATGACCCTAGGTACTGGTCAAACTCCTCTTATGCCACCACCCTCTGAAACAAGACCAAGACTAGGTTAATTATTTGATTTTTTTAGATAAGGATAGTTTGTTATTTACTTGCTATCTTACAATCTATTTTCTTTCAGGGAACCAATGTTTTGGTAGTTCTTCATGTATAACTACCAAGCAACCATCGAGATTAATTTCTCAGACAACAAACTTGCCCAGAAAAAATCTTCATTCAGACTTTACAGATGCAGGATCATCTTCTTATCATAAAGGTAATATTTGTACCCTTAGTTTTCGACCGATATTCTACATTCATTAACTGAATAATGAACTTTTTTACAATTATATCTCCTATAGGACACTCTGCTACAGAAACTAATGATACAGACTTCATGGAGAATAGCAGTGATGAGGAGATGTATGATGCAAATTACTCTGTTGATTTGAGTGAAGATGAAGCAGTGGTGCAAAATTATGACCATAGTAGCAGTGAGGATGAAAGTTCAGTTATACATATTCAGACAATGGACGCAGATGCAAACATTGATGTTTCATCAGAACCTATTCACACTGTAGAATCAAGAAATGATCCCAATCAGCATCAAACACAACAAACAGATAATCAAACAAAAAAAAAAACACGTGTCAAGGCTAGAAAGAACATGAAATTAAGTATGTCTGAGTTTATTATTGTACTTTGAGAAATAATATGGTTATCTGATATCTGCTAACCATATATTATCTCTTTTGTTTTCAGCTTATCTTGATCATGGAGATCCTACTTACCAGTGTAAGTATTGTGGTGCTTTAATGTGGTATGCTGAGCGTATAAACAAAAGACGTAATCAAAAGGATCCTACTTTTACACTCTGTTGTGGTCAGGGTTCTGTTAAATTACCTTTTCTTAAAGAGTCACCAGATTTAATCAAGAAACTTCTTACTGGTAATGATGCACAGAGTAGAAATTACAGAAAGCATGCCAGGATCTTTAATATGGTCTTTGCAATGACCTCACTTGGTGGAAAAGTTGATAAATCTATACCGAAAGGTCACGGACCTAGCATGTTTCGAATGCAAGGAGGTAACTATCATTTGATTGGCAGTTTAAAGCCTGCAGTTGGTGACTATGCTAAGTATTCACAGTTATATATTGTTGACACTGAAAATGAAGTAGAAAACAGAGCAACTGTTATCGGGTATTAATTTCTAAGACTTTTAACTTTTTTGGATTTACTGCTTCTGTTGTTCTGTTATCTTTTCACTTAAAACTCTTTCATTACTTCCTGTTTTCTAGAAAGGGCAAGGAATCCAACCAAGGTGGAGGTAAACAGAATCTGAACAAGGAAACAATCGAAGCCATTATGAAGATGCTCAATCTCTGCAATCCTTATGTCAAGAATTTCCGAATTGCGAAGGAAAGATTTAAAGATATTAACTGCCAGCCATTTCATATGAGGATATGCTCTGGTCGTAAGGGTGTAGATGGAAGGACTTACAGCATGCCTACTACATCAGAGGTTGCAGCTTTAATACCAGGAGATTTTACAGATGATATGCCAAATCGTGATATAGTTATTGAAGAAAGAACTACAGGTCACCTCAAAAGGATTAACCAGATTCACATTTCTTATCTAGCTCTACAATATCCTCTGATTTTCTGCTATGGTGAAGATGGATATAGGCCTGGTATCGAGAAGTGTTATAAAGGGAATGTCACTAACAATAAGAAGAAAAAGTGTATTAGTATGCGTCAGTGGTTTGCTTTTCGCATTCAAGAGAGGCCTGGTGAGTGCCATACTCTGCTACTATCTAAGAGGTTGTTTCAGCAGTTTCTTTGTGACGCTTACACAACTATTGAATCTAATCGGCTATGCTACATAAGGTTCAATCAGTCTAAGCTTAGATGTGAGAACTACAGCTCCATCAAAGAAGCTGCTGACTCTGGTGTAAAAAATATGGAAGATGAAGGCAATCAAATCTTGATTCCAGCCTCATTCACTGGTGGACCTAGGTATATGGTGCAAAGTTACTATGATGCTATGGCCATATGTAAACATTACGGTTTCCCAGATTTATTCATCACATTTACATGCAACCCTAAGTGGCCTGAGATTACCAGATACGTTACAGAGAGAGGGTTAACAGCTGAAGATCGGCCAGACATTGTTGCTAGGATTTTCAAAATGAAGTTGGATTCCCTAATGAATGATCTAACAGAAAAGAAAATGCTTGGGAAGACTGTTGCCTGTAAGTTTTCTTCATTTTGATAATTCAGTGGATTAGGTGAAAGATAACATATTGAAAATGATGTGTGTATTTTTTTTTTTCAGCTATGTATACAGTCGAATTTCAGAAAAGAGGCCTTCCCCATGCTCACATTCTTTTATTCATGGATGCTAAAAGTAAACTTCCAACAGCTGCTGATATTGACAAGATGATTTCTGCTGAGATTCCAGATAAGGAGACAGAACCAGAGCTGTATGAGGTTATTAAAAATTCAATGATTCATGGTCCATGTGGTGCAGCAAATATGAATTCTCCGTGTATGGTCGATGGACAGTGTTCAAAACAGTATCCTAAGAACTATGAGGAAATCACAAAGGTTGGGCTGATGGTTTTCCTGTGTATAGGAGAAGACGCTCTGATAACTATGTTGAGAAATGTGGTATTCAATGTGACAATAGGTATGTTGTCCCTTACAATAAGAAGCTATCTGTTAGATATGGTGCTCACATCAATGTTGAATGGTGTAATCAAACCGGCTCTATTAAATACTTATTCAAGTATATTAATAAAGGTCCAGATAAAATGGCATTTGTTGTTGAGCCTGATAAACCGCCAACGACAGAACAAGGTTCAAATATAGATGGAAGCTCCGTTACTCATGAATCATTACCAGAGGAGAAAAAAAAGAATGAAATAAAAGATTATTTCGATTGCAGGTAAATTGAGTAATGTGACTTCTGTTTTACTTATTTTTATTCTATAGTCATATACTTAACATCTTAAGATTAATGATACCGTGTAAAAACTGCAGATATGTTTCTGCATCAGAGGCTATTTGGAGGATATATAAGTTTCCAATCCAGCATAAATCAACACCTGTTCAGAAGCTGTCTTTCCATGTTGAAGGGAAGCAACCAGCTTATTTTAAAGGGAAGGAGGATATAACAGAAGTATTAGAAAGAATTATCAATCAGGATTCCATGTTCATGGCCTGGCTGACATTGAATAGGCTTAATGCTATTGGAAAGAATGGAAAGCGTGCTCAAGAGCTCTTATATGCAGAAATCCCTGCATATTTTACTTGGGATGGGAATAATAAGCAGTGGAACAAGAGGTCTAGAGGGTTCTCCTTGGGTCGTATTAATTATGTTCCAAGGAAGCTAGAAGATGAATACTTTCTAAGAGTCCTCCTTAACATAGTCAGGGGTCCAACATGTTTTGCTGATATAAAAACATACAAGGGTGTTGTCTATGCAACTTACAAAGAAGCATGTTTTGCTCGTGGAATCCTAGATGATGACCAGGTATACATAGACAGTTTGGTGGATGCCAGTCAGTTTTGTTTTGGTGATTGGTTGAGGAATTTTTTCGCTATGTTGCTACTGTCTACTTCTCTTTCTAGACCAGAATATGTTTGGGAACAGGTATGGCCTTTGTTAGCTGAAGATATGCAACAGAAGAAGAGGGACGAGTTCAACAATCAAGGTTAATTCAGATATTAATTCCTGTGCCTAGATTTAATTACCTTTTTGATTAGTTCTATTTATATGGAAATCCGTTGATGTTAAATCAATCTTTTTGCAATATATGCAGAGCTGAATCTTACAGAAGCAGAAATCAAAAACTACACTCTTCAAGAACTGGAGAAAATTTTGTTGTTTAATGGAGGTACTCTTACAGATATACAAAACTTTCCCCGCCCAACTAGAGAAGGTATTGATAATTCTAATCGTTTGATCGTTGATGAGATGCGATATGACCGTCAGGATTTGACTGAAAAACATGCGGAATGGATAGAGATGTTAACACCAGAGCAGAGAGGTGTTTATGATGAAATTACTGGTGCTGTTTTCAATGAACTAGGTGGAGTTTTTTTTGTTTATGGATTTGGAGGTACAGGAAAAACGTTTATTTGGAAAACACTTTCAGCTGCTATTAGATCTAGAGGAGATATAGTTCTTAACGTGGCTTCCAGTGGAATCGCTTCATTGCTGTTGGAAGGTGGTAGAACTGCGCATTCAAGGTTTGCCATACCACTTACCCCCGATGAGTATTCAGTGTGCAAAATACCTAAGAAGTCTGACCTTGCAGATCTAATAAGGAAAGCTAAACTTATTATATGGGATGAAGCACCTATGATGAGCAAGTGGTGTTTTGAATCTCTAGACAAAAGTTTCTGTGATATAATTGGTAATATAGATAGCAAAGTGTTTGGTGGAAAGGTTGTTGTTTTTGGAGGTGATTTTAGACAAGTTCTTCCTGTAATCACTGGTGCTGGCAGAGCTGAAATTGTCATGGCAGCCCTAAATGCTTCTTATCTTTGGGATCACTGTAAGGTACTAAAGCTCACTAAGAACATGCGGCTACTAAAAAACGATTTGAGTGTAGAAGAAGCTAAAGACATTAAAGAATTCTCAGATTGGCTTTTAGCTGTTGGTGATGGTAGAATTTCAGAGCCAAATGACGGTGAGGCTCTAATTGATATACCTGAAGAACTGCTAATTACTGAAGCAGATAATCCCATTGAATCCATTACTCTAGAGATTTATGGAGATCCAGCAAAGCTAAAAGAAAAGGATGCTAAGTTCTTCCAAAAGAGAGCCATTCTAGCACCAACAAATGAAGATGTCAACACAATCAACCAGTATTTGTTGGAGAAGTTGGATGGTAAGTAAATACTTCTGATATATCTAACTTATCTCCTTTTAAGTAAATCGCAGATCTAATTTATTAAGTATCTCTGTTCTTTCCTACAGGCGATGCAATGTTATTTCTCAGTGCTGATAGTATAGATCCTGAAGACTCCGATTCACTTAGAAATCCTGTCATCACACCAGATTTTTTAAACAGTATCAGGTTATCAGGTTTGCCTCACCATGCGTTAAGTTTAAAGATTGGTGCTCCAATCATGCTGCTTCGGAATATTGATCCTAAAGGAGGTCTATGCAATGGTACTAGGCTTCAAGTTACTCAGATGAGCCCGCGTGTTCTTCAAGCAAAAGTCATAACAGGAGACAGAATTGGTGATATTGTTTTGATTCCATTAATCGTCATTACACCGTCAGATACAAAACTACCTTTCCGGATGCGTAGAAGACAGTTCCCAGTATCACTGGCTTTTGCTATGACCATTAACAAGAGTCAGGGTCAATCTCTAGAAAGAGTTGGACTCTATTTGCCTAAGCCAGTGTTTTCTCATGGCCAACTCTATGTCGCTTTATCTAGGGTTACTTCTAAAAAAGGTTTGAAAATTCTTATCCTGGACAAAGAAGGTAAGATTCAAAAGCAAACAACAAACGTTGTTTTCAAAGAGGTTTTCCAGAATATCGATTGATAATTCTGCGGCAATGAAATTTCAAACAGGATTATCATGAAAGGTATGTTTACTTTACCTTGGGATCAATATGTTTGCTTTATGGTTAGCAAAACCCACACTTATTTGGACTTATATTTCACTTGCAATCTATTTACCATTTTCTAACATATTGATTATCATCAAATTGAGAGAATAAAGGTTTTAAGTCTATGATTAAGAAAGTAGGAGCTAATTGTTACGATTTGTTTTACTTCCTTAAACTCTCAGATTTTCTGTTGTTCAGTGTCAACAGTTATATATATCTAATTAACATGCATCAACAAACAACCATTAAGTAACAATTATAGAATTTCCTCTTCAATCTACTTAACATTTCATAAACTTCTATATCCAAAACGGAACTAAGTTAACTACCAATTACATCATACTAAAAACTAACCTCAATATATTGTTAGAACATATCGCAGCTTCTCTTGAGCAATGATCCCATATCTTCATATAAAATATTCACACTGTTAGAAATCAGACAAATTCATTGAAGTCTTATTCAACGTTTACAGATTCAACCAAAAAACGTGATCAGTTGACACCAACAAAGTGCCAATACTAATGAAGCAAGTAAGAAGAACATAGATACCTCAGGAACAATCCTGTTCAAGAAAGTCTCAGTATCAGCCTGAACATCTGGATCATAATTCTCATTGATTGTCAAAGAAGCACTCGTGTGTTGCACTGAAACCAAAAAAAAAACATTTACTTAATCAAAAATTCCAAAAAAAAAAAAAAAAGAGAAGAAACAGAGTAAGAAAGAAAACTCACAGAAGACATGAGCAAGACCACAATTGAAATCTGACAAGTCTTGCCCAATTTCCTTACGACCAGAATTCAAAACAAAACAAAACCTCAGAAACCCAAATTGAATTCACAAACCAATCAAATAAACAGCTGAAAAAAGCTCATAAATTGAGTCAATTCAGAAATCGCTTCGAATTTAAACAAAAGCATCTACACGAAAGATGAAACCTTTGGAGTAATAAGATGACATCCACGACGTAGCGGCGGAAGTGTGAAGGTTTTCTGAGCCCGCGGAGAATTCAACCAAATTCATTGAAATCAGACAAATTCATTGAAGTCTTATTCAACGTTTACAGATTCAGATATGGTAGAAAACATGGCATGACAAACATTTGAATCGCAAACATCAGATTAGATCTTCAAATATATAATTTGCTGTCTACGCACACATGTTCCAATTTACAAAATATCGAAAAACTAACAACTTTTGTTGATCGAAAATGAAGAAATCGATGATATATGTTATAATTCTGGAATTAGATTAACTTACATGTTTATTTTTCGAAAGGAAATTGTCTTGTAGAACTCGATCATCCGATGCAGCTACAAATTAAATGTCAACTTGAATGATGAATTGGTTTTTAATTTCTGAAATTGGTTAGGAAATGGTGATTGAAGAAGCTCAATCAGTCGGTGGAGAAGATGCTCAACGACACGCAATTGTCATTTTTTTTTTCCATCCAATTGTTTTTTTTTCCTTCCCTGGAATATATTGGGCTGCACTCTATTTTCAGTATATGGGCTTCAGTTAAAATTGTTGGGCTTCTAATGTATTTGAGATTTTGCTTTTTATTATATAGTTAATTTGTGTATTTAATATTTTAATTATGGTTTTACTATTAAAATTAGATGATATAAACTTATTTATATGATCTTATATAAAACAAAATTGGTATATTTTCATACATATATATATATATGTCTATATTTCCAATCTATAAAACACAAAACAATAAATTTATATAAATCTAATATTTCGAAATTATATTAAGTAAATAATTTTAATGTGTCCTAATACTTTTAACAGAAATAACCATATTTAATTACATATTCTTTGTTTATACTGTATCAACTAAAAATATTCATTACTGACGGTTGACCGAATTATACTGTTTATATAAAAGATGTTAACTTATGTACGCCATGAGGTTATTATACCTATTAATATAATAAACTTACAACTGACAAGAAATCATCACAAACGTTCTAATAAATTATCTAACAACACAAAAACATAAAAAATTAGACACCAACAAAACTTAATTTAATAAAAAAAGTCAATTAATATAATATTAAACCCGCGGTATACCGCGGGTCATATCCTAGTACATACTACAACAGCGAAGCGCACACGTCGGGATCTCAAGCCGGGTATTCGACCCGGATTAGTTCTTATTCTTTCGGCCCATCATTCGGCCCACACTAACATGAGATGATCACCGTAGTTAAATTTAATATATTTTTTTTAGCAGGGAATATGTCGTGGATCATTGAAGGTATTCATCAAAATTACAAAGAAGAAAGTGTAGTCTGTCGTGAAAGGATCAAAAAGAATTGTCAGTTATAGAATCGTCTATGTAACTGTTCTCATAATTTGCAATTAATAATAAATTTAGACGACAAAAAAAAATAAAAAAAACATGTTGTACTTGAATGAATCTAATAATATCCAAAAGTCCAATTTTCTCCAAATAAAAGTTTGGCTTATACAGTATGTGGAGAGAGGTTCGAACAGAAACGTCTTTGCTTTGAACGAGTAAGATAGATGGACAAGAATAACCTTCTTTTTGGATATTGTTTAGCATGTAAGAGAAGGGTATATTAGGAAATTGAAACGAGAGTATATCTGGCTCTTCTTCTACTTCCCACCTTGTTCGCTCTCACAGACAGACACCATTTCCACCCTGAGATCTTTCTCCATCTCCGTTGCTCGTTTCTCCCACGAAATCTGTGAGTCTTCTTCGATCCTTTCGTTTCTTTTGTTCTTGATTGCTCGGTTAATTCGAACATGTCAAGTGTGTTTCTCTCGATTTTAATTTTTTTTATTATCGGTTCTTCTGGGAGCTCTTATCGTAGTTTCAACTTGAAATTCGAACTCTATATATCTTCCGGCTTATCTTAATTGCTTCATTGTTTTGATTGGATGGTTTTACGCTGACTTTGGATCGATCTCTGGATTGATTTTGGTAAATTGTGTGTCTAGTGGGGATTGCAACTTGTGGCTGAGACCTATGAATAAAGATTATAATCTTAAAGTGTCATTTTGCTGGATTAGATGATCAATTAATTAAGCTTTGAATTCAAATGTGAAAGCTTTAGATACAAGCCCACATCGTATTTGATTGTTTATCCAATTAGTAAACAATTGTGAGCTCATTTGGAAAAAAAGGATAAAAAGTAGAACTGAACATCGTTATAGATTCTTCTTTGTGATGACATCGAATTGTGAGTATTTATGTTATGATTTCGGTTCATAGTTTTAGTTACTCTTCAGCCTAGTTTCACAATGTTTGATATCATTCTCGCCATTGCAGTTGAAAGTAAGAGAATGGAGTGTGGTGGGCAGTATGAAAATGGGCGCTACAAGCCCGATTACAACAAAGGGACACAATCTGTGGTAAGAAAAAACACTTGAAGCAGATCATACATTTGCTTTGAATGAAAGCTAAGTACAAACTCTGTGTGTACAGTAGAATATGATGCCTCAGCATCAGATAAAGGAGCAACATAATGCATTGGTGATGAATAAGAAGATCATGTCCATCCTTGCTGAGAGGGATGCAGCAGTCAAGGAAATAAACGAAGCCGTAGCAGCAACAAAAGAAGCATTAGCCGCTCGTGATGAAGCACTTGAGCAGCGGGACAAAGCTCTCTCTGAAAGAGATAATGCTATCATGGAGACAGAAAGTGCGTTAAATGCTCTTCGATACCGTGAAAACAATCTTAACTACATTTTGTCGTGTGCCAAGCGTGGTGGTTCCCACAGTTGTGTAACTGACGAAAGCCACTTACCTGCCCCTTCACCTATATCAACTATTCCACCTGAAGCAGCCCACACGAAACTAGCCAAAAGGAAGAAAGAGAGTAAGCAGGGAGCACGATCAAAGGGAAAGAAAGTGGGCGAGGATCTGAACCGTCAAGTTGCTTCGCCGGGAAAGAAAAGCAGAAAAGATTGGGACAGTTACGATGTCGGTTTAAACCTAGTCACATTCGACGAGACGACAATGCCGGTGCCCATGTGCACTTGCACCGGGACTGCTCGTCAGTGTTATAAATGGGGAAACGGCGGTTGGCAATCTTCTTGCTGCACAACCACTTTGTCTCAGTATCCGCTCCCGCAGATGCCAAACAAGCGGCATTCTCGAGTGGGCGGCAGGAAAATGAGTGGAAGTGTCTTCTCCAGGTTACTTAGCCGTTTAGCTGGCGAAGGGCACGAGCTTTCCTCTCCTGTTGATCTCAAGGACTATTGGGCTAGGCACGGCACAAACCGCTACATCACTATCAAGTAACCAAGATTTATGACCCAGTAGCCACTATATATCAAGTATTGCTCTCTCTTCATCCCTTTTTCTTTTTGTCGTTTTAGTTTTAACAATTAGGTTCAAAAGTCGAATGAAAGATGAAGCTAGGTTCGTTATTGTTTTTACTGTCGATAGTTCCGTTAATGCAAATATTTTAGTACTAGTATTGTTTTGACTTGGTTTTGTTGTTTTATGTAACTAATTAATAAATAGTTAAAAAAATTTGTTTTGTAGTATTATAATTTCAAAATTCGAAATATCACCCATTAAATCGCAAGAATCTGAACAGCTTCAACAAAGAAAAAGGAAAAAAAAAAAAAATCTCCTTATAGTAGAGTCTATTAGTAGTCAAAGCTTCAACGACTTATATTAGTCCCTTCATCTTTTCCACTGAAAGAAGAAAGAAACATGGACAAAAAGCTAAAGACCACCACCATTAGTCCACAACCGCAACCACCAAAGCTTTGGCTTAACCACATGAAGACATTTTTTGATGTTCCTAACCCGAGAATCGTTCGAATCTTTTTTATAAGCAGTTTTGCCACATTTTTCTCTGGAATCGCTTTTGCTTTTGAATGGACATTTCACGGCAAGAACCATAGCGGATTCCAATGGATCATCTACTACGCCTTGTCACTGATCATTCTTCCTATTCTCATCTGGCTAGGTCTCGGTATTGTCATGATTGTTTCGTCAAGCCACGGATCAATGCAAGTTGCTAGCGTAGCGGTGGAAGAAGAACAGTGTGTCAACAGTTTTGCCGAGGATAGTGGGAATGAAGAAACTAAAGAAAACAATTGTGAGAGTTTGGCGATTGTGGTTGATTCAGATAAAAAAAAGTGCACCGATAAAGTATTTGAGAATAAAACGGCAAAGCTAAAACGCACAGTTTCATTCCCATTGCATAGCCATGTGCGATCATGTCGGACTAGGTGAGTGTTTCAGTCAATCACCATGGATTATCCATCTTCCAAGTAATTTTTTTTGTTAGATTTGATTATTTTATCCGCCGTATCTATAAGCTTTTTTTTTTGTTATGTTTCATTTTTCGTTTTAATAATAAAAAAAAATAAAGAAATAAAATAAAAAAATAATTTGTTTTTTTTTTCCTTTCTACACGAACCTTAGCTAAATGCCTAAATGTAAAAATAGGCAAAATTCAGTTCTCTCTAATTCCTGGAATTTACCACGTGTCATGGTGATCCTATTAATGAGAATAATATAATTGGGTCCCATAAATAAGTGAATTTGTCATCTAACGAAAAACCACGTGGTACGATCGGCGGAATTGTCGCCAAGCTTAGTTTGGTTTTGAAATTGAAGATAAGCTAGATATGTGGGGTCCGCTTCGTCTTATTCATATGTGGGAGACGAATACTGTATCTTTTTTTTGTGTGTTTAAAATTAGCCTACAATTTTAATTGTTAATGTGTTCTACTAATTCATAGGAGATTTTAGTTACATTTCACTTCTGTTCTGTGTATATAGTTATATATACATAGGAAAAAATAATATTCCAAACTTTGGATGCGCATGGTTATTGATGTTGTAAACATTTGCATTTGCCGAGAATATAAAGAAATATATACCAACCTGTCAAAAAAAAAAAAAAAAAAAACAAACAAACAAAACAAAACGTATACCAAATAAAATACACGAATTTCTCGAAAACCAAAAAAAAAAAAAATCCTCTAAAATCTTAATTTGTGGTTGCAGACATAAGATTGTTTATGAAATTAATTTCTTCACGATCATCAAGAAAAACAATGCCCCACTTATATTATTCTGATAAATATATATGTTTGGCTCACGTTTAGATCGGTGGATCATTTTCATTGCACATACAAACTGAACATAATTAGTCAATCAAATACTAATTTTATTTCATAAACCACCGTGTTTTGAGTTTTAAAACGTGCATCCTAGTTTCGGTTAATATATATATAGAGAGATGTTGATCGGTTTCTGTTAATTAATTATAACACGACCATTTATGATATGAGATTATGAGTACGACTTAATCCACGTGATTTACACCTTAATTACGACTTTCAATTATCCATTTCACACGCGGATCTATGTCTTCTATTAATTTCTTAAGGAACAATGAATATTTATAAAACATTAGTAATTCATTTAAATAAGAAAATCATTGGTTATCTCTTTGATTATTTTGATGTATTTTTAGGTATTTGTAGAAAAAAACTTGAAATATTATTTTATCTGATGGCAAGACTATTGAGTTGTATATTTCCACGATAGTTCATGTTTTATTTTGTAACTATTATTTATACATTGCTGAATAAAATACTATAATCTTAGAATCAAATAATGATATGTAAGATATTTATGAGAAACATGGTGGGAAGTGGTTATAAGAGTCAATATATTTGTTGTGTGGTGGGGTTCATGTAATTAAAGGGAAATGAATATAATTATAATGATAGGTGAAATCTAGATCTTAGAAATTGTTTACAAAGATTGTAAACTCTGGCTACTACCGTTTAGAACATTTTTGCACCAATTTTTGTTTTTTTTTAACCAAGCCTTAAAACGGTAGGTGAATCCTACTTAAACTTACTATCTATAGATCTCTCCCACTATATAGTGTTTTTGATGAACTTGCTACACTGTATGTTGATCATTTGTTTTATGAAAGATAATGTAGTATCAAATTGTAAATAAGTATTATCAACAAAAAAGTAAGTAAGTAACGTGTTTAATAGCTACGAGATTTTAGCACTAGAAAAATTTCGTAAACTATAGTAATCTGCAATTTATGGAATTTGTTGAGTAATAGACAAAGAAATCCGGAAGAAATCTTTCAATATGGCGGTCCATCACATAATATTTTAAGAAATATATAAGTAAAGAGGCAGATAAGAAAAAACAAAGAATGGCTTTTACATTGTACATGTAGACAACATAACGAGGACAGAATCTTTCGTCTAGCCAAGAATGTCAAATGTGGTCGGAATAGAATTGAATCTCAATCCATATTCAAATCATCAAATATCCATTTTTCCTAAATGATTTTATTAACTTCCATTTCGAATGACAAGAGAATATTATTCTTAAAATCCACTTTGTCAAAGCAGTATATATGTTAAGTTCATATTTGATACTCATTATGCACAGATTTTTTACTTAAAACAATTGAAACAAACGGCTAACAAATAACAAATCCAATTTATACAAAGTTTTGGATAGAATTGCATTAAATAGAAAATCTTAGGGGGGTTGTGGTAAATTCACGCGTCTTGTTGGGTGTTTATATTTTCTTTTTCTATCTTCCTTCTCATGAAATCCGTGTCTTTTGGTTTAGACTCTTTTGCTCGTGCCCAAAAAGAAAGCACAAAAAAAAAAAGTCGTTGTCTCATTCGAGTTTTTACTATTTTCTCGAGAAAAAAATAAATCAAAGAGGAGAGAAAATCGCGGAGGAAAAAAGAAAAGAAAGAGAAAATGGCCCTGTGATTCGAGAGAGTGAGGAAGATTGATTAGATAAGTTTCTTCTTATTTCAACGTTGGAAGAGAGAGAGAGAGAGAGAAAAAGATTTGTATTTCTTCTTCTTAATACGTTCTCGCCATTTGCGCCATTGATTAATTCAAGTGCGTTGAAGTTAGAGGTAACCACCACTTGCATTTCTTGCTCCTCCAAAGCTCTGATTTTTCTGCAAAATTCTTATGAAAACTTTGATGCAATTAACTCTCTCTTTCTTCTCATCATTGATTCTTTTTGATGATAGGTAGTTGTTCTTCTACCCCAAAGCAAAATCCTTAAGGGTTTTCTTCTGGTTATTAGAGAGTGGTGAATATAAACTGCATTATCCATCGAATTTCGATCTAAAAATGGGTGATACAGAGAAGTGTAGTAACAGTGATATGATCCAGAGACTTCATTCATCTTTCGGCACTTCGTCTTCTTCCATTCCCAAAAATCCCATTTCTCAGCTCGATTTAAACCCTAATTTCATCCGCTCATCAGCTCCTCTATTCTCCAAGCCTTTCAGTGACAGTGGCAAACGAATCGGTGTTCCTCCGTCGCACCCCAACTTAATCCCACCGACTTCTCCGTTTTCTCAGATCCCGACCACCCGACAACCCGCTTCGCTTAATTTTAACCCGGGATCAGCTACTCATTCGCGGTCAATGTCACAGCCCAACTCTTTCTTCTCCTTTGATTCGTTACCTCCGTTAAGCCCTTCTCCGTTTCGCGATTCTCTGTCGGCACAACCAGATCACGATGTCTCCATGGAGGATAGAGATTCCGGCGGGTTTAACAGCAACCATTCGTTGCCTCCATCGCCGTTCACGAGGTGTAACTCGACCTCTTCTAGCTCCTTGAGAGTCGGTGAGAGTCTACCTCCGAGAAAGTCTCATAGACGCTCCAACAGTGATATTCCCAGTGGGTTTAATTCCATGATTGTTCAGAATTCGTTGCCTTTGATCCCTCCAAGACCATTGGAGAGGTCTATTTCTGGTGGGGAATGTGCTGATTGGTCAAAGTCTTCTCCTTTCGTGAAGAAGGAATCGAGCTGCGAAAGAGAAGGCGTCGGAGAGAGAGAAGCTATGGATGATCTCTTCTCAGCATATATGAATCTTGAAAACATTGATGTTTTGAACTCCTCTGAGGCTGATGATAGCAAGAACGGTAATGAGAATCGGGATGATATGGACAGCAGCAGAGCAAGCGGGACGAAGACTAACGGTAGTGATACCGAAGGAGAGAGCAGCAGTGTGAATGAGAGTGCGAATAATAACAGTAATTTGAATTCTTCTGGTGAAAAGAGAGAGAGTGTGAAGAGAAGAGCGGCTGGAGGAGATATTGCTCCTACCACCAGACATTACAGGAGTGTTTCAGTGGACAGTTGTTTCATGGAGAAGTTGTCTTTTGGTGATGAATCACTAAAGCCGCCTCCTTCTCCTGGAACTATGTCACGGAAAGTTTCCCCTACCAATTCGGTTGATGGGAATTCGGGTGCTGCTTTTAACATCGAGTTTAAGAACGGTGAGTTTACTGCAGCGGAAATGAAGAAGATCATGGCAAATGATAAACTAGCAGAGATGGCTATGTCTGACCCTAAGCGTGTCAAAAGGTATATTGAATATTTTTACTAACGTTACCTGTTTTTAATCGGTTTTTCTCATGTTTATGGAATGATCTTCTTTTCAGAATCTTGGCGAACCGTCAATCCGCAGCACGGTCAAAGGAGAGGAAGATGCGGTACATAGTCGAATTGGAACACAAAGTGCAGACTCTTCAGACCGAGGCTACCACATTGTCTGCTCAGCTCACGCTTTTGCAGGTGCTTAGTCTACAATGTAATAACAGCGCCTAGATTGGTCTGTTTCTTTTTGGTTTTAACGATCTTAGTTACTGAATTATCCAGCGAGATATGATTGGGTTCACAAATCAGAACAATGAGCTGAAGTTCCGTCTTCAAGCAATGGAGCAACAAGCGCGTCTTCGCGATGGTAAACATTTCTCCTGACATTATATCAAACTTGCAATTTTATTAACATGACTTTCGCCTCTGATAGCACTCATATGTATTTGAATCGGTACAAAATTGAAGAAATCTCTATATTTGCTATAATCAAACCCTAATGGAACCAGATCCTACATGCTTAAAAATCTCGATTTTCGGGGGCAAAAGATGTCATGTTTTTGTGTTTGCCCTTAACGAATGTGAACTGACGATTTTTTTCCCGCTTTGCAGCTCTGAACGAAGCACTGAATGGAGAAGTCCAGCGACTGAAACTGGCAATCGGTGAGACCAGCCAGAACGAATCAGAGAGATCAAAAATGCAATCACTCAACGCTGAGATGTTCCAGCAACTCAACATCAGCCAGTTAAGACAGCAGCCACAACAGATGCAGCAACAGTCTCATCAGCAGAACCACCAGAATGGAACTATGGCAACAAAATCTGAATCAAACGAATAGAGCAGAGAAGTTGTTGCTGGATCAGAGAGGGTTGGAGTTTTTCAAGTTACATATGGAATCACACATTATATTTCATTTATGTGCAGAGTCAGTTGAATTTACATATATCGTATAAGGCGTAAGTCACAGAAATTTAATTTTACAGTATGTTGTTATCTTAGAAAGAAAAAAATTCAATTTGTGGTAGGTATCATATAGGTGGTATGAACTATGAATTTGTTATATGTAATGGGATTGAGCTTCAGACAAAGAGATTCTCTGTTTGTTTTGTTTTTATTTAGTTTTGGATTCTGTCTCGTCGTTTGTTTGTTTATTTTAACGTGATGGGCCACAAAATGTTGGCCCATTAAACAGCAAGCTTCCCATGAATGTTTGTTTATTTTCCAATTCCTCCCCCAAACATCGTGGCCTTCTTCGTCTCTCTGTGAAAATATCTAAAACCCTAAGCAACACTATATCTATCAGTCACTTCACTTTCGTGTACCTTTGGTATCTTTCTTTCCCGCGACGACGGAGCTTGTCCGCTATGTCCGATGTAATAGCGGAGCTCGCGGCAGCTACTAGTGTTGAAGGAGATGCAAAGCCTGCTTCACCGGTTCAATCGACGAAACAGTTCTCTGTGTATGAAGCGACTTCGCAAGAGCTTATAGAACGATCAATGGCTCCTATCAAGAAGGAGTTTCTATGTCCTCCTCCTCCAAGCCGTTCCGGGAATCAAAATGACGCCGCCGATGTTAGGGCGCCTCAATCGGGATTGGTTCAGGAGAAGAAATCTAAACGACAACTCAAACGTGAACGCCGCGAGGTATTGATTCTCATCCATTTTTACCAATCCCGAGATGATAAGAATCATTCACATCGGTGCTTGTATAGCTGCGAATCTAGATATGTTTATGAATTAGTTTTTGGCAACTGAAACCATTGGATAAGAGATGATAGTCTAGTAACCGAACCTGGCATGCTCTTTCTTGCAGCAATCTACCATCAATCTCTGTCCGCAGGTGGCGAGAACAGAAGACGTTGATTCATGTCAGTATAAAGACAAGTGCCGGTTTAATCATGATATTGAGGCTTTCAAGGCTCAGGTATACTGTTACTGCTTTGGTTAATGATTAGGGTGTATTGAGGATAGTATAATTTTGCGTTATTGATTGGAACTAGTTTGGATGATATTGAGACAAGAAATTAACTGACAATATTTTTTCTGTTGTAAATGCAGAAACCAGATGATATAGAGGGGCAATGCCCATTTGTGGCCTCTGAAATGAAGTGTGCATATGGTTTATCATGTAGATTCTTAGGCACTCACAGAGATATTGCTGGTAATTCTGATGAGAAGGAAAAATCAGAGATGAACTTTTTTAACAAAGAGACCCAGAGGCTTCTCTGGAAAAATAAGATGACTTTTACCAACGCAGATGCAAAACTCAAGTCCCTCGGTCTCTTGGTATGTCTTACTGAGTATTATTTTGTTTATTTTCATGACTTTTGTGTTTGTCCAATTTCTCTGGCTTGTCATATACTGCTTCGCTCCCATATCTCTTACCATGAGACCTGAGTTATTTGTCTCTTTATTTCATAAACTTTCTAGGGGCATGCCAAAAAAAGCAATGCTGCCGAAGAAAATAGCGCAGAAAAAACTCAAAATGGTGTGACCGGCACTCAAGCAACTGAAGTAGCGGTTGACTCAGCTGTCAGTTCTGAGCCTACATCCGAAATGATACAAGATGCTGATATTCCTGGACCATTAAAAACTGAGGAAGTTCGTCCCATGAAAAAGGCAAAATCTGAGGACCAAGAGAATTCTAAACCTGGAGATGTTGGTGGAGTTAATGATGGTTAGCCTTACTTCTCTACATGTCGGAAATGTCAATTATTTTTTGCTAAATTATCTCAGATAGTTGCATACTTTTAATGCTTATAAGTACTACATATAGCTATATCTAAATAGAAAAAAAGTTGATGTAGGAAGGGTGTGGGGCAAGAAAATGTCATAATGTTCAATTTAATTGTATTGATACAGGCGTGAAAGTTGAAGAGGATGCGAAAAAGAACGGATTTTCTACTTCAAAAGCTGACGTAGAAGATGAGGATAGCATCAAAATTGTTGAAACTGATAGTAGTTTAAAGTTGCACCCTCGCGAAAAGAAAAAGCTAATTGATTTTAGGGATAAGTTGTACCTTGCACCCCTAACAACTGTGGGCAATCTACCCTTCCGAAGACTTTGTAAAGTGTTGGGAGCAGATGTGACTTGTGGTGAGATGGCTATGTGCACAAATCTTTTGCAGGTTAGGCCACTAATTACACTCTCAGCTATGCTGCAAGAATGATTAAACATTTCTTTTGTAATAATGTGAAAACCTGCAAAATAATTTGTTGTAGGGCCAAGCTTCCGAATGGGCACTGCTTAGACGGCATTCATCAGAAGATCTGTTTGGTGTTCAGATTTGCGGTTCTTATCCTGACACGGTGTCGCGCACAGTTGAACTGATAGACCGAGAATGCACCGTTGATTTCATAGACATCAACATGGGTTGCCCGATAGATATGGTTGTCAACAAAAGTGCTGGTTCAGCTCTTCTCAACAAACCATTACGAATGAAGAACATCGTGGAAGTCTCTTCTTCCATTCTTGAAACACCTATTACTATCAAGGTAACTGCCTAAGAAAATCTGTAACTAAATCGCCTTCCATATGAAACTGCAACATTACTGGCTGCAAATGTGTTGGTAATGTAACCATTTTTTACTCGTCCGGTCCTTTTTGGTGACAGGTACGAACAGCATTCTTTGAGGGTAAGAACCGGATAGATTCATTAATTGCAGATATCGGAAATTGGGGTGCCACTGCAGTGACTATTCATGGGAGATCAAGACAGCAGCGTTATAGCAAGTCTGCGGATTGGGACTATATATACCAGTGTACCAAAAACGCTTCTACTAACCTACAAGTTATAGGAAATGGAGATGTGTACTCTTATTTAGACTGGAACAAACACAAGTCTGACTGTCCTGAGTTGTCTAGCTGCATGATTGCTCGTGGAGCACTGATCAAGGTATGTGTATGACCAAATGATATCAGCTTCTTCCTAGTAATTCATTCTATAGCCTCATGGACTTTTGACTTGTGCAGCCTTGGATATTTACTGAAATTAAAGAGCAACGGCATTGGGACATTACATCCGGAGAAAGACTTAACATCATGAAGGACTTCGTACGTTTTGGTCTTCAACATTGGGGGTCCGACACAAAAGGTAAAAAACACAGCATGGAATTGAAATTATGTTTTGTTGGTTTACTCTTTCTCTTGTGGCTAAAGTTCTGCCCTTTCTTAACCTTTTCAACAGGAGTTGAGACAACTAGGCATTTCTTGCTGGAGTGGCTAAGCTACACGTTTAGGTACATACCTGTTGGTTTACTTGATGTGATCCCGCAGCAAATCAACTGGCGTCCGCCTTCATACTTTGGTCGTGATGATCTTGAGACACTCATGATGTCTGAATCTGCGGGTGACTGGGTGCGTTTGTTATATCCTTCTCCTTCATTCCACCTTACTTTGGACTATATGAGCTTAAGTTTGATATAATGTTACTATATGCAGGTGCGTATATCGGAAATGCTGCTTGGAAAAGTTCCGGAGGGCTTCACGTTTGCCCCCAAGCACAAATCCAACGCATATGACCGAGCTGAAAACGGCTGATTCAACCACATTTTCTGTAATATCAAATCTCATTCAAAACATGTCTGAAACATCATTCTGTAATATTTTTTGAGTTTTAACTGATTAAATAAAGACAATGCGATGATTTCTTTGAAAATAGGTAGCAATGTATCACCTAATTAAAAAATATGTATCTCAAAACTTAAAAAGTAAAGCAGGTAGTAGAGGTATTGATAGTAAAATTCATGAAGCGTCGGCCTCCTCCTCAGTCTCTGGTGCGGTCACCGGGTACTTACCAGTAAAGCAGGCATAGCAATACCTGCGTGACTCTACCGGTCCATAGACTTCTTCCAAGCAATCTAATGGTAGAAACGCCAGAGAATCACAATTGATATGCTTCTGGATTGCCTCAACGCTCATCTTACTAGAGATCAACTCTTGGCTCCTCGGGGTGTCCACTCCGTAGTAACAAGATGCAATCATCGGTGGCAATGCGACTCTCATATGAACCTCCTTTGCTCCGGCGTCTCTAAGCATCCGAACTATCTTCAAACTCGTGGTACCGCGGACAATAGAGTCGTCCACTACTACCACCCGCTTCCCTTCAAGGACTGCTCGGACAGGAGATAGCTTCACCTTCACCGCGAAATCACGGATTTTCTGAGTCGGCTCTATAAACGTGCGTTTTGCATAGTGTGACCTGAGAAGACCAATCTGGAACGGCACTCCAGCTTTGGCTGCATATCCAAGAGCTGCCACTGTCCCCGAGTCTGGCACTGCGATGACGACATCACAATCGACAGGTGCCACGGTGGCTAGGATCTCGCCGTACATGCGGCGTGTTTCATACACAGAACGGCCAAAGACAATTGAGTTGGGCTGTGAGAAGTAACCATGCTCAAAAACGCACTGTTTTGGTTCAGGGTGAGAGATCATGAACATTGAACTGTCTCCATGATTTCTATCCACCACCACAATCTCTCCGGGACACACTTCACGTTCATAAATAGCATCAATCAGGTCCAGAGCGCAAGTCTCGGAGGCAAAAACAACTGCTCCGTTGCTTCTTCTGCCCATCACAAGTGGTCTAAACCCAAACGGGTCACGAACAGCAATAAGCTTGTCTTCAAAGACGAAAACCATCGAGTAAGCACCTCTAAGCTTCTCACAAGCATCAATGACCCTCAAAAGAAACGTCTTAGCCTTAGATTTGGCGATCAGGTGAAGAACGAGCTCGGTATCAGAACTTGTGATGAAGATTGAGCCCTTCTCTTCCAGCTTTGTCTTCAGTTGCTTGTAATTCACGAAATTACCATTGTGCACTACTGCAAGTGATCCTAGCTTGCAGCTAGCGATGAAAGGCTGAACATTCTTGAGCATTGAAGCTCCGGAAGTTGAGTACCGGACATGCCCTATCGCTATGTCGCCAGGAAGATTTTTTAGTTTTGACTCGGTGAACACATCTGAGACTAATCCGACCCCTGTGATTGATTCGAGACCGTTTTGATTAGCGGCTACAATTCCTGCTCCTTCTTGGCCACGGTGTTGCAGTGCGTGAAGAGCCAAGTAAGAAAGCCGGGAAGCTTCAGGGTCTCCATGGATTCCGACAACTCCGCATTCTTCGTGAGGCTTGTCATCTTCGTCTTCGTCAGTGACATGTGTTCTCGCCGAGAAAACAGGGGAAAGTGGGTGTCTGCATGAAACAGAGATACTTAGGGTTTTGGAAACGTAGGGTTTAAGGGAGGGCTTGAAAAAGGAAGGGAAAATGGTATTTCGAGAAACGTTCCTAAGGTTTGCGGATAAAGTGTAAGGAGAGATAGACGAGATTTCTACAGAGAAGGCCATGAATAGCTTAATTAGTTTAAAGTCGACAGGTTTTGGGAGGCTTAATTATGAAAATAATTACTGTGAAGTCGACACGTTTTGGGAGGTTTAAAGTCGACACGTTACTGTGAAAATAAAGGAAACATTAGATAAAGTTGTTAATATAACATAATTATCTATTAATATAATACTATTAAGCTAAATTTGGATAAATATTTATTTATATATTTTTGTCAACTGGTATATAACCTATAAAAATTATTTACTAATGTGGAATTGATGAAACGGCAGCGCGTCGTTTACTAATTGAACAATGAAGGCTTTAGGGTTTTCACCTAAACAAAAGTTTTGTGCTAGAAGGCAAAACGCAAAGGTGGCTGCTGGAGGGAGATCGATCTTCATCTTTCACGTTTCTCCAGCATGGAAACACAGAGGAATAAGCTTACAAAGGTAAGTGTAAACTCAGAGTTGCTTCCGGTTGATCTGATGATGGAGATACTTAAACGATTTCCTCTCAAAACCCTATAATCAGATTCTTGTGCGTATCTAAGCTCTGGGCTTCCAGAATCCGTAGCCGATATTTCATGAAATTGTTTCTCAACGAGTCCTTAAAAAGACCCATAAGTCTTGTATTCGTATTCAGAGATAATTCTCTGGGTTTAACCATCTCATCCGTTCACCTCAAAAGTACACCTGAAGCATCATCATCATCATCATCATCTTCTGCTTCTCCAATCATTTACCATGTGACTTTCCACACCAGACAACGCACGACCATTGCTCCTTCTGTCCACGGTTTGATTTGCTATGGACCACCTTCTACCCTTGTCGTATATAACCCTTGCACTAGACGATCAATTACCTTGCCCAAGATCAAAGCAGGGAGGAGAGCCATAAACCAATACTTAGGCTATGATCCCATCAACAATGATTATAAAGTGTTGTGCATTACGAGAGGCATGCCTAAGCTGAGAAACAGACGCGGTTTAGCTGAGGAGATACAAGTTTTGACATTGGGAACTCGAGATTCATGGAGGATGATTCAAGACATTATTCCTCCTCACTCTCCTGTAACTGAGGAACTTTGCATCAATGGTGTTTTGTATTATCAAGCTTTTATTGGCACAAAACTAAATAAGTCTGCAATCATGAGTTTTGATGTTAGGTCTGAAAAACTTGATCTTATCAAAGGACCTTGCAACTTTCGTAGTTTTTCAAAGTTGACAAACTATGAGGGAAAGCTAGCTGTCATCTTCTATGAAAAGAAAGTCAGTAGTATTATTGGTTTGTGGGTTCTACAAGATGCATCTAAGGAGGAATGGTCGAAGAAGACCTTTGTTTTGCCTAATCTAGCTGCCTCAGCAACAAACTCGCATATTCTTAGGTTTCACAAGTTTCGCACCACTGACGCTGACACGGGTGAGATTATTTTTACACCAACTTTTGTGCATTCATCACTATCCAGTGCTGTCTATTGTGATCTGAAGAACAATAGAGTGAGAAATTTTGTAAAAGAAGGAACCACGGAGCATTATATACGATGTCATGCAGACTCTGTTTCCTCTACTCAGGTTGAGAATCTCATGTTTCTATGAGGTCAGTTTCCTGCTCCTCAAGTCATGCAGTTCCCCATCCCATTCTCCTTAATTTGAACAGGTCTTTTGTTCTTCGGTTTAGTTGAGTTCTATCTGGTTTACTTGACAAGCTTTCATGATCTAGATTGATTATGTTCATCAATCATCTTCTATGTTTTATATTTGGTATTCGGAGCAAACTCTTTTCTCAGAAACTATTTAGAGAAGGATCCAGAGGAATTACTTAGACTATGTACGTAGTTGAAGTATGTATATGTATACCATTTGACGAGGTTAATTAAGCAGAGCACAAGGTTTTGTTGTTCGGATCAAATTAGTAAGGTCATTTTTCTAACAGGTTTAGAGAAACTGTATCCGTACTTCACTTAATCAGTATTATTGACTTATTTCTCACGTTCTAAAAGTAAAAAGCTGAATATATATATATATAGTCAGTATGAATGTAAAATTACAGTGTTAAAACGTTATTTTCAGCGTTGTCATATCCTAATTTGCATTATATTTACAAGAAATTAAATGATTTACACTCACAAGTTCCGGCAAGTATCAAAATATTACGGATTAAAGATTGGAAATACTTATTAATAACAAAAAAAAAAGGGGTGAAACAATTGAGTGGAAATTGACAAATGCACCTCTATAGCATTAGTTTCTGCAATCTGCAAAAAAACAAATTCAACCAGTTTAAATTCTTCTATTCAATCTACAAAAAAACTCGTTTGGAATACCTCGGATCTATTCGAAGTATTGGTAGGATCTAGAGATATGGCGTACGTCGTGATGCAATCTTTAATTCATAGCTACAATCTAATATATAATTATAAGAATCAGGCAAATAATTACATGGATTTGTCGATAAAAGAGGAAGATTTAAGAAAGGTATTACTTACTTTGGCTCTCATCAAGTGAACAATTGAAACTGTAGAATTATGGAACAGTCGAAGGAAGTAATGTAATTTGAATTCCTCGGATCTATTTGAAGTAATTTGTGCAATCGGATTGTGAAATCAATTGAACCATCATCTCGAAAGCAAAAAAAGTTGAGATTGGAGAAAACGAGAAGACACGAAAAAGATAAGATTTTTTTTTCTCTGGTTATAAAAACTGTGTCGGTCCCGACCAAAAAAATAATTTACAGTCTTTTTTTTTTTTCTTTTTTCCTTCACTTCTTTTAAATACAAAATCAAATAAGGACATACTCATACCTTTTTGTTTGGGAAAAATGTCATTAAAATCCCCAACTTATTCAAAACGTTGATTTAAATCCTCAACTCACGACGAAACGAAATAAATATCAAACTTATGTTGACTTTCCAAATAAATATTAAACTTATGTTGACTTTCCAAATAAACACCAAACTTTCATTGACTTGGCCATATTAGGCATGACGTTAAGTGAGTTAACAAACAATGTTAACACCTGTTAGTGTTGATCAAAATACTAACAAGTATTCCTTCTAAACACAAAACGACGTTGTTTTGTCATAACTGTTCAATAAAATCCCGAGTTTTAAATCATACTCTATTTAGGGTTAGGGATTTTGCTCGATTTGGGGATCTAAGATTGACTTTAGGGATTTAATTCAATCGTTACGACAAAACGACGTCGTTTTGTTGTTATATGAAATAATGTCGTTATCAATTAACACATATGTTAACAGAAAATTATCTCCGTTAACGAGATCTATTAACCCACTTAACGTCGTACCTAATATGGCTAGGTCAACGGAAATTTGATATTTATTTGGAAAGTCAACATAAGTTTGATATTTATTTGGAAAGTCAACATAAGTTTGATATTTATTTCGTTTTGTTATGAGTTGAGGATTTATTAACCCACTTAACGTCGTACCTAATATGGTCAGGTCAACGGAAGTTTGATATTTATTTGGAAAGTCAATGAAAGTTTGGTGTTTATTTGGAAAGTCAACATAAGTTTAATATTTATTTGGAAAGTCAACATAAGTTTGATATTTATTTCGTTTCGTCATGAGTTGAGGATTTAAATCAACGTTTTGAATAAGTTGGGGATTTTAACGACATTTTTCCCCTTTTTGTTTTGTTATTTGTTTTTGGTGCACAGGATTGTTTTATTCATTTATATCCTTTTATATACATTTAAATTAGGTCCATTTTTATAATCAAAGTTTCTAAAAATATTTAAATAAATTTTTTAATACTCTTACATAACAAAATAATAACACCAACCGGTCAAATTTTCATTGCAAATTTTCATTGCAAATTAATAATCAAAATTTTCATCACATAACAATAAGACATAAGAGTTTGTTCTTGGTTATGGTTCAGTTGTACTCAGAGATCAATTGTAATAATAATCACGGGACAAAATTATATGACGGGACGAGTTTGGATCGATATTAATATATGACAGTATACTACGGGTGTAATCCTATAATTAACAATCAAAATATAATTATACAATATTAAACACAAAATATAACAAACAATTAACAGAACAAATACAAAAATTTAAATTTTTAGTTACACAATGAAACCCCGAGGTGTACCGCAAGGTAAAATCACCCTATAAAAACCAAATACTATTACACTTAAAATATCACAGAGTTATATCTTATTAAAATCCGTACAAAATCAAATTTACGTTACGGTACCAATAAAACAGAAAAGAATTAATACATCAAATTCATCGGTTTATAACAAAATTATAAAAAAAAAAAAATTAACCCGCGGTGTACCGCGGATCATATCCTAGTACTTATTAATAACAAAAAAAAAGGGGTGAAACAATTGAGTGGAAATTGACAAATGACAAATGCACCTTCCAAGAATTTTCCTAGATATAGTTAAATCGTACGGAAAGGGACAATATTACAAAGATTCTTCTTTTTGTAATGTACTCATCCAATTGAGATCCAAACCTCTTTGGCTTTTTCTTCTCCTCGTCCCTTCATTCATAGTTTGGATGTGCTTCTCACTACGTAAAATGGCCTTTTTTTCCATCTATTATATATAACGATAGATTTGTGATAATCCTCAAGATGTGGGTGACTGAGAATAAATAGTCCTCTACCCAATTGGTTTGTTGCGTGTACATATTAACATTTAACATTCAACAAGTTCAACTATTTTTTGTATTCGACTTAGCAATATATATGTATATGTATCTATGAGTAGATATTATTGGTACTTGTGGATGCAATTTATTCGAAACATAAAAATAAATTGGTATGAACCAAAAGATATTCTTGAGAAGAGAGAGAGTAAATTAAAAGTATGTAGGCCAAAAACAAAAAAAGGTATGTGCATTAAGAAGAGTAGTTGCTGTCATATAGGATTTGTGGCTCGTAGGAAAAGAAAAAGAGAGAGGAGTAATTACATTCAATTTATAATATACTAGATGTTAACCCGCGGTACACCGCGGATCTATATTTTTATTAGAAAAATTTATTAAGTTTTGTTTTAAGATACTCTATAGATATATATTATTGTTTTGTTTAATTTAAATGTATAATATACCGTGAGACGAAATTTTATTACAAAAATCGAAATTTTATAGATAGACGTAGTATAAAAACAATAGATTCAATTGTATGATTTTGAATAAGATGCTGATTTAACCCGTTTTATACTGATTTTACTCGCGGTATACCGTATACTAAATTTTAAACAATAAAATGAGGATTTAATATGTGTTATAGCGATGTATTAGTGATATTTTAAATTTATATTAATATCAATCCTAACCAAACCCGTGTCATACAATTCGTCCCGTAATATTTAAAATATTTTATAAAAACTCAAAAACCATAGCTAAATGGGCAAACAAAAACCAAAAAATTTAAATATATCAATTAGAAATATTTGAATTATAAATTTTTGAATTAGAAATTTTTGAATTTAATTAGAAAAGATTGCTCCATAATTTTAAATCTTACGTATTTAATGTATTTATGAAGATTTGATATTTGAATTTATTTGAGAACATTACTTATTTTTAGCAATTTCAGAAAAAGACATGGGTTAAAGCTTGAACTGATCCGATAATTAAGGTCTGAATTAATAGTTTTGCACCGGCCTTGTTATTTTATTTGTATTTTCTAATTATTTTATCACTATTCAAACCTTAATGATCCATGTAATTAACACTAACCTATTATTGTTATATAATCACAAATATTAAAAATAATATGTTTAGAACTGCCATGAAAAAAAATTTAAGTATGCAACTTTCATTAGTTCACATAATGAAAAAATAAACACATAGAGTATTAGAACCCAATAACAAAGAATCATGTCTACCAATTTTGTAAAGACCTACAGAACCCAATTTGATTTTATTCAACTCTCTCATATACCCAAAATAAAAAACTTAGAAACGGAAAGTTCAAACTCAATCATCGGTGGTTTAGCAGATGAAGTCACCGTCGTTAACGGTCACAGTAACGGCTCCGTCGATCTGAGCCTTGTTTCTTCAAAGCTGCAGCAAAACGCATGGATCTACTTTCCGTGTAGCGTATCAAGGAGTTCCCGGCGTGTATTTTGAAGCTACCACTGGAAAAGCATATCCGAAATCTGAAGATATTCGGTGTGATCAATTCGATGTTGCGTTTGAGGCGGTGGAGCTTTGGATCGCCGATCGTCTTGTTTTGCCAATCGAAACCTAAAGAATTACGATCTCCTCCTCGTCACCATCTTCACATCGTCGGCGAGGTTTAGATCCCGGTTCACCACTGTCTCCTAGCTCTTCCCGGAGTCCGTACAGATTGCATCACGTCTGCGATTTCTCATTTTCTATAAAACTGGTGAGTTTTTATTAGACTAATTAATGAAAGGTATTTATAATGTTTTGAGAATACTATAGGGTTTTGGGTGAGTGAGTTCCTAAAATCTTGCTGATCAAGTACACAATATCTTCAAAATCTTTTATTTTTGGAATTGAATAATTTTCTTGCAAATCTCGAAAAAAAAAGAAATATAGGAAAGATAATTATGAGTAATTAGTTGGGATGACAGCCAATGGTAGAGATTTAGAAGGAAATCGAGAGATTTTTGGCAACAATTTTGAACGTAACATCTTTGATTTGGGAGAGATTTTTGGAATATGCTTATACCGAAATATATGTGTAATTATCTACATTAATGACGGGTTTTTTTAGATTTCCTTAAATGTCTAGTCCAAGATCCGGATATAGTAAAACCGAGTAAAACCCGGATCCAAATTATTAAAAGCAAAAAACCCTGCAAAAATATATATGTAGATTGTTATTTTGATTTTAAATTTATTGCAATTTAAATGGGCAATTGCCTATATTTAATCTGTTATTGTAAAAGAAAAATGACATAGCTTATTATTAGAATATTAAACAAATTTATTAACATAATATATATATATATATATACTGTTAAAAAAATAAATACGTTTTTTTCTTTATAATTTCATAATATATGTATATATTGTTAAAATCTGGACATTTATTATGAGCATAAATATGAAAACGATTTTCCATTAAAATCGGCTATTTATTAGGGTCATTAATATGAAAGATATTAAGACAACATGGTTTCATTTATTAGTTTGAAATTAAGACAACATCCCTTAAATTGCTAATCCAAGATCCGAATAGACTAAAACCCGGGTCAAATCCGGATCCAAAAGAATTAAAGCAAAAAAGTACTATAAAAATGTATATGTAGATTTATACTAAAAAAAATTAATGCATTATCAAGGGAGACTCATAAAAATACCCCTTTTTCAATACCCCTTTTCAAAAATGCCCCCTATGGATGTCCATTTTTAAAAATACCCCTTTTATGTACAAAATGACTAAATTACCCTTCTTTTAATAAAAGATATCATAAATATATAAGGAAATATAACAAAATTAGGTCCACAAAATACAAATTATTTTTTGGCGGGAAAAGTGATCCCCCAATTTTTCCCGCCAAAACACTTGTAAAAATTTGTAAAACTTTTAAAATACCTTGTAAAATTTTCCCGTAAAATTTTTTCCAGCCAAAAAATTTTCCCGCCAAAAAATTTTTTTTGCGGGAAAAGTGATTCCGCAATTTTTTACAAGGTATTTTAAAGGTTTTTTACAAGGTATTTATAAGGTTTTACAATGTATTTTAAAAGGTTTTACAACGTATTTACAAGGTATTTATAAGATATTATAAGATTTTACAAGCTATTTTATAAGGTTTTTACAAGTTATAAGGTTTTACAAGTTTTTTATAAGGTTTTACAAGTTATAAATACCTTATAAAACCTTAAAAGTACCTTGTAAAACCTTTTAAAATACATTGTAAAACCTTACAAAACACTTGTAAATACCTTGTAAAAAACCTTTAAAATACCTTGTAAATTTTTCCCGCCAAAAAAATTTCGCAAAAAAAATTGCGGAATCACTTTTCCCGCAAAAAAATTTTTTTGGCGGGAAAATTTTTTGGCGGGAAAAATTTTTACGGGAAAATTTTACAAGGTTTTTTAAAGGTTTTTACAAGTGTTTTGGCGAAAAAATTGCGGAATCACTTTTCCCGCCAAAAAATATTTTGTATTTTGTGGACCTAATTTTGTTTCAAATAAGGGTAAAATAATCATTAAAAATTAAAAGAGGGCAAACTTAAAAATAGACTCTCAAAGGGGGCATTTTTGAAAAGGGGTATTGAAAAAGGGGCATTTTTAACAATTTCTCTTAATTTAATTCCAATCCATATAAATAGTATGTACAGGACCAACTTATAATTACTTGAGACAAATATGCTTTTGCTTCACCTAAATAAGTAATCCATATAATTCTGTCTGCGTACTATAGTTTTAATGTCAAAACTCAAAGGCGGATTAAAAAACATACTTTATATTAACGTTTTAATGTTTTATATAGTATGATCTTGTGTTGCGGGTTGGATCGATTTATCTGTCTGTTTCTCGTGGATAATATGTAATTATTAATTTATAGTACGCTCAGATGTTATATTTAGGATGAAAATTATAATTTATACACCACTCGCATACATGTACTTACATCCGTGAGGAATACCCAATACTTCAAATATTTCTTAGTTTCAAAGAACTCGAACGATCATAGATTCGAACTAAAAAAAATTGGCCAATATTCAACTTGCACTAATCATCTATTAGTGCGAGCCACCAATTATCAGCTCATAGGAAAAAAAAAAAAAAAAAACCCTCCATTCCATCAAATGCAAACCCATTTAAGGCGTTAACTGACGAACTAAAACCCGAGATTTACATGATCCATGTAGAGAATGATCTTTTGGGTGGATCTTATAGGTTTAGTCCGTAAAAAAAAAACCATTTGGATAAGAAATCTTTATCCAAAGGCAAAAAAGCAAAAGAATCTTAGTTCTCATCATAATTTAAACTCTCTCTCTCTATTCTTATCTCATCTGATCATGGATGTTAGAGAGAGAAAAACGACTTCTTCACAAGGGATAGTGAGTCCTCCCATGTCATGGCGAAATCCGAACTCTTCCTCTGCTTGTTGAAGAAGGATCAGGAATTCCGGATGAGTCAAGAAGGAGATTGGTACGATGTACCTCGTTCGCTTTTCGCCTACATAAACTGGAAAATGTCCCTTTGGTACGTCAAGAGGGAGACCTTCCTCGTCGTAGCATTGTTTCTTGCCTAAGCTCGAGCATCTCTTGAGGATTTGCTTTAGCATTGCTGTTTGTGTTAGCTTTGAAGATCTCTTTACCGCCATTGTTTAGTTTTAGTGTTGTTTTTTTCTTTGATGAGAGTGAGAGAGTTCTGATGAGGAGAAAGTTGAAGGAGAAATGAGGAGTTTTTGATGAGAGAGAGGTGGCGAAAGGGGTTATTTATGGAGGAGGATGAGGATAGAATGCTAAAGCAACAGTATTATTTTAAATTTCTTGATTATCCGAAATTTATTTAATATTTATATATGATCAAATGATTATCAATAATCTAAAATTTTGGTTAGTGCCGTCTTTTAAGACTCTTCTAAAATAATGATACATTTCAAATGTTATTCAGCAAAACCACTAATTGTTTGAGGGAATTATCATATCAAGAACTACATTTTTTTTTAATTATACTTTTATTTCACAAAATTAGTAAAATGGAATTTAATTAATTTTTCAGTAAAGATGTTTTACGTATTAGTGAATATTCTCCAAGACTTCACATGCACATATTATGAAGAAGTAGTTATATTCCGATGATAAACAATATACACTACTTATAATTTTGGATATATGTAGTTTTATTTTTTAAGGAGCAGGAAAAAAGCAGGAGAAGGGATATAGAGAGGCATGTGACAGTGTGGGATCCAAACCCATTGGGATTTAATTTCATTGTTGGTCCTCCCCAAGACACCATGGTCCCTCTTCCTCTCTTTCAATAGTTATTATCATTCATAGGGAAAAATATCAATGCGGTAACTAAATTTCATATTTACGTACGAAGAGGTATCTAAATATGTACTATAAGTACAAATTATGTGTACCCCTTACTCTATGTGGTTAAGTAAGTGTATATAATTGAAAAGCATGCATTAAATTAATTACCTCTAGTTTATGATAACTTTTTCTATTCATTCTTCAAACAAGATCGTTTATATAAATCAGTTCAGGTATTTACTATTTAGATTTTGACTAGTCACAAGACCACCAGCAGCCACCATGTAAACTCGAAAGTGAACAAAAATGTACGTATACACCAACAAAACGATATCACCAGACTAGAATCAAGATCTATTAGTATTAGTACTCTATTAGACTAATCACGCGATTTTCTTTTTTATGTAACTAGATCTCTTGAGCCTAAAATAGACTAATCCCGCAATTTTCAACTACCATAGAAAGTTTTTAATAGATATTTTTAGGTAGCCGGATTTTTTAGGACCTAAGGCTAGACAAATTGTCACAATTCACAACTGTCATGTGATACATTCAAAAATCAATCTAATTGTCTTGATCAAACAAAATTATTTAATTACAAACAATTGGTTATAAAATATCTATTTGAGAACGCAGATTGTAACAAATGCATACAAAAAAATCCAAAAAACTGAGTAAGATTCGCCTTAATTAACTCTTGTCTGCAAGTGACCGTATATGTTTTCAATACTTTTGACCATGTTCTGTATAGTTATATGCTTATTGACAATGGGCATTTATTAGATCTTTGTGTCTGGTCGTAGAAGGTTAGGGACAAAGAACATGTTAAGTCTCACGATCTCGAGCTTCCCATCTTTGTTGATTTGTGATGTTCCTCTTCCTAATCCATTGCGCCGGACATAAAATGAAGATTGACGATAAATAATACGTACTCCCTTTCTTAATAGCTGATGTTTTAGAACAAATATTTGCTTCACTATATATATTTTGTACTTTTAATAAAAATATTCGTATACCATTTTATTTTATTTGTTCCTATCGATTTGAGTTAAAATAAATAGAGCAAGTAACTTTTAATCATAGAATAAGGGTATACTAGGGTTGTTAAATATGTGTACAAAGTAATTTTAATTATGGATTCACATTATGTACATCATAACATGAATGGTCCATAAACCCTAAAACAAGATAATTAACGCCAGTTACTTCTTGCACACGTAACTCTAAACTCTGCAATTCTACAAAGTTAAATCTTTGAACTCAAGTTGAATCTTGTGAATTACCTCACAAATCTATCACATCAAGCAACAAGTGAATCAGAATCATGGTTTTTTTTCTCTAATCGACCACAAAAACCGACAGAGGGAGAGAGAGAAAGAGAGAGATTGCGGTCGTTGTCAGGGAGAGAGGCTAGCATGTTCTGCGAACGAGATTTGTTGGGAAATTTTCAGTGAAAAGGAGAAGAGGATTAGAGAGAAATTACGAATCTTTTGAAGGGACAATTTCAGCTTACGGACTGATAATGACATGTCTCTCGTCTCGACCAAGCACATGAAAGCCCCATGTTACTCTTGCCTCCTTCTTCCTTCAAAACTGTCCTCTTTTGTACAACTTTCCGTTTTTACAGTATGAAATGCAACTTCTTTAATGCAGATTTTACTAGACTTGAAACTTGTCTGCTTTCTTTAGGAAATTCTTGAATCCCTAATTATCTACTTTCACGGCGAGAAATCAGAATCGATAAACCCTTGTCCTGTCCTGTTTGTACAACTCTGTCTCTTCTTTCAGAAAAAAAAAACATAGTAGCTTTGTTCTAACACACTCTTTATTGCTGATTCCTCATATCCAAAAGAAATTCATTCGGTAAACTATTTGAAGCCAAGCTTCAGATAACTAAACAACTCTGTTCAAGAAATAGTTGTAGTGCATATTTTCTTGAAAATTATGTCGATTCAAATCTTGAAAAAACCTCAGAAAGTTCCATATATGTTTCGTTTAGGAAGTGATTGAATCTAATTTCTATATTCACGTGAAAAAAGAATCCATGAGCTCTGTTTCTAAGTCAAGAAAAATATAGGTGGCGAGATCTGAAGTGAAATGTAAGGTCTTTTCATCACATGGGATGCAGGAAAATTGGACCCAAGAAATTATTAGATGAGATTGGCTAATTGTTTCTTGTACGATGATCAACAGTTGAATTTCAAGAGGGCAACGTCAAGGAAAAAAAGAAAGAGAAAACAGAGTGGCACCTACGGAAAACGATCGAGACGGCAAAAAAAAAAAAAAAAGATAAGACTAATAAGCTTTCTTTAGCCTCCGATTAATTCAACTGCTAAATGGGGATTGAGGTAGGGTTTCGAAGTCGTATTCATATACTTAATTTGGCATGTGATGAAATTTTTAATGAGGCTTAATTGGTTCTTACAGGGCCCCCTCCTTCACTTGCAAACCTTGAATCTTTTTCATATTTCGGGGAGGAATTGGAGAGGCTAATTGTTTGACATGGAAAATGTATAATATGCAATGAATGTAAGAAAATATCTACATTTAGTATTTATTTTGTTTTTAATATAAATTGGAATTTTCTCATCTAGAAAACAAAAACATATTTTAACTCTATAGTTAGAGAATAACATTATACAACGTAACTCAATAATAAATCAGACGTTCGATTTAAAAATGCTGGCTAAACCGGACTAACCGGCAGGTTTTAACGTCCAGAGAAAACAACAAGTGTAAAGGAAAAAAATTAATAACGAAGAAAATTAAAGAAAGTAAAACAAAAGACGTAAGCAAATAAAAAGACGTTTAAGAAAATTGACGTAAGCAAATAAAAAAACGGTGACAGATTTCCCCACGCGCATCTGTCCCTTTAATTTATGGGCTTTTGGGCTTCGAATCTTATTTTAAATTATATTTGGGCCAAAAGTGTTTATTAGTATTAATTAATTGTTTAAAAATACATTTTAATAATTATATGAAGAGAGAAAGAAAACAAATTATCTCATATGGAAAATTGGAAATAACTACCAACCAGAAATCCAGAATAATATAAGTTCAAATTCTGCCGTTTCACTAAAATCTGAACGAAATGTTTGGTGTCCAGAATTAAATGACACAAATGTCTATATTAGTAGTATTTTTTTTGGTGCAAGACACAAAATGTATTAACATGCAATGAATCATGTACGCTCTAGGTATATTCCTCTCATTGAAACAATTTACAATTATTTCCAGGGGAAATTAGCTAACAATCTAAAAAAAATGGAAATGTTGTTGTACTACTTCATCGAATCTGAGATGTGACTGTGAAGAACAAAGATTCATGACATGGTATGGTTAAGCCGCCCATAGGATGATCATAACCAAACTCTTCCTCGGATTTACTCAACAGTTCTTGAAACAGAGGCTGGTTTAAATATGAAACCGGCACCACATATCTCTTCTTCTTCTGATCATTCTCTCCTACATACACCGCCATGAATCCTCTTGGTGTCGACGATGATTCCCTTCGCATAATTTGCTTAGCACCCAAGAAACTCCTCAAAAAAGCCATCTTTTTGTTATCTTGTCCTGAAGCTTGATTATGGGTTTAAGCTTAAATATTTCTTATTCTTGGAGAAAGCTTTGAGATTTTAAAATTGGATTTTCTTTTAGTTTGTGAATCAAAAGGGTTTTCAGTTACTTGTTATATAAACGAACGTATGAAAGAAATTATCAGAAATTTAAGTATTTTTGGTTCTTTCATTACAGAGCACATGGCTTTGGGTTGTAGATACTAAACCAAGAACAAATCAATAAATGGTGTCTGAGAAGTTAGTGTCTAATGATGTCCTACATGATAACCTCATTGGGGCTTATTTGTCTCAAAGACATCACATGCCAAATCTCTCTGTAGATTATGTAGGGACCTGAAGTTGTGTACCTAATGAACCGTAAGTCTCTATCACTGATTAAGTCATAACTTCTTCTCAATGATATTCAAAAGACAGGACCACATGATTTGATTATATACTGACAAAGTCACAAAACCCTTCAAAATTTCTGTGGCATAGAATTGAAAATTTGACTAGTTATAGTGTTTATCTAACAAACAAGTGGTCATATTGATTTCTGTCTTCACATCAGAAATCATGAAGATTGATCACTCTAGGGCCCTTACTTATCATGCCGTGGTCCGGCAAAGCCATGTGCTTGTTGGTGTAAATTTATGAGCTGAAACTTTCTAAGCCAATAAAGGGTTATCTTCAAGTAATGTTCTTATCTATATATACTCATCACTGACTCCTTTAAGCTCTGCAAGTTCTCAGATTTTCCAATAAAGCATTTAACTTACAATTAAAGAACACACACAAGACAATCCATGGCGATCAGAATCCCTCGTGTGCTGCAATCATCGAGGCAGATTCTCCGACAAGCGAAACTGTTGTCATCTTCTTCCTCTAGCTCTCTTGATGTTCCAAAAGGCTACTTAGCGGTTTACGTAGGAGAACAAAAGATGAAGAGATTTGTAGTTCCGGTTTCTTACTTGAACCAGCCTTCATTTCAAGATCTATTAAGAAAGGCAGAGGAAGAGTTTGGATTTGATCATCCAATGGGTGGCCTCACAATCCCTTGCAGTGAAGAAATTTTTATTGAGCTTGCTTCTCGCTTCAACTGATCATGACTCACTCAAATAACCTTTTTTGTCAATGATTTTGTACATTTTTTTCCCAATTACTTTTCTTCAAGAGATGAGATGACTTAGAAACATCTCTCCTTGAAAGTGAAACAGAGACTTGTAACACTCTTTTTCCTCACTTACAGTGAGTTGGACTCAAATCTAATCAAAATCACATGATTCATCATCTTGAAAATCTTAATCTCAGTTTCCAGACAAACTCACCGAGGATACAACTCAGTGTTGGAATTATAATTTGAAGTTTTTGCATTATGTCCTAAAGAAGAAGAACTATCTGATACCGCATTGCTGTGTGAGAAAAATGCAGGTTTTGATGGTTCTGAAAGAGCAATAGTATGTCCATCTAACATCAGAAGAACCGAAGCCATGCTTGGCCTCTCTGAAACGTTATCTTGGACACAAAGAAGACCAATGTTTATGCATCTCAAGATCATGTTCGATGAATAACTCGACATTGTCATCAAGATCTTGTCCACAAGATTCAAAGCAACGCCTTCCTTCCAATTTCTCCAAGCCTTTATCAAGACATCAGAACTCAGTGATGTGAATTAAGAGTTACTGATCAAAGCTCAATGTTTTGCAAATAATATACTTACAAAGCTAAGGAGATCTTCCATGCTGTCCTCATTGCTGAAACAACTGTTTTTCTTACCACTGATGATCTCAAGAACCAAAACTCCGAAACTGTAAACATCTGTCTTAAACGAGAACTGGCCGTGCATTACATACTCTGGAGCCATGTATCCACTGTTTAAACCAAATGACTGATCACAATCGAGATTGATGAGTAAAAGATGAATGTTAGTTTTTGCTACTTACAAAGTCCCAACGATCCTATTTGTGTAGCGTTGAGTTGTGTGGTCCATATCGAATAGCCTAGCCATTCCAAAATCTGCAATTTTTGGGGTCATTTCCTCGTCTAATAATATGTTACTAGCTTTAAGATCACGGTGTATAATCCGCAGACGAGAATCTTGATGAAGATAAAGAAGTCCTCGAGCTACACCTCCAATGATTTTGTATCTAATATCCCACTCCAATTGCTTGCCCTGGATCGGTTCTATACAAACACTCAAACACTTGAGAACATATCATTCACACACAAAAAACAGTTGAATGGTTTCCAAGAACACGTTGAACGTGAAGAAAGTAGTACCGAAGATGAACTTGTCGAGACTAGTGTGTGGGAGGAACTCATAGACAAGAAGCCTTTCAGTTCCTTCTATTGAGTAACCTAAGAGCTTCACGAGATTACGATGTTGAAGCTTAGCCACCAACAAGAACTCGTTTTTGAATTCGGTTTCACCTTGTTGTGCATTTTTGGACAACCTTTTCACCGCTATTTTTTGTCCACCAGAAAGCACACCCTAATGATAATTATACGAGAATGTTATGATAAATCGTTATAACAGCTGGTTCTTCTTAAGTTTGTAAGGTCACCTTATAAACTGCTCCGAATCCACCTTCTCCAAGTTTATTTTCTAATGAAAAATAACTTGTTGCATCTTGTAATACACTGAAATCAAATCTCATTGAATCCGTGCTAATATTTTCATCTGTATGTAAAGAAATGAGATAAACCATGTATCGAGAAACTGAGTTAGAAATATATCAAAGGAACATTGAAACAGAGGATATAAACAGAGGAAAAAAACAACACACGAAAAATCTCCTTCCATGTCCGAGTTTGATAGCTTACTTTCATGTCTATGTTCCGAATTTTTGTTCTTCTTCTTCCTTCTCAGCCTTAGGAAAACGACTAAGAATACTATAAGTAAGACAACAATAGCAACTGAAGCAGCAGCAAAGATCAAAGCTTTAGGAGGTACACCTCTGTTTTTATCCCCTGAACAAAAAAAAAACACACACCTAAAATGTTTAATACTGTAACAAACTCAAATATTCTCATTGGGAAATTAAAAACATGTTCTACAGTCTGATTTAAATCCTAGTATTCAAAACTTTCAAATCCATAAGAAGTAGCAAACCTACCTTGCACAACTGAGCTTGGCTCATCAGTGTCCACTGGATCATAGAATCTCCAGGTAGCATAAGCCACAATACAGCTAGGAGACAACACATAACTACCCATTTTCAAATCACAACAGCTTGGGATCTTTGCAATACCCTGAGACAAACAATAGGAACAATCCTCTTCCGAAATATCGGGTGTGCACTGAACCAGACCGTACAATGTCTGAAATGACGGCCCGCTCGTTTCGCCGACAACAAAATTCTTCTTGCTACGACCAATAACAGAGGCTCTGTTTTTAAGCCCTTCGAGTAAACCCCTTAATGATTTCTCCCAAGCATCGCGATCTCCGGTGAAGTTTCTTGTCCCGGTTATGCTTGTGTGAAGGAAAATCTCCAATCTATTGAAGATCGTTCGGTTTGAGTACCGAAACGTGCATTTTTCATACCAAATAATCGCCTCTTTCTGAACCGGACACAACGTGACAAGTCTTTTTCCAGCCATTGCGATGCAATTGATGCAATCTTCAGGTTTGACATCGCCTCTACACTGTGAGATTGCGTTGACTTTTTCGTCGGAGTCTCCGACTGAAATGTTGTAAAATCCGTTATCGTTACTTTGGAGAGATGATAAAGAGGAGATGAGACGGTCGAGGTTGACGGCGTAAGGGGTGTTAACGGTGAAGTTGCCTGTGACGTTTGAGCATATTTGGTTTAACGGAACCGGTTGCGACTTAACGGTAAAGCATTGGATTTGGAATAAGAGTGAGATCAGAGGAAGAAGAAGAGACAACATGATTTGCGTTGTTTCTGTTGATCATTGTCAAAATTGTTAGAACGGGAATTAACACGCCATTAGGCGGCGTTGACCTTTGACTCTGTTCATCTTTTGAAATTTTTGTTTATTGTAAGCTAGGCTGTTATGAAAGGCGACAGTAATTCATAGAATTATGAGTTTATTTATCGATTTTATACGCTCGTGTCAATGTCAGTGAACGGATGGCGAGTATAATTTTATGTTGTAATACACAACTTGTTCTGTTTCTTGTCAGCAAATAAAAACTACTTGTTAATCATCATGTTGTGAAATGTTGAAGGAGAAAAGATGGGGAAATATCAGACAAGAAAGGTGATTTACATTTGCTTTCTCTTCTATGTAAGTAATTACACTGGGTTCTAAATATCTTCTAAATCTAATGATCTAAAAAAAATTGTTACATATATGTGATCCTTGTGAATTGGAACTAATGAAGCTGAGAAGTGACAGTGATAAAAGTATCTTCAGGACAAGGGATGGTCAAGCCGCCCATTGGATGATCAAACCCAAACTCTTGTTCGGATTTACTCAACAAAGCTTGAAATGAAGGCTGGTTCAAATATGAGACTGGCACTATGTATCTTTTCATCTGGCTTTCTCCAACGTACACTGCAAGAAACCCCTTTGGTGTCGAAGCCGTCATTGATCGGCCTTGAAAGATCTTCTTTGCACTCATAAGACCTCGGACCACGCCCATTTTTTTTGTTCTGTTTATATATGGATCTTGGGGAAAAGATTCAGCTTAGAGTTCTCCTTTAGCTTATCAGGTTAGATGAAGAAGTTGTTCTGCTTTGGATATGAAAACAATGCAATATATATACAACCAATTTCCTTGGGGTGATAGAAACCGTGGGCTTCTTATACAAGAGTGGGACATACAGAAGAAGAATTCACATGGCTCTGTCTTGCAGGTGCTAAACTGATAATTGAATATGGATTATTGAATCTGAAAAGCATTCATGGCACTAGAAGACTAACAAAAACTTCGAGCGCACTTCACATGAGATTGTCGATGACACAGATACATGATACATCTCTTTGGAATGATAGATGATGTACGTGGGACCTTATGTTATGTACCTACACAACACCTGAAAAGTCGCTGAGTCAAGTAGTCAAGTAGCCAAGTGGCTACACATAATCCATCTGACTAACCCTCCGTATAAGCTGTGAGAGCATTGTCCTCCAAGTTGTTGAGAAGACAGAGGGCCCGCCGTTTTCAGGCTTTTAACAACACCGTCGTTCTTCTCTCTGTTGCACCGACTTTATGGGATTAAAGATCCCGTTAGTAGCTGCAACCAACTAAACAACACGATGTTTCTCCCTTTCGCACCAAAACTGCATGGCGTTCAAGGTATTAGGGATACACTCATACAAGGATCCTCTCTGTACTTGAGAAGAAAAGCCAATGGGAAAATTGCGAGATTGACAGCTCATCGTCAATAGCGTTTCTTCTTATGTGATTGGGCCTTAATTCAAAACTTATCAGCAAGAAGCCCAATTATACAATTTAAACCCAATTTTAAGCCCAATTGATTGTGTCGCGTGACTCGTGAATCAATTTTAACAAAAACAAAAATAATCAAAACTATTTTTTCTTTTTTTGGTAATCGCTGTCTCCTATGCTTTATTTAATAAATAGAAATAACTTACAAACGAATATTATGTGGATACGCAGATCCGTTCATATCCTCTAACAAAACCGGCTTAACAACGTCTGGGTAATCAATAAAAGAGTGGAAACCAAGGGATAAAAAAATCAAAACTATTACTTACACGCAATGTAAATGTAACATTTTTTATATATGGATCCCGGCCCACGCAAACCACCATTTGCAGTCTCATATAAGAAAAGTTGGATCGAAAGTGTGTATTTCAATGTATAACAAAACAAAAGGTATTATTATCTAGTGAAAGCTACTTGGAGTGGAACAAAGTTGTCTGGTCTCTCAAGATCTCCTTTCCTATCTCTTCTTTTGTAAAGATGGCATAGTCACTTTTCGTAGTTTGTACCAGAAAAGGGAAATGTTAGGGATTCTGTCCTTTTACATCTTGTTTTCTTGTTAAGATTATTATGAATCTATCCTACATTGAAGAAAATGTATTGTAACAACTCCTCCACTTCTAATTATTAGTTATATATATCTACATCTACAAAAGAGCACACCGAAAATAATTCGAAATTTAACTTATTATTATACCCAAAGAAAATATGTTTTGTTTTTTGTTTTTTTTTTTGAAATCAAAGATATGTCAATGCTTAGAATTTTTCTATACGTTTTAATATTATTAAAAAATTCAAGTCAACTATTTTTTTTGTGAATCTTTACATTGAATTCTAGAATAGCACAGTTAGCACTAGCCTAAAACGAAACTTATCTTAGTCTAAAATGAAATTTATCTTGAAACACAAATAGTATAAATTTAAATTTGTAATTTAGAATAAATTTTAGCTTTTTCAAACTTTAAAACTTGCATAGGAACTCTTAAGTTTTGTGTCCTCCAATGGTTAAAACTACTAATGGGGTTCTCTAAGAAAAAATTCAAATTTTGTAAAATAATACATGGTTTTTTTTTTGGTAAAAACAATACATGGTTTTACAATACATATTCACAAAAAGAAACAACTCTTGGTTGCACATGTTTTCTTTTAATCGTTTATTAATCAAAGAGTACTAGAATGTGAATTAACTATGCTTTAGTTTGGATAAGACAGTGAAACAAGAATGACACTTGCACAAGACCTTTGGTTCTGCCTCCTTGATCTCATCTCCTGCTTCGTCCTATTGACCAAAGAGTTATAATCATGTCAATTACAGAACTTAGGGAAGAATGATCAAAAAAACTTAAGAAGTATGCAACACAAACACAGAACAGAAGCACAAGCAAGCAAGAAGGAACTTTCCCAGCAAAAAGTTACACAACTAGTACGTAGAAGCTTCAATAAAACATACCTGATAGCAAACCTTGATCTTATCCCCTTTGTGAGCTTGAAGATAACATTTACGAGGCTTGTACTGTAAAATAAGAAAAAATCAAAGCAAGGGTCACGAAACTGCATCAACCAAAAGAGTATAGAAGCCAAATCCATTTCCAATTTCTTCATTTAGAAAACAAATTCAAAACCAAAGTATCCAGCTTGATGCAAATTACAAAAAAAAAGGGTCTAGAATGACTGTTAGTATTAATAAAACTAGACAACGTTATCATGACCATTTTCATCATCTCATCACAAAAATTAAAATTCAATTTTACTCAGAGAGGCTCGTACACACATAATCAAACATTGAGTAGATAAGATTAAGATCCGATTAGAGAACCACAAAATACAACGAATTAAGTCACGATACACAAGGTAAATGGGCTTGATTCATACCTGCAACAAGAATTTGGAGCTTCCTTCAATGAATCCGGAATCGGAGTCGCAAATCTTCAATTCGGTTTCCCTCCGTTCGTCGATGGTCAGCATTGTCTCTGCAGTTGATGAAGCCGGCAGCATGCAAGTCTCAGATACTTGAATCCGGCGTCGCGACGATCGGAAATCATGGGTCCGGCAAAAGAACGGCGTCGCGTCGATCGCCTTCGCGAGAAAGAGAAACAATCGGATTTGTTTTTTTTGCCAAAGGAAAAATTAAAAAAAAAAACACGAGACTTTTTTTTGTTTTGTTAAAAATGATGTTCCAATCAGAGTGTGCCACGTGTTCGATTCTCTGAATTGCCCAAAACTCTCAGAAGAGAGACGATTCTCTCATTTAATATTTGTTTTGATTTATTTTTTTCCCAAATCAACAAGAGAACCGATCCAAAATATTGAGAGAATCTCCCTTTGGAGATGCTTTTAGCCGCACTAGAGCCGGCCGGCTTTGACTTTGGTTGAAGTTTGACGCCAGCACAGAGGCGCCGACCAATGACGGACGAACACAGAACGTTTAATTATCGACAAGTGTCCCCACGACTTTTCGTCGACGATGGCCACGTCACCATAAATCAAGCGGGTAAAGGGCTCTTGTCAGAAATCTTTAGATCCGTCCAGTTATATGGAAAATATAATTAAATCAGGACTCGGTTACTCATTTTATATTTTTTATCCATAGACCGGCATGTATGCACACAAGTGTTATTGCCCGTGTCATACGTACCACATAGTAGATTAAGTGGTCAAGATTGTTCGATGTTATGTTCCATTTATGTTTTCTGGAGTTTGCTTAGTTCGTCGGTCTCTATTAATATAATACGTCACGTCGAGCCGTGCCAAAAAATTTTTATGCCATAAGCGGATAAATATAGTTTAATATTTAAATAATATATAAAATTTTAATAAAATAATTTAATGTTTTAAATTTTTTATAATAAATCTATAAATTTGAGCAAAACTTATAAAATAAATTTTCAACAAAAATATCACAAAACAAAAAAAATAGAAATTAGATTGATCATAACATGTAATATACTAATTTGTGTTAGTATAGTTATTGTGTTACCATTCAAACGGTATAATATATCTTGTTAATAAACAAAAAAATGTAGTATTTAATATATAAAAATAATTGATAAATTTAGATAAAGATGATTAAGAAAAAAAGAAGTTAGTAAAGATGAGAAAAGAAGTATTAACGAGATAGAAAAAAAGAGGATTCAAGGAAATAAAGATTAACAACTTTGATTTATTACCTTATGTTTGGACATTTAAGAATCTTTGTATTTAGGAATCTTATATATTGCATGTTATACTACTTTCTTTTATTATTTCACTAATTGTATTAATTTTTCCAACGTTATTACTAGGATATGATCTACACAATTAACAAATATAACCTCCTAGATGTTCTATAAAATTTAGTGACTTTGGCGAGTGTTTCTTTTCTTATAACGTAGGCACGGCTCTGCGTCACGATCGTGTATTGTAATGACTTTTTGGACCTGTTTTTGAAGCAGCTGTAATGTTTTTTAATGTCAACTAATATAATTAATTACAAGTGCACGGAAAAATAAATTCAAAAAAATGATACAGCCAAATTTATATTAGTCTGAAAAAGATATAAGAAAGGAACCGACCATTGGTTAAAAAAGACAGGCATTATGACTAAACATCGTGTTCTTTATGATGTTCTTGTCGGTTACTGAAGTGAAATAGCGAACCTAACACGCCCCCATGAGTAAGTAATCCAAATTGCGAGAAGTCACTATATATTTCTCAAGTAATCCAAATTGCGAGAAGTCACTATATATTTCTCAAGTAATCCAAATTGCGAGAAGTCACTATATATTTCTCAAGTAATCCAAATTGTGAGAAGTTACACAATACACTATATGTTTCATTACAAGAAGTTGTAGTTAAACTTAATTCGTCTCTTTTAATTATCTCTGTAATCAAAAGAAAATATACGGTCATGTAATCATGTTACAACTGCGAACGCGAACGGAAATTCAATGAATATTAAATTAGACTTTTATGAAATGATTAGTTTAGGTAATCTTAGGTGGGGAAAAAAAAAGGACAAGATGCTTTCAAAGTTAAAGTCTAGCTAGGGATATATGGTTAATATACGTTTGGTGGTACCGAGTCCACAAATATAATAAAATGAACTGAAATTATATAAATAAATAGCAAGAAATTTTCAAATTCTGTTTTAACAAGATTTAATTAACAACTAATATTTTTTTAGCCGCTATACACCAGGCCCGGCCCGTCACAGATTTCTAAGAAACAAATGTATTGGGCCTCCAGAATTTTTAAAATTTTTAATATCAAACTTAGGCCTCAAAATTATTAGTTATTGCAAATAATAGACCTTATTTTTTCTGAAATTTTCAGATTTAGTTTTAACTTTTAAATTTTATCTATTTGTTATTGCAAAACGAGGTCTCATTTTCCTAAAATTTTACAATTTGGTCTCAAATTTTAGTTTTTTTTCTATAAAACCCATCCAAAAAAATTTGTTTTGTACGGGGCCTCACATTTCACAGGCCGGCACTGCTATACACATATAAAGAACAAGCAAGTCCGAACCAATCTAGAACAACACACACACACACTTGGAGTTAGAGAAAAAAGAAGAGTTTGCCTTTTTTTTTTTTGGGGTGTGTCAAGTTTCTGTTCTTCCTTTTCTCGTGCTTCCATCACGAGATCTCTCACAAGGCTCTCGCGACTCAAGAAAGGTAAAGAGAAAGAAAGAAGATTCCATAAATGGACATGAAAAGCAACAACCACCAGCAACAGCAACAAGTACTTGATGGCTCGGACATAGTTGAGCTGGTGGAAAACGAGAAAGTGTTCGACAAGTTTGTGGAACAAAAGTTTCAACAGTTAGACCAAGATGAAGATGGTAAGCTCTCCGTGACTGAGTTACAACCCGCAGTTGCTGATATCGGCGCCGCTCTTGGTTTGCCTGCTCAAGGCACTTCTCCGGATTCTGATCACATCTACTCCGAGGTAATTTCCTTTTCTTGTTTCTTGATACCTTTTATATTCGTGATCTATGATCCGGCTAATTTGCATATATGTTAGCATTTTGTTAATTAGTTTTCCTATATTATTGATCTTTGCATTTGTTGGTCATCATGTAGTAAGAAATGTTTTTGTTTTTTTGGCCGGCGTACTGACTAGAAATGTTCGGATCTAATTTTTGTGTCACATTTTTTTTTTTCAGTATTCATTAAACTGTAACAAATCTTTTTGGGGTCTATATATGCCCTTGCATTTTCTTTAACTGTGAGATGGAGTGAACCTCTTATACCGGGGAAACACAGGTGGAAGCCACCTCCCCTGCTCTCGCCCTTTTGTGCATAGATTTTTATGATCTTCGAAAGGGTCATACTAGTCGTAAATCATATAAAATAATATATATATATATAAAATATCAACATTTTACTATAGTTGTTTAAGTTATCTTCTTGATACTTACGTGGTGGTGTGGTGGATATATCTCCTATTTCTTTTTTCCCAATATAAAAATGTGTTTTTGCATTACAGTAAACTAGGTAAAAAATTAATAAAACCAGTAGTTGTTTTAAAGAAATGAATCTATGATAATAGCTTTGGTCGGTGACCTTATCTCAAACTAGCCCCTCGTGTCGCTCTTCTCCTGTCGTTTCAATATTGAAACATCGCTTTATGCATCCTCCTCACCTTACTAATTTATTTATTAGTTACTGTGTAAAGGCTGTTATAGTATTTTGCTTATTTATACGGCATATAAGCCTATTTTTCTCTATTTATTTAGTTTGGCTAAACTCATACAATCGTTTTATGTAGATAAAGTCTAGTTTTTGTTCCCCTTAACAAAAAAAAGGTTTATCCTACAAATATCTTCAGTTTATTGTTTATTAATAAAGTCTTTTATCTTTTTTAAGCATTTGGTCGGTGTAAAGTTTCATTTTCGTTCGAGACTTTCTTGACATTTTTGAAGAACAATATCCCATATCACATTTTTTAATCATTATTTATGACATATTTTGTGACGGAATCAAAGCCGTCCTTTATTTTACGAACACTCAACAAAAGACATACGATGATACGAATATGAAATATCACAGAAACTATTTAATGAACCAAAAACAAGTACATTAGTAATATTTTTTTACGGACATAGAAACCCCAAAATTACGTCGTGTTTCGCATGAATCACGTGGATTAATTAGATCAAGAGGACATCGATTGTAGTTATTAGTTAAGATTTGCTTGTTGAAAAAACATCCAAGAAGTAGTAATTCTGAATACGAATCTCTCTCTCTCACTGGATACAAATCAATATCCAACTACTTATCGTTACGTTTTGATTTGGTGTATTTGAGGAAGAGACTACGAGATTAAACTAACAACTCTCTATCTGTCTCATCCGTGCATTTATTTTTCATCGTTTGTAACGTTATAATTTACCTATTATAGGTCCTAAACGAATTCACTCATGGGAGTCAAGAGAAAGTGAGCAAGACAGAGTTCAAAGAAGTGTTGTCGGACATTTTGTTGGGTATGGCTGCTGGTCTGAAACGTGATCCTATCGTCATCCTCAGGATGGACGGTGAGGATCTCTCGGAGTTTGTCCACGGCCCTGGATACGAAATCGAACTTGTTTCTGTCTTCTCAGAGCTCTCCAGTTGCAAGGACGCATCGCTCCGTGATTGTATCGTCAAAGCTCTCCAGTCTCTTTCTGTTGATCATGGAATGCCTCCTTCCAACGACCCATGGGTACGTATTTACTTTATGTATATATATCGCTTTTTCTGCTTGAAAATACAAGTCTTGCTATGGATTTTCTTGGCGTAAAGTTCCTAATTCAACTTCAAATCTAAATTAATATGAAATAAAGCATATTAAGAGTCCACTTGTTTTTGTATGGGTAAAACCAAAACCGTAAAAATAACTTTTTCCAGATGTTTTTTTTATTTTGTGTACAAAATATCAAAAGTTGATACTTACGGTGGGAGTACATATGATATGTATCCAAGTTCGTTTTTGATGTTATATACTTATATATGTTGCTAGGGATCAGTGAGCTTTGCCTAAAAAGTAAAGTCCTTGTAACAGGTGATGAGCAACATTGTAGAACCAATTGTTGACTCTTGTCTTGATGAAGAAGATAAGAGAGAGAAGAGCGCGTCTCAGGAGAAATTCTTAGAGGCATTCAAGAGAGTCGTGGAGAGAGTGGCTCAGCGTCTCAATGAACAACCCGTGATCGTTGCTCACAGCGAAAATACTTTCGATGGGAGCGGTGTCAGGAGGCTCTTGTCCAATAAATTCGAATTCGATAAGGTAAACTTTCATACATATATATATATATATATATATATATATATATATATGTTAGCTAGCTTTCATACTACAGGAAGACAAGTTTGTTTTAAATGATGGTAATGAGTCACAAGTATCGATTCGGAACGTTTTGGTCGCAGGCACTAAACGTTGCATTGGAGACGATTCCAAAAGACCGTCATGGTAAGGTGTCTAAAGAATATATACGAGCTGTGCTTGACACTGTTGCACCATCTGCGAGTTTACCACCGATAGGCGCTGTGTCCCAGGTAAATAATCCCCGTGCGGTCTTAATATATATTTTTTGTCTTTGAAATTGTTTATTTTGCCTTTGAATTTACATGCATGTTACAGTTATTTTGTTTATATTTTAAAACAAATGAAACCACAACTTAAGTTTTAATCAAATATTATTAGTGAAGTTCTTGTTTGAGCGGCATTGATTAGTTAAGTTTGTTTGTGTTTAAGATGGATAATATGATAATGGAAGCGTTGAAGATGGTGAATGGAGATGATGGAAATATGGTGAAGGAAGAAGAGTTTAAGAAAACAATGGCAGAGATATTGGGGAGTATAATGTTGCAGCTTGAGGGTAATCCGATATCGGTTTCCTCTAACTCGGTGGTTCACGAGCCGCTCACCTCGGCTACATTTCTGCCTCCGACTCTGAATGAAACAGAGGAGCCTTCAACCTAATCAAAGACGGGGAATAACCAACATCAACAATGTTATATGGTTTCAGAGTTTTTTACCCCCAAAAGTTTTAGAGTAATGAGGAAAACCGTCTTACTTTGCAGATGTATAAGATTGAAAGTTTGGGGTTTCCTCTTGTGGGTGTGGTGATTATGCTCATGCTTTTTATTTTCTTTCTCTAATTACCAAGGGATGCAATGTTTACTCTGTTTTTATTTCGTTATAAATTGTTTACGTTTATGAAACATATGAGTTATCTTTAAAAGTGGGAAATAAAAATTGTGAATTTAAATGAAGAATTTGATTACAAGAGCTTGTCTAAAAGAAATTAAAAGGAGACAAAAATAGTTAATTTAAATAATTACGTCACAAAAATAAAATTAATTTTTTTTTAACCAGGGAGTAATCATCTATTGGTAACACAAGAGAAAAGAGGACCAAAAGGGTCCAAAAACGAATAACTATCGCATTCGCCGGAGTTTCCAGCCGTTTCTTCCCGATTCTCGGATTTTTCTTGGGAATCAAACGCGTCGCCGAGAATCGGAAGAGAGGGAAAAGGGTATGGCTCCTCATGGGGATGAATCAATTGACATCGAGAAACCTGAGCTTGCTCAATCGGAGATTCTTCGTCCGATCTCCACAGTCGTCTTCGTCATCGGTACTTAATGATTTATGTAGATTCCGATTCGATCTATCTATCTATCGGTTTCTTCTTCTTCTTCTTCTTCTTACCTTTTTGTTTTCTGATGGAGCTGCAGCTATGCAAGCGGAGGCTCTTCCTTTGGTCAACAAGTTCGGACTCTCTGAAACTACTGATTCGCCGTTAAGAGCTCTCCTTTTTCCGATTTCTGTTTTTTGCTTGTTTGGATTTTGATCTCCATGAATCTTTCACTACAAAGTCTTACTCTTTCGTTTATGATGTATAGGCTTGGTAAAGGATTGCCCTGGGTTCTGTATCACGGCGTGCATAAAGATCTTCGAATCAATGTAGTTTGCCCCGGAAGAGATGCAGCTTTGGGTAAGGATCTTTCAATGCTCTCAAAGATATGATCATTTTCCTATGAATCTCTCGGTCAAGTCGGTGCTTTGTTTAGTATGAGCTTGTTGATGTTATGCTTTTCATGAAATGAGCTCTACAAGGAAAAGGAATGCACTTTTTTTTTGTTACTACTAACTGAGATTTCTCTCCAGGGATCGATAGTGTTGGAACTGTTCCTGCTTCTCTCATAACTTTTGCTTCTATCCAAGCATTAAAACCTGACATTATAATCAATGCTGGAACCTGCGGTGGCTTTAAGGTACATTTTTTCTTTACTTCTCGTGTGCTCTGTCTTCACTTCCAACATCCTTGCTAAGAACCACTTACTCTCTTTCTTTCTTTACTTGTGCTTTGTGTTTGATTTTGTTACTGCTCGTTTACTGAACTCTGAGATTTGAGTTGCATCATAAAAATCTCTCTCTCCCTCATATCTGTATTTTCATGTCGTGAAAGTTGGTTTATTTTCATGTAATGGAAGTGCTGATTGACTGAACATATTCAGGTTAAAGGAGCCAACATAGGCGATGTTTTCCTTGTATCTGATGTTGTGTTTCATGATAGAAGAATACCAATTCCGGTAGGTTCTTCTTCCTTTTTCTTTCCATCTTTAGTGATTCCCTTTTTCCCATTTTCATCTTGCAAGTTCCTGAGCAATGTTTATGTATCTCTCTAGATGTTTGATCTGTATGGAGTTGGTCTTCGTCAGGCATTCTCGACACCCAATCTCCTCAAGGAACTCAATCTGAAGGTATTTATTAGACTGAAGATGCTACTTACTCTTTTAACTATATCAATTTTGACAAAATTGGGTTGTTTTAGATTGGCAGGTTATCTACTGGTGACTCGTTAGATATGTCCACACAAGATGAATCATTGATCATTGCCAATGATGCTACCCTAAAGGACATGGAGGTAGTGTAATGTTAATAACTCTAATTACCGAATTTAGTAAGAAAATCAAAGTACTCTGTTGTTTTGAAACTCTTTTGGCTCTGGATTCTTCAGGGTGCTGCTGTGGCGTACGTGGCTGATCTTCTGAAAATACCAGTCGTGTTCCTCAAAGCCGTGACCGATCTAGTGGACGGAGATAAACCTACTGCAGAAGAGTTCTTGCAGAACTTAACAGTTGTTACCGCTGCACTAGAGGAAACTGCCACTAAAGTGATCAACTTCATCAATGGGAAAAACCTTTCAGACCTTTAACTTTTGTTCTCTTCTTTTATGGAGACTGATTTTTTAAAGATGCGTTCAATGTGCTTGTTGCAGTTTCACTGATTTACAGTGATTATATTCTTCGTTAATAAATTTCAAGTTATTAGACGTTCTCTCGTTAGCGTTGCTAAAATTTTAGCAAAAAACAAAGTCAGTTTGACCAAAGATAACTTATCTGCCTAAAAGACAATAAATCCCTTGATAGTCAAGAATATACAACACAGTAAAATTAATTCGTTACGAGTCACTTGGTGCAACCTCAGACACATAAACGGTGAAATCAGAGGTAAAGAAAAACTGAGCTGTCTTTCCGATAAGAATTTCCGGCAAGCTCGTCGGACATCATTTGAGTATTTCTATCCTTTTAACTTATACCACTCCAGACGGAAGCCGGAGAACAAGCTGGCCTCCGAAAACGCTGTAGAAGAAAAAGGTTGAAACTTTTGAGTTATATATAAAGTGCTAAAATGTTGAAGTGAAGGACTAATGCGTACCTTTTGACGTAGTAGTAACAGAAATCTGCCAAGATGAAAGTTTGAACAATTTCTGAGATCAGAACCATTGATGGCCACAATCCATAACCCAATGCTACAAGCAACCGTCCCCGCGTGTCCACAACCTGTTTTCAACACATTTGACAATGTATTCAGCATTCGAAATTGAGTATAGGAACCACTATTGGTATAATCTATATTCACTCTCGCAGATCAAAACTAACCTGTAAAACCCAGTGGGCACAGCTGAGGAACCTTGCTACTCCAAGTGCAAAAACATAATGAGCTGTGAACGGTTCAACAATCTGAAAACCAAATAGATGCCGATTAGAGAGTAAAACAAATGTAGTTCTCTACTAGACATTGTGAAATAAAGTTGTGACCTTTGTGTTCTGCATCACTCGTAGCTGAGGCAGAACAGAAACAGCTTCAAGGTATACACATAATGCCCATGAAATCCTGTTTAATATGTGATGAGAGGTCGATGGATGGATGAACACAGCTAAAACAACACAGGGCAGAAGCTGCAAAAATTGAAATCAGATAATTGTTAGTGTCAATGATAACAACTAGAGAATCAAAACCAGATTGACATACCACATAATAGAGAGGAAAGTTGTCTTTGTCTTCCATGTAACTAGCTCTTAACTTGAAACGAATCATAAATATAACCCAGAGAGTTGTTCCCAAAGTAGCCAAGTCCAAAATGGTATGAATATCATATTCCATTACAAAGCTACAATACAGCCTAACAGCTAGAAATATCGCCGTAAGCTCCTGAGATTTAAGTGACAATCCTGCAAAAAATCATTCACAAAGTTATATAAACACTCAGAAGGTAAACACTTTTGGAGGTGGTACGCTTAATGATTTGAAATAAGAATCATAGAATGCATTTTAAAACCCTAGATTTCTAAGCAAAACCGTGAATATAAAGATAATAATGATGATTCTATAAATTAAGGCTAATAGCTGCTTCCGGGAGCAGATAACAGTGGTAAAGCAATGAAATCCTGATCAAAGCTTGAAAATTTGGACGCGATTGTGAGAAATAAACAAAAGAGTAGTGACGTTGACAAGTAATTTTGCTAAGAACAGACGAATACAATACGATCAGAAGCTGATAAGGAAGGACTGAGTTGAAAAATGGATGTGATAAAGACAAGACACATAGAATAGTACCGGCACAGGTCTTCTCCTTCATGAGTTTGTAGATGAGAACACAGATCCCGATGGAATGAACAGCCTCAGCGGCAACGAAGAGATTGTCGTGATCGTGAACAATGAATCTGAGAAGAACCAAAGCCGCCATGCCAGTGACCACGGCGAGAAAAGCCTTCACCTTTGGAGGTTGTCTCCTTACCCATGACCACACCACGTGGATCGGAGTCTTCGCCGTCGCCTTCATGTTTTGCCTTTTTTTCGCTTTTCTTCTTCTTCTTCTTCTTCTGTCTCTGATTTTCTCGGCAAAAGTGAAAAAGGTAACTCCTGATCGAGAGAGATTAAAAAGTCTGGTTTTGGTTGACTTGCTGCAAAATTACTAAATAACCCCTTCCCCCACATCTCTAATCTCCTACACTCTTATATACTAAATGGGTCGCGACTGAATCCATAACTTAGGCCCATAATCGTATTTACTTCTTTTTTAAAGGCCCATGATTGCCTTTTTCCACTCTATCTATATATATATATATATGTTCGTACGGTTAATCGTCTTTCTAAATTCTAACCGACCTCACCCGACGACGGTGATTTTAGGGTTTTTCGTGTTCATCAAGGCTCGCACGGAGGTTTTAGGGCTTTTCTTCTCAGCGATTTGGCTGGTCCTTTGGATTTGTTGAAATCTGAAGCTATGTGGACCAATGATGGTACGCCTTTAGCTCCTCCTGGCACCTACAGTTCGAGGATGCAGACACCAACACAGCCCGCTGATCACCCTTCTTACACGTCGCCTTCTAATCGGAATCCTCCGACGGAACCTACTTCTGAGGATGCAGAGGCGAAGCTTGAGAAGAAGGCCAGAACATGGATGCAGCTAAATTCCAAACGGTACGGCGATTAGAGGAAATTTGGGTTCGTGGAAACTCAGAAGGAGGACATGCCACCTGAGCACGTTAGGAAAATCATCAGGCGAGTTTCTATTTTTTCAATTTTGATTTCGAAATCCAGTTAACTGGGAAACGAATTTGGTCCAAATTCTTTCTATGAATAGATTGAAACTGACTCTATGTTTTGATTCAGGGATCATGGTGATATGTCATCTAAGAAACATGGACTTGACAAACGTGTATATCTTGGAGCACTTAAGTTCGTTCCTCACGCAGTTTTCAAGCTCCTGGAGAATATGCCTATGCCCTGGGAACAGGTACTCATTTACTTTAAGTGATCTCTATCTCGCTTTAGTTGTTCTCCTTCTCTGCTCAAAATTTTGAACTCAGATGTCTTCCAGGTCCGGTACGTGAACGTGGTACCATGGGTTGTGGAACCTATTTACATGGCTCAGGTGGGTGATTAGTCTGTCTCTCTCTTCTTCTATTTACATGTGTCTGTGCATTTGCGAGAAATCTTTTCTAGTGATGATTCTCTCTTGTTTGCAGTGGGGTTCTATGTGGATAATGATGAGAAGAGAGAAGAGGGATCGTCGTCATTTCAAGAGAATGCGGTTTCCACCATTTGATGATGAGGAGCCCCCTCTAGACTATGCTGATAACCTGCTGGACGTGGATCCTCTTGAGCCAATTCAGTTGGAGCTAGACGAGGAAGATGATTCTGCTCTATACTCTTGGTTTTACGACCACAAGCCACTTGTAAAAACAAAACTGATCAATAGTCCAAGTTACCAGACGTGGAATCTCTCACTTCCAATTATGTCAACCCTTCACAGGCTTGCAGCCCAGTTGTTGTCTGATTTGGTTGATCGCAACTACTTCTACTTGTTTGACATGCCATCATTCTTCACAGCAAAGGCACTGAACATGTGCATACCAGGTAACTCTATTCTCCTTCTGTCCTCCAGTTCTGATATTTTCATTTTCAGTTGATGTCCTTCTGTTCTCTTTTCCTTATTCATTCTCCTACTCTTTTCCAGGCGGTCCTAAGTTTGAGCCTTTGTATCGTGATATGGAGAAAGGAGATGAGGACTGGAATGAATTTAATGACATCAACAAGCTTATCATTCGATCCCCTCTGCGAACTGAGTACCGAGTAGCTTTCCCCCATCTGTACAATAATAGGCCCAGGAAAGTAAAACTCTGTGTCTATCACACTCCTATGATTATGTACATAAAGACAGAGGATCCTGATCTTCCTGCGTTTTATTATGATCCATTAATTCACCCAATAAGTAACTCGAGTAACACTAATAAGGAACATCGCAAAAGTAATGGTTATGATGATGATGAGGATGACTTTGTGTTACCAGAAGGAGTGCAACCTTTGCTGAATAACTCCCCACTCTACACTGAAACTACAGCTGCTGGCATTTCATTGTTGTTTGCCCCTCGGCCTTTCAATATGAGGTCTGGGAGGACTCGGCGGGCAGAAGATATACCCCTTGTTGCAGAATGGTTTAAGGAGCACTGGTAAGCTAATTTTTATGATGCTACTTTGGTTCTCTTTCCCCTTTTGAAATTTACTAGTCATTGTATTAACTTCTTAGTGATCTCATTTTCTGCAGTCCTCCAGCATATCCTGTCAAAGTTCGGGTTAGTTACCAGAAGCTTTTGAAGTGTTATGTACTCAATGAGCTGCACCATAGACCACCTAAGTCTCAGAAGAAGAAGCACTTGTTCCGATCTCTTGCAGCTACAAAGTTTTTCCAGAGCACCGAACTGGATTGGGTTGAAGTGGGTCTGCAAGTCTGCCGGCAGGGATATAATATGCTGAACCTGTTGATTCACAGGAAGAATTTGAACTACCTGCACCTTGATTATAACTTCAACCTGAAGCCTGTGAAAACTCTGACAACCAAGGAACGAAAGAAGTCACGTTTTGGAAACGCTTTCCATCTCTGCCGTGAGATCCTCCGGGTGACAAAGCTTGTAGTTGATGCAAATGTCCAGTTCCGACTTGGTAATGTTGATGCCTTTCAATTGGCTGATGGCCTGCAATATATTTTTTCCCATGTTGGGCAATTGACAGGTATGTATCGTTATAAGTACAGGCTTATGAGACAAATCAGGATGTGCAAGGATTTGAAACACTTGATCTATTACCGTTTCAATACTGGTCCTGTGGGTAAAGGACCAGGGTGTGGATTTTGGGCTCCAATGTGGAGGGTATGGTTGTTTTTCCTTCGCGGAATAGTTCCTCTTCTAGAACGATGGTTAGGGAACCTGCTTGCACGTCAATTTGAGGGGCGTCACTCAAAGGGAGTGGCCAAAACAGTCACAAAACAGAGAGCTGAAAGCCATTTTGATTTGGAGCTTCGAGCTTCTGTCATGCATGATGTCGTTGATGCAATGCCAGGTTCGCTTCTTGCGTATATAACTGATTTGTTTTTCTCAAGGTTGAAATTGCTTTGCTTTAATTTTCTCTCTTCCTTCTTGGTTTATATTGTCTGCTGATGTGCAGAGGGTATCAATCAAAATAAAGCGCGGACGATATTGCAGCACCTTAGTGAGGCATGGCGGTGTTGGAAAGCTAATATACCATGGAAGGTCCCTGGATTACCTGTGGCAATTGAGAATATGATCCTCCGATATGTCAAGTCTAAAGCTGATTGGTGGACAAATGTTGCTCACTACAATCGTGAGCGTATCAGAAGAGGGGCTACTGTTGATAAGACAGTTTGTAGAAAGAATCTTGGACGGTTGACCCGTCTTTGGCTCAAGGCAGAACAGGTCTTTACCTTGTCTCAACTCGTAAAATCTAAATCGTTGTTGCTTGACATAGATGCTTGTGTAGAGGCTTCGTTTTTTTGATCTTATTGAATTTAGTTCCTTTTATTCTCGATTGCCCGGTTCTGTAACACTTTTTCCTTGTAAAATTATTGCAGGAACGACAACATAATTTTCAGAAAGATGGTCCATATGTCACTGCGGATGAAGGAATAGCAATTTATAGCACCACTGTAAATTGGCTGGAATCTAGAAAATTTTCACCAATCCCATTCCCTCCATTATCATATAAACATGACACAAAGTTGCTTATCTTGGCCCTTGAGAGACTTAAAGAATCATATAGTGCAGCTGTGAGATTGAATCAGCAGCAGAGAGAAGAGCTTGGTTTAATTGAACAAGCTTATGACAATCCTCACGAAGCTTTGATGCGAATAAAGCGTCATCTTCTCACTCAGCATAGCTTCAAAGAAGTAAGTTGATAATGCACCCATTCTGGAGCAGTTTTCTGAACATGCGATCTCAATGTTACTATGTTATTCTGATGGTGAATGCATATTTTTTTTTCTGCAGGTTGGCATAGAGTTTATGGATCTATATAGCCATTTGATTCCCGTCTATCAAATTGATCCCCTGGAGAAAATTACTGATGCTTATCTTGATCAATATTTGTGGTATGAGGGTGACAAGCGCCACTTGTTTCCCAACTCGATTAAGCCTGCAGACTCAGAGCCGCCACCGCTTCTGGTTTACAAATGGTGTCAAGGTATCAATAATTTGCAAGGCATATGGGACACAAGTGATAGTCAGTGTGTGGTGATGCTCCAGACGAAGTTTGAAAAACTCTTTGAGAAGATTGATTTTACAGTGTTGAACAGGTATCTCTCTATTAAATGCTTATGTGATTATGGACATAGAACTTAGACTTTCTGGAGTAACACGTCTTTTTTGTTGTTTCTTTCAGCCTTCTTCGTTTGGTTCTTGATCATAAGCTTGCAAACTATGTGACTGGCAAGAATAATGTGGTTCTGTCTTATAAGGATATGAGCTATACTAATACATATGGACTCATTAGGGGACTGCAGTTTGCATCGTTTGTTGTTCAGTTTTATGGACTAGTGCTAGATCTTTTGCTCCTTGGTTTGACTCGAGCGAGTGAAATTGCCGGGCCACCGCAGAGGCCTAATGAGTTTATGACCTATTGGGATACAAAAGTTGAGACTCGCCATCCCATAAGACTGTATTCTCGGTATATAGACAAAGTGCATATAATGTTCAAATTTACCCATGAAGAGGCTCGGGATCTTATTCAACGTCATCTCACCGAGCGTCCTGATCCTAATAATGAAAACATGGTGGGATATAACAATAAAAAGTGCTGGCCAAGAGATGCATGGATGAGGTTAATGAAACATGATGGTATGCTCCTTTTTTGTATTTAGATAGACTATCATTATGCACCAGATGTTGTCTCATTATTTATTCATCTTGCAGTCAATCTTGGTAGAAGTGTCTTCTGGGATATGAAAAATCGTCTTCCTCGAAGCATCACAACCTTGGAGTGGGAGAATGGCTTCGTCTCCGTGTACAGCAAGGATAATCCAAACTTGCTTTTCAGCATGTATGCGTTTTGTCTCAGTTTTCTAGTGGCTGTTGTAAATTAGTGCTAGGCCTTTGTTTTTGTCACTGTTTGATAGTGCAGCTTATATAGTGACTGGGGTTTGCATTCTTGCCTGCAGGTGTGGATTTGAAGTCCGCATGCTTCCAAAAATTAGGATGGGCCAAGAAGCTTTCAGCAGCACAAGGGATGGTGTCTGGAATCTGCAGAATGAACAAACTAAAGAGAGGACTGCAGTTGCTTTTCTGCGGGTTGATGATGAACACATGAAGGTGTTTGAGAATCGTGTGAGGCAGATTCTTATGTCGTCAGGGTCAACAACATTTACCAAAATCGTCAATAAATGGAATACAGCTCTGATAGGTATATCCTGTACGCCTTTCTTTTTGCAGTACTGATGACGTCTAATAATGTTTGACTAGCATGAAGCTGAGCACATTTATTTGTTTTGTACAGGCCTCATGACTTACTTCCGTGAAGCCACTGTGCATACGCAAGAGCTCTTGGATCTGCTTGTTAAATGTGAAAATAAAATCCAAACGAGGGTTAAGATTGGACTGAACTCAAAGATGCCTAGTCGGTGAGCAAACGCTATCTTACTATATTGTGTTTGACGTATCAGAGTTGTATGTTATGTTTTTGTAAACCTGATTGTTAATTCCTTTGTAGATTTCCTCCTGTTATCTTCTACACTCCAAAGGAAATTGGCGGGCTTGGAATGTTGTCGATGGGTCATATTTTGATCCCACAAAGTGACCTTCGGTACAGCAAGCAAACAGATGTTGGTGTAAGCCATTTCAGGAGTGGAATGAGCCACGAGGAAGATCAACTGATTCCTAATCTTTACCGTTACATACAACCATGGGAAAGCGAATTTATTGATTCACAGCTGGTGTGGGCAGAATATGCTTTAAAGAGGCAGGAAGCACAGACCCATAATAGACGTCTGACGTTGGAGGATCTGGAAGTAAGTATTTTACTTGTAATCTTGTTGCCGCTTTACGTAGTTTATAGTTCTGAGAGGATATCAATTACTTAGCTTTATCCTCTTTCGCCCGTCTTGAAAGTAGCTTTTGTGTGTGTATACTTTCCTTTTCACTAGACGTAGGGATTTTTAGAGGATATCTAAGTGTTGCCTTGTTCTCTTTTGGAGGTCGACGAGGTAGCATAAAAGTTTGATTGGGAAGTCTTGATGTTCAGTTTAGAGTATATTAACTCATGTAAAAAAATATTTGACAGGACTCTTGGGATAGGGGAATTCCGCGTATAAATACGCTGTTCCAGAAGGATAGGCACACTTTAGCATATGATAAAGGTTGGAGGGTCCGGACCGACTTCAAACAGTACCAATCCCTGAAACAAAATCCTTTCTGGTGGACACACCAGAGGCATGATGGTAAATTGTGGAACTTGAATAATTACCGAACTGATGTCATCCAAGCTCTTGGAGGTGTTGAGGGTATTCTTGAACACACCTTATTTAAAGGAACATAGTGAGTCTGCCTTTTCGTTTGTGCTCAATTAATTATGATCTTTCTTTCACTTTGACATTTAATGTTTTTGTTGCTCACAGCTTTTGTTCTCAGCTTACCGTATCAATTTTGCTAAAAACAATTCTTTACATGAACCCAGCTTTCCAACGTGGGAGGGTCTTTTTTGGGAGAAGGCATCTGGTTTTGAGGAGTCTATGAAATATAAGAAGCTGACAAATGCGCAGAGGTCTGGTCTGAACCAGATTCCGAATAGAAGATTCACGCTTTGGTGGTCACCAACAATTAATCGAGCGAATGTATATGTGGGTTTTCAAGTGCAGTTGGATTTGACAGGAATATTTATGCACGGAAAGATTCCTACTCTTAAAATATCTTTGATTCAGATTTTCCGTGCCCATTTGTGGCAAAAGATCCATGAGAGTGTTGTTATGGACCTTTGCCAAGTACTGGATCAAGAGTTGGATCCGTTGGAGATAGAAACTGTGCAGAAAGAGACAATTCATCCACGGAAGAGTTACAAAATGAATAGCTCTTGTGCTGATGTTCTTCTTTTTGCTGCCTATAAATGGCCAATGTCTAAGCCTAGTCTAGTGGCTGAGTCAAAGGATATGTTTGATCAGAAAGCAAGTAACAAGTATTGGATAAATGTGCAACTTCGATGGGGAGATTACGACTCCCATGATATTGAACGCTATACTAGGGCCAAATTCATGGATTACACAACGGACAACATGTCTATCTATCCATCTCCAACGGGTACTTTATAGCCTTTTTCAATTTGTCACTTATTTTTTGTTTTTTCTGCAGTAAGTCTCATATCTTGATGAAATCCTCGCAGGTGTAATTATTGGGCTTGATTTGGCCTATAACTTGCATTCTGCCTTTGGTAATTGGTTCCCTGGTTCAAAAACTCTGCTTGCTCAAGCTATGAACAAGATCATGAAGGTACTAGAACTTTTTTTTGTGCTGTGTTTTTTTTATTTGGCTTTTACATATGTGACTCTTATTGTTTAAGCTTTAAATGTTACAGTCCAATCCCGCTCTATACGTGTTGAGAGAGAGGATAAGGAAAGGTTTGCAGCTGTACTCATCTGAGCCTACAGAGCCATATTTGTCATCTCAAAACTATGGTGAAATATTCAGCAATCAAATCATATGGTTCGTTGATGATACCAATGTATACCGTGTCACAATCCACAAGACATTTGAAGGAAATCTAACAACAAAGCCAATCAATGGTGTAATTTTTATTTTCAACCCAAGAACAGGGCAACTATTCCTAAAGGTAGTTTTCCTCTCCCATACATAACATGCAATCATTAAAATACGTAACCGCTGTTTCATCTGTAAAACTATAATAACACCCATTGGGGATCTTTGTCCCACTAGGTCATTCATACAAGTGTTTGGGCTGGGCAGAAGCGCCTTGGTCAGCTAGCGAAATGGAAAACTGCTGAAGAGGTTGCGGCACTTGTGCGGTCTCTCCCTGTTGAAGAACAACCAAAACAAGTTATTGTGACTCGTAAAGGAATGTTGGATCCCCTTGAGGTTCATCTGTTGGATTTCCCAAACATTGTTATAAAGGGAAGTGAACTCCAGCTTCCGTTCCAGGCTTGTCTTAAGATAGAAAAATTTGGTGATCTGATTTTGAAGGCCACAGAGCCACAGATGGTCCTCTTCAATATCTATGATGATTGGTTGATGACTGTTTCTTCGTACACTGCCTTTCAAAGACTCATTCTGATCCTTCGCGCTCTTCACGTAAACAATGAGAAGGCAAAGATGTTATTGAAGCCTGACATGTCTGTTGTCACTGAGCCAAATCACATCTGGCCCTCTCTCACTGACGACCAATGGATGAAGGTAACCCTTGTACCACCTTTCAAGTAGTGTTTCGTCGTATTTTCTGATTAGACCGCTTGGTCTTTACATCTGCAGTTTCTGCTTATTTTTTTAATAAAAATCAATTAACTCTTTTCTTTGTTTAGTGAAGTTATTATCCTCCTTCCTTACTCACATCTGATGATTCATTGTTATATTCAGGTGGAGGTTGCTCTTAGAGATCTCATCCTTTCTGACTACGCGAAGAAAAACAACGTGAATACGTCAGCTCTGACACAGTCAGAGATCAGAGATATAATACTTGGAGCGGAGATTACTCCTCCGTCTCAGCAGAGGCAACAGATAGCTGAGATTGAGAAACAGGTACTTGTAACTGTCACTTCTCTCAAGGGTTCTTGAAACAGGGACATTCAGAAATTAGATTTATTTTGGTTACTCTAAAAAAAAATGTAAAAATGTTTCCTGCTGCAGTCAAAGCAAGCGAGCCAGCTTACTGCAGTCACAACAAGAACCACAAATGTTCATGGTGATGAATTGATTAGCACCACCATTAGTCCGTACGAGCAATCTGCATTTGGATCCAAAACAGACTGGCGTGTGCGCGCAATTTCAGCTACTAACCTCTACCTCAGGGTCAACCACATCTACGTGAACTCGGACGACATAAAGGTACAAAGTCAAATTCGCTCAGACTTACTTAGTCAAATTAATAAATAATAAGTAAAGGCCCTAAAACGTATTTGTTTGTTGTTCACAGGAAACTGGATACACCTACGTTATGCCCAAGAACATATTGAAGAAGTTCATATGCATAGCGGATCTTCGAACTCAAATTGCTGGATATTTATATGGGATAAGTCCGCCGGATAATCCTCAAGTGAAGGAAATCCGTTGTGTTGTGATGGTGCCGCAATGGGGAAATCACCAGCAAGTTCAACTGCCGTCGTCTTTTCCGGAACATCAGTTCTTGGATGATTTAGAGCCCCTGGGATGGATGCACACACAGCCTAACGAGCTTCCTCAGTTGTCACCACAGGTATGTATATAAATATATATGTGTATACCTTCTTACAAACTTTACACCTAATAACTGGGTTTTTTTTTTTTCGGCTGCTGTAGGATGTGACTTTTCACTCCCGTGTTCTGGAGAATAACAAGCAATGGGACGGAGAAAAATGCATCATCCTGACATGTAGTTTCACTCCGGGCTCATGCTCTTTGATGTCATATAAGCTGACGCAAGCCGGGTATGAATGGGGACGGCTGAACAAAGACGCAGGCAGCAATCCCCACGGTTACCTTCCCACCCACTATGAGAAGGTTCAGATGCTCTTGAGTGACCGTTTCTTCGGGTTCTACATGGTGAGAACACACAGTAACCCTTAATTGTTGCGTGTTTGGCCTTGATTGATATTATTTTATTATACAGCACTGAAATGATGAGACACATTGTTGAATGATAGGTTCCTGATAACGGACCCTGGAACTACAACTTCATGGGAGTTAATCACACGGTGGGCATGAACTATAGCTTGAAACTTGGAACCCCCAAGGAGTACTATCACCAAGACCATCGACCCACTCATTTCCTCGAGTTCAGCAATATGGAGGAGGATGGTGACCTTGATCGTGAGGACACTTTTGCTTAAGACGTTTTTTGGATGTATGATGTAAATTAAGTTTGCAAATTGTTAATGATGAGATTGAAAAGATTTTTCTCTATTTTAAAAAATAATAGTAATGATTTGAAGACTTCACAAGCAAATTCACTTACATGATTAAAAAAAAAAAAAAAAAAAAGACTTGAATAACCTAGGTCGATTTTTTTTTTGGTATATGTAGTAGCTTCGAGTTGGGTATGAATTCGAATTCATTGCACCCATGATGACATTGTCAAATGAGATGTATCACCATTGTTTTACTTTTGTTCCGCTCATTTTCACTTAATTTCAATCCATCCGTACAATTCTGGACACCAACCTTTGTGTTTCACTTCTACAAGTAGTAAAAATCTCTTGGACTCCATTTGTCCTTTACATTCAATATATCTCTGTGAGTTTATATAAACAATAATGTAGTTGTATTTTCAGAGAATATGTCAGCATCCAGATCTGCATTAGTCGGGATATTTTTACGTACGTCTCATATTTATGGAAAAAAAAACAATTTTTCATACATACATACATAAAACAATTTTCGATTTAATCAATGTGGGAACCATATACAGTTCACATATTTATCGCATGTCACCTAACAAAACTATTATCGCAAAACTCACACCATGTGGGACTATATCCTTGGTTGCCCCAATATTAGATATCTTTTTTTTTCTTGCTACTTCTTTTCTACCTACATTTATTATCGCTCCCTAAGATATATATATATATAGGGTTTATCTTTCTTATATAATTATATATACGATTGTTTCTATTGGTAAATCGTTTCAACGTCGATTACATGTTTTGAAATAGAATTCTATCCTTTTTTTTTTTTTTTTTTTTTTTTAGAATTCTATCCTTACTAAAAAATCCTTATATTTTATACATTGATTGTTTTATACGCAAACATAAAATTCTATACAACTTTCAAGTGTTTATTTTATCACAGTAATTATTACTGCAAATGTTTATAAAAAAAAATTCTTTTTTCGTGTACAAGCAATTTGTAACTTTGCTTAGCCTAAACACACGAGATCGTGTCTTCAATTATAAGAAAACATGTTTGACTATATTAATATACATCATAATAGTAGACTTAAAAGCAAAATGCAATTTTTTTTAAAAAAAAGTGAAGCTCTATATAATCTGATATTGGAAAAATGATCTTACATAAGAAACATCTATTTTTGCTTAAATTAGCGATCATGAATTTATGTTTTCAAAGGAAGCATAGTCGCTATAGGCTATACCCCGATCGATCGACCACTACACTCACCAACCATCTACACAATTAGGCTATTGAATACATGTTTTTACATTTAAGAATGGGCCTTAATAGGGATTATGTGTGCAGTATGCAAGTATACGTTAAAAAATAAAATGCAAGTATATATTTATTCTGTATACCAGAAAATGAATATAAATAATAACTTTAATTAAACTTGAGCCTCTTAGTTGTACAACTGTCCAAAGCCACCGTATTAATGTGCGTGGATGAGTAGGTGGAGCTTTAATACGGCAACCAACATTATGATATCTTTAACATTTATGCAATCCTCCATTTTTTATTTCTAGTTCGCATTGTAATTCTAGCACCTAAAACGCAGTCAGGACTAAAATTTATCTCTTTATATATATCAGGTCCCTCGATTCGAAAGTCGGACTAGCTATTGCATGCACCCACATATATATGCATCATGTTAATTTTGCGACATCAGATATTTCTACTTTTGCATCAATTTTTATAAGAACGTGTAAGGATTTAGTAACAATGAAGAGTGGGTGAAAGTTTTGAATTTCAACATTTGATATCGGTCATTTGTGTAAAAACAATATACAGTAGATTTCAGAGAAAATTGTGGCGATATATATGTAGTTGAATTCTTATTATATAGCTGCATTCGTAAAAGTGCTCGTTCTTATTTGTTATCAAGTTGCTATGTTTTCGTCTTTCTTAAGTGTTTTTTTTTTGTTTGTCTTTCTTAAGTGATCTTCAACTCTTCTTTTCATTTCGAACAAAATGAAATTTATAATCAAACGTTTACGTATTATTTTTCATCAAAAATGAAGAAATAGTAGTTACTTCTTCAGCTTGTCAAAAAAAAAAAAAAAAAAATAGTGAAGTAGGCTTTTGAGCTGGCATGCTTTTATTGAAGGGCCTTGCCAACTTCAAAGACGAAGTAGATTGATGATAGATATTAACTTCTATCTCCATCTAACCAATAAATCAATCCTCTTTTCTGACCAATTTCGTTAGTTTATTACTATTACTCTATTTTATTTTTATGTATATACGGTTAAAACAGTAGATCATGGCTGCATGGCGTACATAAATCCAAAGATAAAGAATATTTGTTGCGTTGGGTGGGCTTTGACAAGCATAGTAATGGATTTCCGGTAAAATAATAGTGGACGAGAACTATAAGCCGACAAGGAGTGTGACTATATCTTTTTTTCCATAAACATTTAAGTTTCTCTTCTAACCATAATGTGATTCGCTTCAATTTTCGGTTGGTGGAGCCGTATACACGCACTTATTAATTCATTTTCTTTTCTTTTTTTTTTTCATATGAAAACTATAAAGCGTGTTTGTGAAACAAAAAAAAATGTGCATGCTCATCCTGCAATCTCTACAACAATAAAATTAATTAACCACATTTGTGGATCAAAACTTTCGTGTGGCAAAAGTTCTACGCATGTGTCCCGTGCAATAACGCTGATGAGGGAAACAAAAAGTAAATTTGAATGCCGTTGTCGTATTAAGGAAAAAAAAAGTCAAAGTGTTTCAACCACCCTGCATGAAAAATATCATAAAGTGCCGAATAGACGAACGTAACAACGAGAAGATGGACCATGACATTAAATAAATGATCCACAAAACAAAATAATAGGAACCGCCGAATCCAATTATTGTTGGTAAAAAAACTAAAGGTTAATTAGGAAGAAATTATTAAGATCAATCTTCGGAAAAATCTTTGATAAGACCATTATATAAACGAGAAGAAGTCTCGCTATAATCATATCCTCACCTTCTCCACTAATACTCTATTTATCATATAGTTTTTTTGTTCTTCTTATAAACTTTATATTTTCAGCAAACGAAAGAGAAGTGTGTCAGAACTCTCAGAGGGTGAGAATCCCAATGAGGATCTTACCCGAACCTCGAGGTTCGGTTCCGTGCATTCTCCTTCTCGTGTCGGTTCTCTTTTCAGCGACTCTCACTCTCGCTCGTGTCGTCGAAGTTGTCGGTTACGCCGAGAGCAAGATCAAAACCCCCCATGCATTTTCAGGTAACTCATAACCACATTATTAACTTATATACTATATAGTTCCTTTTTTTTGTGATTATTTGATCAATGTGTGATATTATTTGTTATAGGACTCCGAGTGACGATCGACTGTAAGGTGAATAAAGGCCATTTTGTTACAAAAGGCTCCGGAAACATTGACGACAAAGGAAAATTTGGTCTTAGTATTCCTCATGACATTGTCTCCGACGACGGAGCGTTGAAGGAGGAGTGTTACGCTCAGCTTCACAGCGCGGCGGGAACCCCTTGTCCGGCTCACGACGGCCTCGAATCCACGAAGATCGTGTTTTTATCCAAATCCGGGGATAAACACGTTTTGGGTCTCAAACAAAATCTGAAATTTTCACCCGAAATTTGTGTTTCGAAATTCTTCTGGCATATGCCTAAGTTGCCACCTTTTAAGGGCTTTGATCATCCGTTCCCTTTACCTCCACCTTTGGAACTTCCACCGTTTCTCAAGAAGCCATGTCCACCTAAATTCAGCCCTCCTGTGGAGGTTCCACCTCCGGTTCCGGTTTACGAGCCACCGCCAAAGAAAGAGGTTCCGCCTCCGGTTCCGGTTTACGATCCACCGCCAAAGAAAGAGGTTCCCCCACCTGTCCCGATTTACGAGCCATCACCAAAGGTGGAGCTTCCACCGCCTATTCCTAAGAAGCCTTGTCCACCTAAACCGCCGAAGATAGAGCACCCACCTCCGGTTCCGGTTTACAAGCCACCGCCAAAGATAGAGCACCCACCTCCAGTTCCGGTTTACAAGCCACCGCCAAAGATAGAGCACCCACCTTCGGTTCCGGTTTACAAGCCACCGCCAAAGATAGAGCACCCACCTTCGGTTCCGGTTTACAAGCCACCGCCAAAGATAGAGCACCCACCTCCAGTTCCGGTACACAAGCCACCGAAGAAGCCATGTCCGCCTAAGCCGCCGAAGGTGGAGCTTCCACCGCCGGTGCCAGTCTACAAACCACCAACGAAGAAGCCTTGTCCGCCTAAACCGCCGAAGAAAGTTGATCCACCGCCGGTTCCAGTCCACAAGCCGCCGCCAAAGATAGTCATTCCACCGCCGAAGATAGAGCACCCACCTCCAGTTCCGGTTTACAAGCCGCCGCCGAAGATAGAGCATCCACCAATCTACATTCCACCGGTAGTGATCCCGAAGAAGCCGTGTCCTCCGCCGGTACCAGTATACAAACCACCGGTGGTGATTCCGAAGAAGCCGTGTCCTCCGCCGGTACCAGAATACAAACCACCGGTGGTGATACCAAAGAAGCCATGTCCGCCACTTCCACAGCTTCCACCACTTCCAAAGTTTCCACCTCTTCCTCCTAAATACATTCACCACCCCAAGTTCGGGAAATGGCCTCCACACCCTTGAGAAAATTAAATACGTATATATATATATATATATATATATATATATATATATATACGTATACTCATGTATAATCAACGTGTTGCCTTTTTAATACTTTATCTTTGCATGTTCTCTTTATATTTTGTTTCTTTTGTTGGCTTTCTCTCTGAGTTATCTTATATGTGTAGACTGTTTGTTTATATTCCCGCAATATTCTTCCAACAATAATATGGTAATGATACGTTTCTCTTTTTATCATTAGATGATCAACAAGCATTTTGCGTTTAAGAGTATTCGGCAGAAAAAAACTTACAGTATGTGTTTTCGCAGAAACATTGTTGAGCTTATAGTATATTTTCGTCACAAAACGACAACATATTGCAGATGGTATAAAAAGGCCGATCTTTCATCAGGCCAACTTCCTTCACTCAGGGACGACAAGAGACGAATGAATTCAGCACTTCTGAATGGAAATTCACTCTCTATATCCGCATAAGCCTAGTTTGATTTGCTCTCTACTGATTGGTGCCTGGTCACCTACCCATACGTTTGTCGACAGTCCAATGATATAAGAGCATTTCCATCGGTGTCTAACAAATAAAATAATATTATTTTTTATTATTTAATTATTTTATTATTTAATTGTTTATTTAAGCCAATCAGAAGAAGACAACTGTAAAAATGAGTTTCTCAGTTGAGAAACAGTGTCTGTCTTCTCTCCTTCTTTTTTAATTTTTTATTCTGTTTTATTGGAAAATGTCTCACCTATTCACTCTGAATGGAGATGGTCTAAGACTAATAATCTGTCGACGAATAAATTCAATCTTCCAAAGAATATGAAAAATTGACAAAATTCATATAGAAAAATAATCAACATGTTGGCTTCAAGATTAAATGGGCTTTTAGGCCCAAATAGTGACAGAATAGAATTCAGGGCCCAATGTGAATTACTGATTGGTATTTTATTTTCCTTTTAAGAAATAAATAATTACTCAAAAGCGCGAAAAAACTAAAAATCCAAAATACTCCAATTTCATCTCTTCTATTTCTCTCTAGGGTTTAAGCGCTCTCTCACTAAGCTCTTTCAATGGCGAACCCTAAATCCGTCGATTCGTCTCTCTGGTGGGATCCGTTTGACTCTCTTCTCACCGACCTCGAGAATGCATCTCTCTCTGATGACCTTCCTCAACCCATCGTAATATATCTCTTCCTCTTCCTCTTCATCTGGGTGTTTTCGTGGGGGATACTGGTGCTATTTTGGTTTGCTCTATCAATTTCAGGCGAAGAAGTTGGAGGAGAACCACGCGTGGTTCCTTGGAACTCTGTCGATGTTCAAGCCACCGAGTGAGAAATCAAAAGAAGCTTTGAATTCGGATGTCGTCAAAATTAAGGAGCACCAGTTGGTGATAAAGCCCCAATTGAAAGATAAAGCCCTTCGAATCAGCTCTCATCTGGTTAGCTTCTTTTCACCATTCTTCAATTTTAATCGAACTCGAAAGAAAACTATATCAGCTATTTCATATCGACCTCAACCATGAAGGCTACGTATATAACATGTGCTTAAATTCCGAATTATTGCTCTATTGATATATGGTATTAGTGAAAATGATTATATCAGTTATGCTGGCAACTGGATATGGAGAAAAACAAATTGACAGTTTTTTTTTTTTTTCTGAATTTCTGAAATCTTGGCCAGAATCTAGATGAAATCCAATCATACATCCTCGTGGAAAGATCTATGGAGCAGGAATATGGAACCACTGACTCGGTAGCTCAAGAATTAGCTCAAGAATTCATAGACATGGTTAGTAGCTTACGTGTCTCAGCTTCCTTTGAAAACTTTTCAGTCTTCATTTTTTCATATAAATTCAGGTTTTGTTGAATAAATAGAATCTTGTGAAGGTGATCTATGAGTTCGAATTCACAATTTTTTTTAAATATCTTTGTTTCCAGCCTTTTGGTTATCTGATTGCTTTTGAATATTCTGATATAAATTACTCACAAAAGAACTCAAGATATACTTATCCAATATGCTATCATTCCTTTTCTGTAATTTGTTACTTATGTATTATGGAGCTTTTCGCTATCATATCAATAGCACGAAAAGACCAGCTTTATTACTTTATCTACTTTTGATTCTCTATAGTAAGTTCTATAGCTCATTATAGTGTAAGTTCTATAGCTCCTGTCCTATATATTTGCCAATGACTTCATTTTGTTAGCAGTTTTCAACCCTTCTTTCTTCAGCTTTCGTGCTAACACTTTTGCTGTCCTTCTGTTTTCTTGAAGATACTGCTTCAGTATTACATACAGCGCCAGTGCCTACTAAAGTGTACAAAGCGTATTCTCATACATGCATGTAAGTCGTGATTGTGTTGTTCCCTATTTTCCCACTCTCTCCTAGTTTCAGATGTCTTAACAAATATGAGCATGCATAGTTGTATATACAGTTGCTGTTAATGGAACAAAAAAAGCTTATTTTCCAATGGTGGGCTTACGCTTCTAAAATTCCGCCCAAACTTTTGTCTTGTCTTTCAACTAATTGTAGAATTTGTACAGTATATGCGCCAAGTGAGGAAAGTACAATTAAGGAAGAAGCTGTAAAGCTGATCTCAGATGGGCTTGAAAGACGACAGTCATCAGTTCTCGAGGACCTGTTTTCCTCTTGTTTTCCACAGAATATGGTATGTGTTCTGAGTCCTAGCCCTTCTTAATATCCCATTTGATCTTATTATATGTAGGACCTTACATTATACTGATGTTAAGGCACTGAGGAGGAGGCACTTATTTTCGGTCCAAATTTGATTTTCTTCAAATTTTTTTTTTTTTTGATAGGATGTCAATCTATTCGCTTTGTGGGCGGAGGAGACACTAATTGAGGACAATTTGATTTTGGATATTCTTTTCCTTATTTACAATGAATCATTTTGCTCTTGTAATGGAGAAAGATGGAGAAAACTGTGTTCTTTCTACAAGGTATCTCGAGTCACTAGCCACATGCCTGAGACTGGTTCCGTTTTTTTCTGTAACCAACCTTATTTACTTATAAGTGCTGTGTTGCAGGGGATTCTTTCAGGTTCATATAATTTTAGAAAGCTGGCTGTGTCAGTTGAAGCACAACATTCTGCATGTCGAGTTCAAATTCAGTTGCTGATGATTCTTATAGAAACGTTGGATATGGAGAATCTGTTACAAATGGTTCACGACGGAGTACCTTTCAGGTTTGTTTAACTAACTCGCGAGGACACTGCAAATATAATGTTAAAACTTTTTTCAAATAGGATACAAAACCAGCAATTTGCCTAATCCTACTTTCTCCTGAATATCTGTCGATATTGCCTAAAGGTTCTATTTTTACTTATAAGGTCTGGCACTTGTGTCTTTTCCATTGTTGATGTCCAAGAGATGGATGCAACAATCTCAAGCCTCAACACTTTTGAAGTAAAAGAAGCAGGACCTCTCGTCCTGGCTTGGGCAGTATTTCTGTGTCTTATTTCATCACTTCCTGGGAAGGAGGAAAGTCCTTTCCTGATGGTATGAAAGTGAGAATACTTGCATTACCTAGTCAGAGGGCACATTGTTTATGTGTATGTATTTACTCTTACTTTGATTACCAGGATATTGATCACGTGAGCTATGTTCATCAAGCTTTTGAGGCAGCATCCTTGAGCTATTTCCTTGAAATCCTTCAAAGTAATCTATTGAATGATTTTGATGTAAGTTATGAGAATAAAATTCTAGATACCGAGCTTAACTATGTATGCTTTCTTGAGATTGGCACTTATTTTTCTATCAAATAATAGTGTGAGATCTATTTCACCAATCCTCTGCAAATTTTGTTCATGTTAGCCTTCCCTATGTTGATTCTATCATTATTTTTCACTTACCCAGGGACCAATCTCTGGTCATCGTAGTGTCGTGAGGACTTTTATTTCAGCATTTATTGCATCTTATGAGATCAATCTTCAGGTAAACCTCCATTATCTATAGATGATAAACTATATAATTATGAGGTGTTTAAAAGTCATACTCATCTTTACATTTTTGGTAGCTGGAAGATGGCACCCTCGAGTTGATACTGGACATCCTCTGTAAGGTTTATCAAGGAGAGGTAAATTATATATGCATGTTGTCCCCTGGCTTTTTCCTTTATATTACACATCCATGAATGCTCATTGTGTGCCTTAATTATGCAGGAGTCCCTCTGTAGTCAGTTTTGGGATCGAAAAAGTTTTGTTGATGGCCCTATCCGGTGTCTCCTCTTTGATCTGGAGAGTGAATTTCCATTCAGAAGTGCTGAATTCATTCGTCTCTTGTCGTCCCTGAGTGAAGGAAGTTGGCCTGCTGAATGTGTGTAAGTATTAATTGGGTAATATACTATGTGCGTTTATGTACTTTTATATGGAACTTTTCGATGTAGACGAGAGCAATGTTTTGCATACATCAATCTAAGCTTCCTTTCTTGTCTCACTAAAGAATTTCTTATTTACTGGTTGCAAACCATCACCCCGCTGCAATCTGCTGTTCTTTTTTTTTTGTGCAGATTCAACTTTCTGGATAAATCAGTCGGGTTTTCAACCTTATTTGATATTACTAGTGACTCTCCAGCGGATGAGGCCTCTCAACTTGTTGAAACTTCCCGGCCGTTGCATATTCCAGGTCTTGAAGGTTTAGTTATTCCCAGTAATACTCGTGGGCGAATTCTGAGAGTAATCGGTGAAAATACTGTCCTTGTACGGTGGGAAGTAAGTGATATCATCATTCTTTGAAAACTCTTCATAAAGAAGACTCCTCGAATGTTATATTTTTTTTTATGGTTTTACTGATTCATGAAATACATTTTCCTTTACAAGTATTCGCTATCCGGCGTAATTGTGTTGATCATCCGTTTGGCCAATGGACTCTACATTGGTAACAATCGTGAAGCTTTTGTGACTCTGGAGCTACTTCGTCGGATGGTGACATTTAACAAGGTAACTGCATTGGTCCATTTTCATTTTTCTGCCTTTGAATCAATTCGTCTCTGACCGTATGTTTGGACGTCTCTTATGTCATAAATTATGCATCCTTATTTTTACTTCTCTGACCAGGTTCTGTAAATTGATTTCAGGCCGTATGTGTCTCCTTACTGAATATCAGCCACTTCTTTTATGTTCACGAATCTTATGTGAATGGGAAGATGGAAAGTGATGTGAGGTGAAGTATTTGCATTTTTATTTCTTTCTTACATGCTCTCTTCCTGAGTACTTGAACAGAGATAATTTTTGTTTTTTTTCAGGGTGGTTGATATAATTTGCAATTCAGTCAGAAGCCTGACTTTTGACTCTGACGGTGCAGCTGTGATGGCAATGGCTATTGATATCTTAGCTAGACTTCTGCGATGGTAAATTTTTGTGATGCTTATTCTTTTGCTGTCTTGGTTATCAATTTATTTCTTCAGTATTCCTTTTCTAGCAAATGCATGTCATAATATTATCCGTCATGTGCAATGTCTTGTTATATGGTATAGTTTGGAACTCGGTATCAGTCACTTCTCTGTGGAACATTGATTGCTAATTTTATTTTCTCTTTGAGCAGTTCCCCGTCAATTGCGCCCATGGTCTTAAAGGCAAATATATTTGACATGACTTCAGGTTCAGGCGTCCCTGACAGTGGCTACAATATTTCATTGAGGTTGGCGGTTTTCTAAGTTTGTTCATTTTCAAATATATCCTACCCATAATTAATATACTCATTGAAGTTTACCACGCCTAGCAGATTTTTCTTTTTCTTTTAATTTAGAATCATCTGTTATCCACTAGGAAGTAATATTTAACACATTGCAAACACTTGATATGCTTCTCCCAAAAAGACAAACTTTCACATGAATGCTTCGTAGATCACTGACAAATCCTCTTAATTACTAGGAACCCTCCTAAGGTTTGTAATGAGGCACATTTTCGAAAGTACTGTTTCTAGTGTTTTTAGCTTTTATTTTGAGGAATATCTCTCTTTAGTAACAAGGCTTTAATAGACGAAGCTTCCTAAAATTCAGTTTTATTTTACTTCATCGTTTTGTGCATTCTCTGGCTGCATCTGACTTATTCTTACTCTTTCCGCTGTTTTTTGTAAAGCGGTTCTTGCTCTCTCTCTGGGAAACTTGCAAAGATGATCTTGATTGACTGCGAGAAGAATGATACAAGCTGCCCATTGGTCATATCAGGCAAGTCTGCGGCAGAATTTTGTTAGTGCATAATCTACCTGACTGTGGGCTCACAGTTGTTCGATGTGTCTTGGCTCTCTATATATTGAGCCTGTCGCCTTTATTGTATAATGTTATTTTTTTTATACCTTGCAGTTCTGGAATTTACCATGCAACTTGTGGAGGGGGGACTAGAGAATGATGTAGTTTTTGCTCTAGTTGTTTTCTCGTTGCAGTATATTCTTGCTAGCCATGAGTATTGGAAATACAACAATGGAAGTATGCGTTGGAAAGTGACACTAAAGGTATGTCTTAATTATTAGCTACAGCTCCCCCTTCTCTATTTACCACCTGCTGACAGTTGGTTGCTAACTTATTGGAGTCACTGGATTCGTAGCATTTTTTTTAATATATCTTTTCTGTTATTTTCCTCGGTTTCTGCAGGTCATTGAGGTGATGAAAACGTGTCTCAGATTCAGTAAATTCTCCACAAAGCTGAGGGATGTTCTCCTTGATATTTTACTGAACGATGCCTCTGTTCACAGCGCTCTTTTCCGAATCATTTGTACGACTACACAAAATTTAGAGGTTTGGATATGATCTGGAATAGTCTTTCTTCTACTTTCCTAAGGGTCTGATGTGCTTTAATTGATTTACTGATATGTTTCTTTGCGACAGAACCTTTGTTCAAGCCGTTTTATTGAACCGGCAGAGATTGAAGGATGGCAACTTGCTATAGTCTCTGTTTTGGATGTTTTGAACGTCACACTCTCCCAATTTTCTGAGGTAAAAGCGTTGTCTTACCTCTGACCTTCTTAAAAGCTTTGGCAAGTATATCATATTTCACATAACAGATAATAGCCATTGTTCACTGTTTCCAATTGAAGATTTTTTCAAAATAATCTTGATTAATCTCTTACATTTTGCAAACAAATTGCAAACACACATTGAATATTTGCTTTGGCTAGCAATTCTTTGAACACTCTTTCTCATCCTGGTCTATAAATTGTTGCAGAGTACTCATTCTGGTCTTCCTGTGTTTCATCAAGCCATGCTGTCGTCTACAACAAAACCAATCTCAGTTGTTGCAGCTATCACATCACTGATTTCTTACTTCCGCAATCCTGTATGGACTTTCATCCAAATTCATAGTGGTTGATGCTTTGACCAATCACATGTCTAAAAATCAAATATTTTCTGCAGATTATACAGGTTTATGCTGCTCAAGTGCTGTCAAAGTTATTTGCCTTGGCAGAATCATCACAGCTCTATATAATAAGCAATGCAGGCTTTGGTCTAGACAATAAACAGGTTAGAATTATATCTTTCTTATCTGTTATCTCTTTATGTTCAGGTAGTATATTCTGCTGTCTATATGTAAGGATCAATGATAGTTTTCTTTTTAGATTACAGATTTAAGAAATTCGGTTACCCAGATCATACTTGATCTATCGGGACAAAATGAAGATCTTGTCGTTGCCACCTTGAAACTACTAACTGTTGCAGCAAGATATCAGGTTGCTTCCCATTTAAATAGCTATTTGTGCTACGCAATTGTTCTTCTTGAAATCATTTAGATTCTCCAGTTTCATCATACTGAAAAGTTGTTTCATTTTTAATATCCTTTTTCTTCAGCCTGCTCTTTTAGTGGCCATATTTGATTCAGACGAAGACTCAGATGCTGGCAACTTAAAACAGTCACGCAAAGATGCCTCCTCAATTCCTGACTGGGCTTGTAAATCTCGCTTATTGCACACTATCCTGCAATATGTAGAGAGAGCAACAGATTTTGTCGATAGGTACTTCGAAGGCTAAATATTTTTCAATCTGTCTTCTAATTACACTGAATTTCTTCTAGATGGCCTGTAATATTTACGTGATGGTTTCACCTTCTCCAGATACACAGATATATTACTGGGTTTACTTGATTTCCTGAAAACCCTTTGGCAAGAGGCTGGCCAATACGCTAATATGCTGGAACCGTTTAAGGCGTCAAAAAAGTTGTGGCAGGAATTTTCCAACATTATATCACAGGCGTCTAAGATAAAAGATTCCACGGTTGGAAGTTTAGGCAAGGAAGAGATCTCGAAATTGTTTGTGAAATATCAGTGTCAGGCTTCTGTTTTGGAAATTATGGCTTGCAACATGTTTTTGTACAAGAAGTTGCTGTTTGCGGAGTCACTTAAAAAGCCATGTGTGGAGCCAAAAAAGACGTCAAATAATGCAGTATCTCCACCCAAATTAACTTGGACAGCTGATTCAGATCCCAAGGATATTTTTTCAAAATGGTGTGACGTATCTGTTTTGGATGGCCTTATCCAGTCAGTTTCTTCCTTAGATGGTGAAAGTGAAATAAACTTCCAAGCAAAGGCACGTATTTCTTTGACCTGGTCTTCTTATGGAACTATGTTCATTGAGATTTATGTGCCATTCATTTGCTTTACTTATAAAGCTCAAGCTGTAGAGTTTCACCACACTTTACACTTTTTGCTTAGGTGCCTACATATTTCAGAAATAGTAATTAGAAGTTTTAAATATTTCTCATTTTCTGCATTGATAGGTTGCTGCCGTTTTACTTATTGTGCATTTGATTGTGAAACTGGAAACATCTGGCGCAGGAGCATTGTCTATGGTTTTAGTTGAGAAGATCAAACTCATATCAGAAATTGTATGTTGCTCTCTGTTGCCTCGATCTATATCTTTGGTCTTTTCAATACACTTTTCAAGGCATTGTCATATCTGATTCTGATGCCTATTTAACAATATGCTGACAGCTTTGTGCCCAACCTGCTTTTTCTGAGTTGTTGGCGCAATATTCAAAACTTGGTTATAGGTAAGACCATTGTTTCTTACATTTCTTTACTAATTTTCAAATTCAGTAGCACATTTATCTTTCTTAAACCTACAGTCAGCAGTGCTTCTCCTTAATCTTTAATTATCCGTTCTCATGTTATTCAAAGAGTTTATCACTGTGTCACATGTTGCTTATAATCTATTGTGTTCTATTGCTAGTGGAGGAAAGGAGTTGATGCCTATGATTTTCAGCGATCTATACTGTCATCTACAAGGAAAACTTGAGGGTCGTGATATCCCAACTGGTCCATTCAAAGAGCTTTTCCAGTTTCTTGTTGAGTCGAGCTTTTGGGAGAAAGATAAACAGGAAACTAATAAGGATGTAAATATGGCTTTGGAGGACTGTTTGTTTGACACTCAGCAAATACAGACTGAATTAGGTTTTGATATTTGGGATTTCTCTGAGTGGAAGACATCTAAAACAACTGCAGAGGAAATGTTGACTTACATGCAGAGAGCAAATTCGATGGTTTTACTCTCAACTTCGCAGCTCTCTGTTTTGCATGCATTGATTTCCGTCTTGATACTTTACGAGGATAATGTAAGTCTCTTTGTTCTAATTAGCTTTTCCGAGCCTTATCCCATCATAACACATTTATGGGCTAGATTGTTTTACCTTTCCAGCATTTAACGTTTTAGTTGATAGCTGACTCAAAGATACTAGCCGGTAGAAATGTTGCATGTCCCTCTTTGGGGATCTTAATTTATGATTTAGGTACATCTAAATGCTACACCTTATGTGCAGTCTCTTGAAGAAAGTGCAGCTGCAGAAAGGATAATCCCTTCTCGAGTCACTCTTTCAAGCATTGATATAGTATGCCGAAAATTCTTCACCACAGTTGATTCACTTGCCTCTCTCTGGGATGCACCCAAGATTGTGTTTGATATTCTTACAGCACAGGCAGACTTGCTATCCCGCCTCTTGAAATCCGCAAAGAAAAATCTTTCATTATCTATATGTGTACTTGTCCTGAGAAATGTGGGGCCTAGCCTCAAAATCCTAGGTAGTTTGAGGTATTCAAATGCTATATTGAAGAAGACGATAAACCTCCTGCTTGAGGTGCTGCTCCTGGTTGTGGGTTTTGGTTCAGACAACTCCAACTCGAGTGGGATGGGACATATGGTGCTAGCCCAAGATTTTGCAGAAATATCTGATGCTACAATTGGATTATTACCCCTTCTCTGCAACTTCATGGGGAATCCCGAGTACTTGACTCTCTGCCTGACCACAGTAGACTTGATTCTCAGAACTTTTTTGACGCCAGAGACATGGTTCCCTATTATACAAAGTCAACTCCGCTTGCAGCATGTTATTCTACAGCTTCAGGATAAGAAATCCACAGCATCGCTTTCAGCAATACTAAAATTTTTCTTAACTATTGCTCAAGTTCATGGTGGTGCTCAGATGCTTCTAAATTCTGGATTTTTCTCGACTTTAAGAGCTTTGTTAATGGAGTTTCCGGATGGAATGTCTACTTTGGTATCTGACAATGAAAAGGGCTGTCTGCTAGAAAAGACAGAAAAACCTCAGCATATCTGGGGAATCGGTTTGGCTGTGGTTACTGCCATGGTTCATTCTCTAGGATCTATTTCTGCAGGGGCTGATATTGTGGAGAGTGTCATATCTTACTTTTTCTTAGAGAAAGGTTACATGATCTCATACTATCTCGCTGCACCAGATTTCCCTTCTGATGATCGTGACAAAGTGAGACCACGAAGTCAGCGGACGTGGACTTCCCTTACTTATCTGAGAGAAACCGAGCATACTCTCCTTCTGATGTGTGCATTAGCTAGCCATTGGAGATCATGGGTTAAAATTATGAAGGATATGGATTCTGCATTAAGAGAAATGACAATACATCTCTTGGCCTTTATCAGCAAAGGTGCTCAACACCTTAGAGAGTCTCAGAGTTACACATCTCATCTGTTATGCCCTCCAGTAGTAAAAGAAGAGTTTGATTCCTGCAAAAGACCATCTTTCATCAACAGCAAGCACGGATGGTTTGCCCTAGCACCTTTAGTTTGTGTTGGGAAACCCAAGATCTCTGCAGTATCAATCTCGGCTGCTCTAGTTATCAGGGGACACACTACAGAACATCCTGGGTCTGTTCCTCAATCGCAGTTTTCAGACTCAGTTGCGATACAGATATATAGAGTGGCTTCTCTATTGTTGAAATTTCTGTGTTTACAAGCAGAGGGTGTTGTTACAAGGGCAGAGGAAGTGGGATATGTCGATCTTGCTCATTTCCCTGAGCTTCCAGAGCCGGAGATTTTACATGGTCTACAGGTACGAAAACTCGAGAACAAGAACAGTTAGTTACACTTTTTTTTTTAAATCTTCTCTGCGCCTGGTACTACAGTGTGTACGTATATTAAAATGCAGGACCAATTCACGGGAATAGTTGCTGAGCTTTGTGATAATTACAGATCCAAAGAGGTTCCAGATGAAGTAAAGAAGTTGTGCCTTTTGCTGATCCAAACGACAGAGATGTCGTTATACTTGGAACTCTGTGTTGTTCAGGTTTGCAGGATCCATCCTGTATTTGGGCGTGTGGATAACTTCTCCAAAGACTTGAAAAAGCTAGTGAAAGGTAACAAGTGTTTCTTCCCTAGTATTATTGACAAGGCTATGTTGATGATCTGGGATTTGCACGATCAATATTATTTGCTTGGGTTTGGTGCCTTATGTTTTTTTTTAATACAATTTAGTTGCAAGGAAAAAGTGAAAATTGTTTAGTAACATTTTCTGCTTCTTTTCTTTTTGTATGGATCAGCTGCTGAAGTGCATGCGTACTTAGAAACGTCCATGGATTCACTGAAGAAAATAGCTGTGTTTCTGTATCCCGGATCGCTTTAGGAACGAAACTAACATGTGGACCGGGCTTGAATGTGGTACGTATGTTTTAGATTTCTTCCTTCATGAGTGATTAAACCGGCTATTGTTAGTATTCTCTTTCTTTCAAATCATAGCTTTAAAAAATGTTCGGCTCATGGTGTCCACTCCATTTGGGTTTTTAGTTGCTTTACCTCTCAACAAATTCTTTTGATTGGTTCTCTCTCACTCTAGACCACCGAAAGTGCAGTTCCGAATAATTCTCACTGAACTAACTTTTGATAATCCCCACTATTCTAGATCATTCTGATTTTCGAATTCACTCTACTCTTTATCACAAAATTTAACCCAAAAAAAAAACACTTATCACAGTTAACATTTCCGAGGATGAATTCACTTGGACTTCTGCGCAAAGCATTGATGGTGTTATTGAAAGTGATGCATATAATAATCTATGCGTTACTACTAAACTAGAGTTAACGTTTTCAATTATTTAGCATTTGAATTAACGGTAAATAAAATTAATTTCAAGAGAAATTAGTGGGGTTTTGTATCGTATGAAATTGTGGGACACGTGTGGCACGTTGCTCGAGAAGGGGCATATGCCAAGTCTGAGATACTCCAACGCACTGACTGACTGACCCCTAATAAACCGGTGGTCAAACTCTAACCTAACCACGGTTAAGTTTTTAAAGCCGTTGAGATCTGTCCACGCGTAATAATCTAGTTTTTCTGTGAGATATTCGCCGCTTCCCTTGGCCGGCTATAAATTCCAAACCTCACCGCTAAATCCTCAACATACATCCTCTTCTTCTTCTTCGGTGTTTTAGACGTTTCACTGAAACACACACCACAACAACCAACAATGGCGTTCCCTAAGGTATACTTCGACATGACCATCGATGGCCAGCCCGCGGGAAGGATCGTGATGGAGCTGTACACCGACAAGACTCCCAAGACTGCCGAGAATTTCAGAGCTCTCTGCACCGGAGAGAAAGGAGTTGGCAGTAGCGGGAAACCCCTTCACTTCAAGGGATCTAAGTTTCACCGTGTGATCCCTAACTTCATGTGTCAGGGAGGAGATTTCACCGCCGGGAACGGAACAGGCGGTGAGTCGATCTACGGGACCAAGTTTAAGGACGAGAATTTCGAGAGGAAGCACACCGGACCTGGTATACTGTCGATGGCGAACGCCGGTGCAAACACGAACGGATCTCAGTTCTTCATCTGCACCGTGAAGACCGATTGGCTTGATGGTAAGCACGTGGTGTTTGGGCAGGTCGTGGAAGGGTTAGACGTGGTGAAGGCGATCGAGAAGGTTGGGTCGTCATCTGGAAAGCCGACGAAGCCGGTGGTTGTCGCCGATTGTGGCCAGCTCTCTTAGGATATCATCTTAAAACCTTTCTTAATTTAGCATCCTCGTGGTCGTGTCTGTCTCTTTTCTATGGAGTCTTTAAAGATTGTAGTCATAAGTTTGGTGTGTTCTCATGGGAACATATAAAAACTTCCCCCCTTTATTAACTACCATAAATAAATGAGCACTCTTCATTATCCTATTCTCTGGTTTGCTTATACGGAGTATATAATAGGAGTATAATCTAATTTAGGTTACCAATCTCGTCATTGTTTAACTGCATTTCCATGGGAACAGATAAAAACTCACCTTTTTCTGAGTAATGGTGGACGTTTATTATCCCCCGACAGTACACCACCACCAGGTCTTGGTCTAAAAAGTAACACACGTGATTCTGTATACAGAGAGTGAACCTAATCAATGACAATAATAACAAAGACCAGTTGGCCTAATCATATCTTTCTACAACTAAATTTGACGAAGCCCTCCAAATAATTAACTATACGCAGCCAGCAGGAACGCATATGCTGCTTTAATTAAGATTTTCAGAATAAAATAATTTGTGAGGAAGCCTAAAGAAGTCAATACGTGTGAAAGACGTCCACCCATTTTATTCAAATTTTGTTCTTATATCTTATATAATAATGAAATAATATAGCAGCTGCTGTTGGTTAATGAAGAATCCTCTATCGTGTATCAGGAATATTCCAACAAGTTTTTGAAATTTTCACGTTGGACTCGGCTCTCGTAAAATTACAAACAGATGAACAACTATAAAAAAGGATTAAAGAAGTTATTTTACCCAATAACAAAAAAGTTGCGGGTGATGGGGTGGTACGCGAAGCAGCAGATTATTAATTTAAAAATCGCAAGTTAATATTTCCGACAAGACGATGAGCTGTCGTCTCCGGAGAGGAGGGGGAATTTCTCTCTTTCTCTTTCTCTCTCTCTCTCTCCCGTTTGAATTCAATTTCACCACAACTCAAAAATATTCCTGCGATTCTCCTTCCTTCCTTCCTCCTGCGTCCCTAGCGGGGAAATCACGATTTTGAGATCATCAAAATTAAAAAAAAAAAAAAAAAAAACAAACAAATAGATGGTGTCGGACAATGAGATGGGTCTGGCGTTAGCTGTGTCGTCGAGTGTCTTCATAGGTTCCAGCTTCATTTTGAAGAAGAAAGGTCTCAAGCGTGCTGCCGCTAATGGCACCCGCGCTGGTTCGTTTAGAATCTCTAGTTTTGTTCTAAAATCTTTGTTGCTTTTTACCAATCCCTCCATGCTCCAGAATTTACTACGCTCTGCTTGATTATTGGATAGATGTGGGGGATTAATATCATCAATTTTGAACTACCCATCTGCTCAATTGGGGTTTTGCTGTCTGAATTCATTTGGTAGACGTTGAAATGGATCGATGTTGAAACCCAACTCTCAAGTTAGGTTCTAGGTGTCTGAATTACTCACCTTTTGTTAGTGTCCTCTAATATACAGATCATCATCATCATCTATAGATTTCTTATGCACTATGTTATGTTTCCCCTCAATTTTTAGAGGTGGGAAAGAAAGGTCAAAGGAAATAATGCTTCGCGCCAACTTGGTTCTCTGTACCTTTCTGCTATCATTTTTGTTTGAGAATATTGCCCATGTCAACAAATGGGATTATGACTTGCTTCATGAATCGTGCAGGGTTCGGAGGCTATACATATTTGTTAGAGCCCCTTTGGTGGGTAGGCTTGGTAACAAGTGAGTAATTAACCATCTTTTATTTCCATATGACTCTTTCTTTAATCTTATTCTAAATGTGAGATTTTGTAACTCAGTGACTTTTGGAGAAATTGCTAACTTTGTGGCTTACGTTTATGCACCGGCTGTATTAGTCACTCCTCTTGGTGCTTTAAGTATAATCATCAGGTATGTGCACTAATAACATCTTTTTGAGAGGTACTTCACCTTTTCTCTAACTAACTTTTCATTCTTCAATGGATCCTATAGTGCTGTTTTGGCACATTTCTTGTTAGACGAAAAACTTAGGAAAATGGGAGTTTGGGGATGTGTTTGTTGCATTGTGGGCTCAGTTATGATCGTCATACACGCACCTCAGGAGCAGACTCCCAATTCTGTTGAAGAAATCTGGAAACTAGCAATGCAGCCAGGTTTTTTGCTCTTTGTAACTCTCTCTCTCTTACACACACACACACACACAATTTGTGTGTTTATGTTACTGGTCTAGAGAATAACGTATACTCCTCTATTTTTGTATGAGACAGCTTTTCTAATTTACGTAGCCATATCAATGTCGATTGTCCTGGCTTTGATTCTGTACTGTGAACCTCTCTGCGGCCAAACCAATATTCTTGTCTATATCGGAATTTGTTCATTGATGGGTTCTCTTACAGTAAGCATCTCGGATATAGTGTTGAGATCTATTTCTTTTCCCATTTTTGTTTTCTAAAGGTTGTATTCTCAAATAGGTTATGAGCATAAAGGCTGTAGGGATTGCGATAAAGTTAACATTTGAAGGGATAAACCAGATTTGGTATCCAGAGACTTGGTTTTTTGCCATTGTTGCAGCAATCTGTGTGGTTATGCAAATGATTTACCTAAACAAGGTAAGAAGAACATGTACATGTGTCTGTGTGATGTAGTGTTGAGCACTTTGGCCAATTGTTAATAGTAATATGTTTTGTTTTGCTAGGCGCTGGACACTTTCAACGCAGCAATTGTTTCTCCAATTTATTATGTGATGTTCACAACACTCACAATTGTTGCTAGTGCAATCATGTTCAAGGTAAAGAAACTTTAACTAACAACGTTTTAAGAGTAATAATCCTGTTTCAAGATTGTCAAAAGGAAAAACAGTTAAATGAATCGCTTATTTTTTTAACAGGACTGGAATGGGCAAAACACAGACAGCATAGCCTCTGAGATTTGTGGATTCATCACAGTGCTTACAGGAACAGTTATACTCCATGCGACAAGAGAAGAGGAACAAGCTTCGCCTGGAAGAATGAGATGGCAAGATTCAGGGAAGAGCTTTGACGAAGAACATTTGACAAGTTTGTACAGTCCTGAATATTAGGAAGGTAAAAAGATCTAAACCTTCTTCTCCCTCAAATAATCTCCTAGTGGGGGAAAGAATGTACACTAGCTTTGTGTATACAACATGATAGTTTTGTAATAGTCTTTTGTGGTTTCTCTATACAAATTTGTCCATTGTTTGTTCATATTCATTTATTTTTGAGCTAAGTTAGTACAGATTTGTAACTAGATAATATTATTGTTGACTTTGATTACTATTAATTATTTTGATTGTTTTAGCAATATTGTTTCCTTCTCCTTGTAGGTGAAGGAATGGAAATTAATATCCGGACCTAAATAGTAAATAATAAACCCTATTAGATATGAATATGATGAATTAATAATAACCGTCCGATCAAAACCCAAAAAGATGGTAAGTATAAAAAGGAAATCGAGATTTGGTGCGGTCTAAAGAAGGAGAGCCATTCATTATTTTTGATTCACACAACGAAGAGAGAAGAAGCAGAAGACGAATCCAACCATGGCGGCTGCTGTATCATCTGTTTGGGCAAAGCCTGGTGCTTGGGCTCTTGAAGCCGAGGAACACGAAGCTGAACTCAAGCAACAAGCCCCTCCCTCCACACAGAAATCCTCTGCCGGAGATTCCTCCGATTTCCCTTCCTTAGCCGCTGCTGCCACCACCAAAACGAAGAAGAAGAAGGCCCAAACCATATCTCTCGCCGAATTCGCTACCTACGGTTCCGCTAAGGCGGCGGCACAGACGGAGCGTCTCACTCAGGCTGAGCTGGTATCTCTTCCGACCGGTCCACGTGAACGCTCTGCTGATGAGCTTGATAGATCTAAGCTTGGAGGTGGTTTCCGGAGCTATGGCGGGGGTCGTTACGGAGATGAATCGTCCAGCTCGAGGTGGGGTTCGTCTAGGGTTTCGGAGGATGGGGAAAGGAGAGGCGGTGGATTCAACAGGGACAGGGAACCTAGTAGGGATTCGGGTCCCTCGCGTGCGGATGAGGATGATAACTGGGCCGCCGCCAAGAAACCAATTGGCGGAAACGGATTCGAGAGAAGAGAGAGAGGCGCCGGCGGAGGATTCTTCGAATCTCAGTCCAAGGCTGATGAAGTCGATAGCTGGGTCTCCTCTAAGCCATCGGAGCCCCGGAGATATGAGAAAAGGGGAAGTTTTGAATCCTTGTCTAGAAACCGTGATTCTCAATACGGCGGTGGAGGTAGTTCTGATTCGGACACCTGGGGGAGGAGAAGAGAAGAGAGCAGTGGTGCAAACGGCGTGCCATCACCGACTGCTGGCTCACGGCCGAGATTGGTGTTACAGCCACGTACACTTCCTGTGGCCGTTGTGGAGGTAGTGAAGCCGGAGAGTCCGGTCTTGGTCATTGTCGAGAAACCTAAAGGTGCCAATCCTTTTGGGAACGCAAGACCTAGAGAGGAAGTTCTGGCTGAGAAAGGCCAGGATTGGAAAGAGATTGACGAGAAGCTCGAGGCTGACAAGCTTAAGGACGTTGCTGCAGCCATTGAGAAGCCTGATGAGAAATCTCCAGGGAAGATGGGGGGCTTTGGCCTTGGCAATGGCCGCAAAGACGACGAACGTACTGAAAGAAGTTGGAGGAAAAGGTATATCTTCTTTGACTACAAAACTTGGTTTATTCGTTTCTTTAGTTTGCCTGCTTGATAATATTATTTTAGACTGGCAAAGTAGTATGTGGTTGTGATCTCTTAGTGTCCGTGGAAATTATTGATATGGGTCTAAGAAAATTGTGAATGTTGTGGGAGATATAGATTCATATATATGCTATAACTGATAGTGAGATATTTGATGATCATGAGTTATGAATCTAGTTTTTGGGGAAACCAGTTTTTAATATGTTAAATTTGGTGTTATTAGCTTTTTTCTACCTTCATTCATACATGCAAGTTGGTGTCTTGAAGTGAACCTCTTTCTAGGCTGAAAGATTGAATCCCTCTTTTCTGCTTTTTTCATATGGCATCGCATGTTTCTCTGAGAGCTCTGTTTTTCTCTTTCTGCGTGATGGTAATATAATCAGTGTGGTTGGGTAATGTGGCAAGTTTTAAATCTTGTGAGATTGTTTCTTACTCTTGGATTATTTTGTCTTTGAACATTGAAGCACGGAGCAATCTGAGGAGGAACCAGCTGTAGAAGAGGCTAAGAAGGAAGAGGCTGAGGGCGAACTGGCTGTAGAAGAGGCTAAGAAGGAAGAGACTGAGAAGGAAGCAGCTGTAGAAGAGGCTAAGAAGGAAGAGACGGATGACAAAATCTAAAGAGTCAAAAGGCATTTTTGTGGATTGTGATAGAACAAGTTGGGTTCTCCAAGTTTAGCTTCTGAGAATTTGTGTTGTTTAATTTGGATAAGTTAAAAGTTGTGTGGGGAACTGGATAGAAAATTTTGGTAGGGTCTTTTTATAATCTCTCTCTGTCTCTCAGTCTTGTTTGCATACTCTGTTGCAAATTTTTAGGGTTTTGCGTGTCTTTTATATTTTTTACGAGTTGTACAATTTCATTATTGGTTTACTCTTTCTTTGAATTTGGGAGCGCCTTTAGGTTGGCAGTGGTGATCAATGGTGCGTACTGCGTAGAGTGAGTGTTGTTTATTATTAAGAGCCCAATTGGGCCGACTTAACCCGACCCAGTAGTATCAGATCTGACCCGAATTCTTTAATCATCTTGATCGGTGTAGTCCACCTTGCAAAGAAAAAGGAGAAAGATATGTGGTGAGGAATAAAACCTGTACAGATTAAAATTCTACAGTACTGGAAAGTTATTAAAAAAAAAAAAAGCACACACCAAGCATACTGAGTGTCGTGAGACGGGGAATATGATAACCCCACGCGCTCTCTGGAGTTGAATTTGATTAGCCATTTTGATAACACGCGCTTAACGCTCTCGAGGTGCGCGTGGTCCTTATCGAAATAAAGTACTACTGTATTATTCTGTCTTTTTTTTATTTAAACCCAAAAAATACTGTTATTCTTTTCTAGCAAAATCTCAAAGCTTTTTAGAATGATAATTTTTAAAAAATAAATAAATCTCTATAGATGTTTTTAAAGTTGTCAAAAACACCACTATAAATTTGAACATATCAATATCAAGTAGAAATTTTTGAAATCAACAAATCTCCCCTTAAATGAAATATATATAGACAGAAATTTGGCGGAAATATATCTTTTTCCATGGTCTCGTATAATTTCTATTTACTTGATGAATGATGACTATGGTTTTTTTTTTTTTGGTTTGGCTTAGATAACTATGGCTTATTATCTCTAAATAAAATGAACTGATCTAATCCAAATCGAAAACTAAAACTCTGTCTAAACCCCACTCCAATTTTAATCCCCAAAAGAGGAAAAAAAAAAGGTGTAGATGCATTATTTTCGCGAGAGATTACTGTAGTATTCTATATTCATAATGAACCTGAATGCTATGCATTTACTACTTCTTTTTCTTATATAGAAAAATATCATTAGATTTTCTGAATAAATGACATATACACTCTTTTAATCTGTTCTTTCCAATTGTGTAGTATCTTTTTATAGAAGAAAATCTTTGCCTAAAAAAACTTTCCTAAAACTTTAAGTGATCACACTATATAGTAGTATGTTTTAGATACATTTGGATACTAATCCTTCATATCAATTTCTTAATTTTTATAATTATGAAGAACACACTCGTAACATTTTTCACACTCTGTTTGAGCGTGGCCGTTCTGGCAGCGCGTCACGAGTCCTACTACTGCAAAACCAAACCGGCTAATATGAAGGAGGAAAAAGTGACACGTGTCCGATTCTATCTTCGTGATACCCTCAGTGGCCAAAACCCTACCGCCGTTAGAATCGCACATGCCAATCTCACCGGCGGCTCAGAGTCTCCGGTGGGTTTTGGAAGCCTCTTTGCAATAGACGATCCACTCACCGTCGGACCGGAGAAACATTCGAAAGAGATAGGGAACGGTCAAGGGATGTATGTCTCCGGGAGCAAAGAGATGAGCAAATTCTCGATTGTGATGTACGTCGATTTGGCTTTCACGACGGGGAAGTTCAATGGAAGCTCAATCAGTATCTTCTCGAGGAATCCGGTGGCGGAAGAGGCCGGAGAGCGAGAGATCGCGATAGTTGGTGGCCGTGGGAAATTCAGAATGGCGAGAGGTTTCGTCAAAATAAAAACACATAAGATTGACATGAAAACCGGTGATGCTGTTCTCCGATATGATGCTACTGTTTACCATTATTAATATATATATATATATATATATATTTATATATGTTCCAATCAAAATAATAAAAACGCCAACTACGTTAATAATTCAGATTAAAACTGATTTTTGCAGGATCATGAGATTATAATTATGTTGCAATCATTCTTTTCAGATTAAAATTGTTGTTTTACAAATCTTTCGTGGATAGTAATATTTGTGATAGCGTTACAAAAGACATGAAAGGGCCAAGTGAGTCTATGATTGATTTCCCGTCGGATCCTATCCAAATTTTATCCAAAATATTAATTATCGATGCCTTATTTAAATTTTTGGATCGACTTTTATTTCAATTGAAATTTAACATGTGTGTCTTTGCATAGCAAATGAAAAAAAAAAAAAAAAAAAACACATTCGTCTATGAAATCAAAATCACGTTGTATTGATATCTTTCACGTCGGAGAAAGCCAGCTCATAGAAAGTGACAAAATAATAACTAAAAAAGAAGACATCAATACAACAAAAAATCAAATATGGATCTACCAATACCATACACTATAAAGTATAAAGCCACTCTCCCATCAATTACAACCCAACCACTCTTTGAATATATCTCAACCAATCAATCGGTTCCATTTATCACATATATGTTCCCACAAAAAAAAAAATTTGCAAGAAAATTATAGTAATTGATCTAAACGGTGTATTGATAAAGTAGCGTAATTATTAAAAATTAACGTATAATTCGCAACTTTTTCGTACCAATAATAAACAGAAACAGAAGAAAGCATAACAATAATATTTTTTTTTTTTAAAAACAATCATAACAACTTATGAGTAAATGTTCATTTATAAAGGCGTGGAACGTTTTTAAAAAAAGCAAGAATAGAAATCAATAAAATAGTGATCAGGAGAGAGAGAGAGCAAAGGGAAAGGGTTCATCCTCACCAGTCACCAATGGGGTCTCACCTTTCCAAACAACTCGAGCGGCGAAAAGCCATCTCCACGGAAAAGAAAGCCCTCATCGATCTCGAGAAATCTTGCGGCTGCGAGTTTCCTGGCTGTGATTACATGCCTTCTGATCGTAAAAACTGGATGTCCGGCGTTGGACCTGAAAAGCTTCACATCAACAAGATCGTCTGGCCAGGCACGCACGACTCCGCCACCAACAAAATCGGTATACGATTTGTGTCTCGTCCTTTTGCTCAGTGTCAATCTCTCTCCATCTATAACCAGCTCGTGGCTGGTACTCGAGTCCTTGACATTCGTGTCCAAGAAGATCGCCGTGTCTGCCACGGTATCCTCAAGACTTACAGCGTCGACGTTGTATTAGCCGATCTCAAACGGTTTCTGTCCGAAACAGAGTCCGAGATTGTCATTCTTGAGATCAGAACAGAGTTTGGACACGAAGATCCACCGGAGTTCGATAAGTATCTTGTGGAACAGCTTGGAGAGCATCTGATTCACCAGGACGATCACGTGTTCACCAAGACAGTCGCTGAGCTGCTTACCAAGAGAGTGATCTGCGTTTGGAAACCGAGGAAATCGCCTCAGCCTAAGCATGGCGATCCGCTGTGGAGTGCCGGTTACCTGAAAGACAATTGGATCGATACGGATCTTCCATCGACCAAATTCGAGAGCAACATCAAGCATTTGAGCCAGCAGCAACCGGCTACTTACAGGAAATTCTTCTACCGGGTGGAGAACACTGTGACGCCGCAGCCTGATAACCCGATAATGTGTGTAAAACCGGTGACTAAGAGGATCCATTGCTACGCCAAGGTGTTCATCATCGAGTGTGTAAAGAGAGGATGTGCTGACAAGCTGCAGATATTCTCAACGGATTTCATAGATAAAGAATTTGTTGATGCTTGCGTTGGGCTCACATTTGCGAAAGCTGAAGGCAAGGCCTGAGGAATGAGCGTGTGTAGAGACAGACTTTGTATATTTTAAAGGAAAAGAATCAGAACATGGCTGCTGTGTTGTTAGGAATCCTTGTGTATGAAAACACGTCAGTGTGTGTGTTTGATTTAAGAGTGTATCTTCATATACATTACTAAATATTTGATTCAATTGTCAAAGATCCAAAATCAAGGTAAAGAATTCTGCAGAGCAAATAGTAGTATTTCTCTTCATATATATAGGTAGTGTATAAACTCAAAATGTTGGTAATGAAAAGAATGATCATATTCAGAGATGAAGTAAGAAAACCACCCAAAAATGAGAAGACATATATTAAGGAAGAGATTTCAACTATAGTTATACTTTTTCAGATGATGCAGCAGTCCATAGACTGGCAAAACAGAAGGAAGAAGCACGCAGATTCATGATAGAAAACAAACTAGTCTATATATAGTTTACAAAGTGAAAGAGAGCTAACCTGAGAGAGGACTATATATCTCTGCTACAATATAATGGCTCTTTTTGTGACACCAGTGTGATTTTGGGGGTATGCCAATTCTATCTTGTCTAAATAGAATTAATTATGCTAGAATTCTCATATCAGTAGCTAATGACACAATATGCATCTCTCTAATTCCATTCTTTGATCAATCTATAAAGCGACATATGAAGGAAACTGAGTTAAAGGGAAAAGACACAAGTAAGTGTTGAAGAATGAAAATCACTAGTGTGTGGAAACGATAGGTTACCTCTAAGCATAGTGCAAAATCCCAATTATTAGAGGTTAGATCTCAATCACTTCAAAAAAAAAAAAACGACTGTAAAGGCTAATAAGCCCCACGAGATGTCAAAGATTATTTGTGGTCAGAAAACAAAAGGTGTTGATCCACAGAAACAAGCCTAACCAGGAGTATCTGATTCTGAGATCAGCGGCGACACCACTCCTTTTGAGTTATCTCTCGGGCATTATAGATGCAGCAAGAGAGTTCACCTTTTTATTTATTTATTTAAACGGCTGCGTTTTGAGTCGTATTATTCTCCCTCTCATAATGAAATGTTACCAGTTTACTTCTACACATTCTTAGAATTAAGAGCTAAATTTGTGATATTTACATATTATTATTGATGACAAAAAAAAAAAAAAAACATATTATTCGTCAACAGGATCTGTTTTGAACCCTCAATAAAACTTCTATAAACTTACACATTTACTACTCAAAATCGAGATCCAGCAAGGACAGACAATCTCTATGCGGTCAATAGTCGTCTCAATTTTCTTCATACAATTATTATACTATTTGGTAAAAAATACTCAAAAAGTGTCATTTTAGAGTTTTGCACACAGATTAAGAAAACATTAAATTTTTTATTTTTTCTAAACAAAAACATCATTAACTATATACCTAAACATAATCTGCCCAATAGTAAAACAATATACAGAATACTAATAGTCATAAAACATAAAAAATCATTAAATTTTGCATTGAAAACCTAAAACGACACTCTTTGTAAAACAAAAATAAAACCTTAAAACGACATTCTTTATGAAACAGAGGGAGTACTATTTAGAATTTTGAAGTAGTATATACTATATATATCTGCTTCATGAACAGTTAATGCTTATTTTGACCAGAAGATTGAGAAATTTGTATATTGACCAGTTGAAATATCTGCTGACGTCGTATATCATTCTTTAATGTTGTTGTTGACTGCAACCAAAATTAAATACCTACCAAGTAAAGAAAATTAAATGATCTTCTCTCTCTATTCCCAGAGAGCTTTTTAGATCTGAATCTGACGGCTGATATACCTCCTGAAAAACACCCCAACCGTCCAGATGCAACCGCTTGCTGGGCCAACGATCCATTCTCTTTCCCGAAATGGATTATTAATGTATAAGCCTGGCCCATTTTGTTTTTGAGTTACAGATTCTGTTTTCTTTTGTTTAAATTTTAGTTGCAGATTCATTTTCGAAATCAACGCAATTTTTATGTTTATTAATTATCTCTCTCTCTCTTACTAATTTTACTATTCAAAAACAGTCCCAAAATATCAATTTTTTAAAAAATCTAAAAATCTTAATCAATGCTCGGATATACAATTTGGATTGCTGAAATAATTTTATATTAAAAAAGAAATATAGTAAATAGTAAAAATTCAACATAGAAAAAGATCTAAAAATATATTTCCTTTTCCAAAAAATTAATGGGAGACTCACAAAAATGCCCCTTTTTTAATACCCCTTTTCAAAAATGCCCCCTTTGGATGTCCATTTTTAAAAATACCCCTTTTATGTACAAAATGACTAAATTACCCTTCTTTTAATAAAAGATATCATAAATATATAAGGAAATATAACAAAATTAGGTCCACAAAATACAAAATATTTTTTGGCGGGAAAAGTGATCCCCCAATTTTTCCCGCCAAAACACTTGTAAAAAATTGTAAAACCTTTAAAATACCTTGTAAAATTTTCCCGTAAAATTTTTTCCCGCCAAAAAATTTTCCCGCCAAAAATTTTTTTTTGCGGGAAAAGTGATTCCGCAATTTTTTTGGCGTTAAATTTTTGGCGGGAAAATTTTTCCCGCCAAAAATTTACAAGGTATTTTAAAGGTTTTTTACAAGGTATTTATAAGGTTTTACAATGTATTTTAAAAGGTTTTACAACGTATTTACAAGGTATTTATAAGATATTATAAGATTTTACAAGCTATTTTATAAGGTTTTTACAAGTTATAAGGTTTTACAAGTTTTTTATAAGGTTTAAAACCTTAAAAGTACCTTGTAAAACCTTTTAAAATACATTGTAAAACCTTACAAAACACTTGTAAATACCTTGTAAAAAACCTTTAAAATACCTTGTAAATTTTTCCCGCCAAAAATTTTCCCGCCAAAAAAATTTCGCAAAAAAAATTGCGGAATCACTTTTCCCGCAAAAAAATTTTTTTGGCGGGAAAAATTTTTACGGGAAAATTTTACAAGGTTTTTTAAAGGTTTTTACAAGTGTTTTGGCGGGAAAATTGCAGGATCACTTTTCCCGCCAAAAAATATTTTGTATTTTGTGGACATAATTTTGTTTCAAATAAGGGTAAAATGGTCATTAAAAATTAAAAGAGGGCAAACTTAAAAATGGACTCTCAAAGGGGGCATTTTTGAAAAGGGGTATTGAAAAAGGGGCATTTTTAACAATTTCTCAAAATTAATCTTGGCAACATGGAAAAATGAAATTGTGTGGGTGACGTGGCAGTCATACCCTTGCCACACCTCTCCTACGCATATAAACAGCAGCTGCGAGGAGAGAGGTTTTCCAGAGTGTGAATTTTTTCTAGGGTTTCGGTTTTTGGAGATTTAGAGAGAAAGTGAGTTTTTAAGACATTTCGATCAGAATGAGCGGAGACAACGGCGGTGGTGAGAGGCGCAAAGGCTCCGTCAAGTGGTTTGACACCCAGAAGGGTTTCGGCTTCATCACTCCTGACGACGGTGGCGACGATCTCTTCGTTCACCAGTCCTCCATCAGATCTGAGGGTTTCCGAAGCCTCGCTGCCGATGAAGCTGTCGAGTTCGAGGTTGAGATGGACAACAACAGCCGTCCCAAGGCCATCGATGTGTCTGGACCCGACGGCGTTCCCGTCCTAGGAAACAGCGGTGGGTCATCTGGCGGACGTGGCGGTTTCGGTGGCGGAAGAGGTGGTGGCCGCGGATCTGGAGGTGGATATGGCGGTGGCGGTGGATACGGAGGAAGAGGAGGTGGCCGAGGAGGCAACGACTGCTACAAGTGTGGTGAGCCCGGTCACATGGCGAGAGACTGTTCTGACGGCGGTGGAGGTTACGGAGGAGGCGGTGGAGGTTACGGAGGAGGCGGAGGCAACTACGGCGGAGGAGGCGGCCGCGGAGGTGGCGGAGGCGGTGGAAGCTGCTACAGCTGTGGCGAGTCGGGACATTTCGCCAGGGATTGCACCAGCGGTGGACGTTGAAACCAACGCCGGTCCGGTGGTAGAGAGGAGTGAGTCGGTTATCTCACAAGTGATCGGATCTTCTTTTCGCCGCCTTCTATCTTTCTATTATCGGCTTTTTGCTTATTATGATTAATCTCTCTCTGTCTTTGTTAGTTGCTTTTTCTTAATCTCTTGATGGTTTCGGATTAGGACTTATTTATGGTACTTGTGATGGGTGAAATGCTTCTTGTTGCTCTGTTTCAAGTGTTCATATGCAAGCAAATATTCTGGGTTTTGTTTTAATCATCTGAATGAATCGTGAGATCTGGATACTTAGATCGTGAGATCATCGTTTTAAGGTTGAATTCTTTTATGGGTTACGATGGATAAGATTCGGCTGCCCATAGATGACAAAATCTATCTGCTCATGGTTGCATTGAATGGCATTTAAGTTGTATGGACTGGAAGGAATTTAATACCAATTGCAGTCTCCATCATTCTCATTTTTTTTTTTTTCACTGAAAGATTTTCATTATATAATACAAGAGTGGAATACATGGGTGGAATATGTTTTTGGAATGCGTTTTCGAAATACAATACCGGCAGAAAACAAAGAAATCCCCGGAAGCTAAAGCTCGATACACACATAAGAAAATATACTAAAGTCAAAAAGTGAAGCTCTCTAAATCATCATTCTCATTATTAATTGTTCTTTAAGTACAAAACGCCACCGTTTCTTCATGATCACGCTCGCATATTACTGTAGCTCACACGATTCGGATTGGATAAGTCGAGAAAAAGCAGATATGGGAAGATTTAGATCTGTGTTGTCGTTGTTACCTTGGAAATCGGAGTGCTAGCATGTTTGAAGGTCCACACCCAAAATCCCACGTGCGCAACGCTAAATGGATAACCAGAAAACCGGTTTAATTTCGGATTCACCAAACCCAGTTTGGAACTAGAATAATCGGTTTCGGTTTTATTTGGTTTGATTTAAAGAAACAGAGAAGCTTTCCTTCCTCTCTCTCTCTCTCACTCGCTCCTCTCTTCCGCCGCTATTTCCATGGACTGAAAGTAAAGTTGCTCGCTTTTTTTTTTACTCATTCAAGCATTCAGCTTTAGAATCCGATCGAATCCTCTTGTAACAACAATGATGAATCGAATCCTCTTGTTTATGATCCTGGCTTTTGTCTTATCTCTTTCAGGTAATAATTATTAATCGCTGTGTATTGCTTGATTTATCGAGATTGGACAATCTTTACACTCGTTGATTGAATTGGTTTCCCATGGCAGAAGTTGAGCCGATTTCGTTCAAGATCACGAATCGTTGCCGGAACACGATATGGCCTGGTTTGCTCTCCGGTGCTAACTCCGCGCCGCTCCCCACAACTGGCTTTCGTCTTTCCAGAGGAAAATCTAAAACCGTCGCAATACCAGCGTCCTGGTCTGGTCGTCTCTGGGCAAGAACCTTGTGTTCACAAGATCGGAGCTCCGGTTCTTTCGTCTGCTTAACCGGAGACTGTGGCTCAGGAAAAGTCGAATGTACAGGCTCCGGTGCTAAACCTCCAGCAACCCTCGCCGAGTTTACTCTCAACGGTACCGGAGGACTTGACTTCTACGACGTTAGCCTCGTCGACGGTTACAACCTCCCGATGCTAATCTTGCCCAAGAAAATCGTCCTTGGAGGATGCGGAGCCACCGGGTGTCTCGTGGACTTGAACGGCGCGTGTCCCAGAGACCTAAAGCTGGTGGCGCGTGGGAAAGGGAACGGTGTGGCTTGCCGTAGCGCGTGCGAGGCATTCGGGGACCCAAGGTATTGCTGCAGCGATGCGTACGCGACGCCGGACACGTGCCAGCCTTCTGTGTACTCGCTCTTCTTTAAGCATGCGTGCCCGCGAGCCTACAGCTACGCCTATGACGACAAGACCAGCACTTACACTTGCGCCACCGGAGCCGATTATTTCATCATCTTCTGTCCGCCGCCGTATACAAGGTGAGATATTGACCCTTTTGCCCCTCTCTTCGAATTAGTTTAGCCTCTGTTCAAAATTTGAGAGATGTTTCTTGTCATTTTATGAGTAGGAATCTAATCTGAGCCACTGTTGATTATTATGGACTTTCATATGATCATCTTCAATGGTTATAGAGCGTAACACAACAGTTTAGTAGATTAAAACTGAAATTTGAATGACTTTTTAGCAGTTTTTGATTTAGTTGGATTGAATTCGACATAGATTGGAATGAGGAGATCCATGATTGAAAATGTAGACCATATATGTAAGCATTTGGTGTGAGAAAGTGTTGATTATGGGTTTTGTTTTAATGGTTGGAAAAGATTAGATAGAAGAGCTCCATTATTGAAAATGTACTTAGGTGTAATGAGCTTAGTAAGTGTTGATTATGGGTTTTGTTCAGCGAGAAGCTTTTAGGATCGAGGAAAGATGGGGCAACGCTGCCGCTAGTAAACAAGAGCATGATTCATTTGCGGCATCCGCACAGCAGCTGAGCCACCTCCTTATATGTCTCAAGTCCTTCTTACATCAGGTCCGTGTTACATGGCTACTGGCATTCTCTATTGAAGTTATTGTTTGTTTTCATTTCGTCTTTCTTGTTGCAGGCAGATAGGAAATTCATGTGTAGAAAATATGGCATTACGGTGGTGATACCAAGGTAGAAAATTGTAAATTTCCTATTGTTTTACCAAGACTTATTGTTTCCGTAACCTGCTCTTTCTATGTCAATCATAAGGTAGAAAGAAATCCATCTTGTGTACTAATTAAAAATAATGTGATTAACGGATTAAGAATAAGGGGTCGATAAAAATAGCCCCATAAGCCCATTTGCACAGCACGCTCGTCTGCAAAACCAAGGCTTACTACCTCTATCCTTCAGTTTCTTAGATTGGAGTACTTTTTTGGCCTAACTTAATTTCTGTACCAAAATTTAGCTACTCTAAGGTGAATTTTTTTTGCTTTTAAATTTTTTTTGCCATACTTTTGAGCATTGTTATACAACAAAGAAATTAACTAACATGTTAATTTGCTTTTTGGGAATATATATAAATACGTCAGGCTTTGGAGACTTGAAAGTTTTTGGGAAATCAATAGCCAATTAAATACTCTCTCTCTTCCTAAAAGGTTGATGTTTTAGCTTTTGTTGTTTGTTCCACAAATATTGATTTTCTAAAATTTTCTTTTATTTTTATTGACTTATAATAGTAAATTGTAAACTTCAAGATACAATACTTATAAATCATTAACTTTTTTAGACTACTATTGGTTGATAATTATAAAAAAATATTTTAAATTAAAAAATAATGTTAAAATGATTAAAAAATGATTGAGTTTTTAATATGTGTAATAACTCCAATATATCAAACTATTAGAATAATAAGGAGTATAATGTAGTTTGTCAGTTACCTTGGCGAAGTTAAAAATATTGAAAAGATTTAGGAGTCAAAGACTCGGTCAGGGTCCAGCTCTCCAGGTAGTAGGGGCATGGGTGAAACTCTCTCTCTCTCTCTTGTTCCTCAAAAGACGAAAGACACAAGAGAGTTATCCTCTGTATTTTGCCACTAAATCTTCCCACTGAGCAGCGCAGTAGCCCAGTAGCCGCTCACTACGAGTCATTCCAAACAACTCGTAGTAATCTACACTCGCGGAACCAGCCATACAGTCTATCGACATTGGCTGAACCAGCTATACAGTCTAAGGGGGAAGCTAATCGATTTCTAGTTAGAAATCTGCTTCCCTCTGTTCGTGCATGTGCCACACGATCTAATAACATGGTCGCATTTTCATACATTTGATCATCAGCGGTCAAGACTCGAAGCATAGTAGTAGCCTCAGAAACTCCACCCTTAAAATAATCCTTTTAATATAGGAAACCACACACAAAGCTCCAACTGATCGATCGATCAACGAAATCTTACACAAAATGAAAAAGAATTTTAATGAATAAAAGACTTCATTAGTAGAAAATAGAACAATTAATGAGATCCGAAACCATTTGGTCCTATCTCTCCCTAGTCCCTACGGCCTACACCCAATAATCTTTTTTTTAAACCCGTTTTTAAAAATTCTTTAATAATTGGACAAGAGAAATTTTGTCAGCTTTCAGGCATAGAGCCCCCCAGTAACACTCAATCCAGGGAAAAAAAATAAGAAAACCCCATTTCGACTCAAATAGCTTCACAGTTTTACTAATCTCTCTCATCTTCTTCCCAACATCAAAGACCTTCACTTCTGATTAGATTCAGTTCAAGAACAGAAGAAGAAAAAAAAAAACCCATAATGGATCTTTCTTCTCGTCGCGCCTCTTTCACTCTCACATTGAGCTTCATAGTTCTCCTCCTAGCCTCCACAGGTAAACCCAGTAGAAGAAGAGTCTCTCCCTCACTTACTTCAAACTCCTTTACACATTATACTTAAGCCTCGTTTCAAAGTTTCATTTTTTCACTGATTTGTTTCTTTATCTTTTGGTATTAAAGGTTCGTATGGCTCAACATTTACATTCGCTAATCGCTGCGGCTTCACCGTATGGCCTGGAATCCTAGCGAATGCTGGCTCACCTACTCTCTCCACCACCGGATTCGAGCTCCCTAAAGGCACCTCCCGCTCTCTCCAAGCTCCCACCGGTTGGTCCGGTCGATTCTGGGCTCGAACCGGTTGCAAGTTCGACGGTTCTGGCTCCGGTACATGCACAACCGGCGATTGCGGCTCCAACACTGTCGAATGCGCCGGACTTGGCGCCGCACCGCCTGTAACTCTCGCCGAGTTCACTCTAGGCACTGGCGGCGACGATTTCTACGACGTTAGTCTCGTCGACGGTTACAACATTCCGATGATAGTCGAAGTCGCCGGTGGATCTGGACAGTGCGCTTCTACCGGATGCACTTCGGATCTTAACACTCAGTGCCCTGCTGAGCTGCGTTTCGGCGACGGAGACGCTTGTAAAAGCGCGTGTGAAGCGTTTCGGAGTCCTGAGTATTGTTGCAGCGGCGCGTACGCTACACCTTCGACTTGTCGGCCTTCCGTCTACTCGGAGATGTTCAAAGCCGCGTGTCCTCGCTCGTATAGCTACGCTTACGACGATGCTACGAGCACTTTCACTTGCGCCGGTGGAGATTATACGGTGACGTTTTGCCCTTCTTCCCCTAGGTAATAATTATACTGTCCTCAAATTTCTCACTTACTATAGTATTATTCTTATTAATTTCCACAATTTAGGGGTTCCTTGAAAACTTTTTTTTTTTTAGTATAATGAATGATTTTGGGTATGTTTTTTTTTTTCGCCGTTGGGAAAGCCAAAGTTTGTGTTTATCTTCTTTTCATAAACCATCATTTTGAAAGCAAAAAGATTCTCTTTGTGTTGTCAATTACGATTAATTTAATCGAGAAAGTTTGTAGCAAATGTTTCAAAATGACAAAAAATGCTAAAGTTGTTTGAAAACGCAAGTTGAAAGATTTGACATTGCAATCATTTTGATTAGTGTTTGAATAATTTTGTGTATACAGTCAAAAATCGACTAGCTATTCCCCTCCAGTGACAGACTCGTCGTCGACCTCACAAGGTTCGGATCTTGTGCCTGGTTCTGATACGGGTTATGCCGCCGGTCAGGGTCAACAGACTCCAGTTCAAGGTACTGTGTACGGGTCTCAGGGTACTGGGTCGGAGATGGGTACGGGTGAGACCATGTTACAGGACGGATCATGGATGGCTGGTTTGGCCATGGGAGACTCAAGCAGACCAGCCGGCGCTTCATTGGCAATGCTACTTGCTGCCTTTACTTTTCCGTTTATCTTCTCGTAGCATCCTCGTCTTAGATTTTGTAGTCGTTTTGTTAGCATTGCCTTGGTTTAGTTTTCTTGATACTCAATGTTTATCGCTCAAGACTGCGACTATTTGGGTTTTAGGGTTTTGCATTGTAGCTTTGTCGTGTGTGCGTGTTCCTTTTCATCTGTCTTTGAAGATGGTGTTTCATGTTCGAAATTGTGAGATATGCTTTGTGTGATATAAAGATCTTTTGTGGCTTTAATAGATCTAAAGCGCCAAGGTGATTATTATTAGACCACTAAAATTAAGAATTTCATATTTATTGTGTCTGGATTTTGGTAGGTCTAATTTTTAATTCCTAGAGAGTATAGTAACATTCAAGTGTATGATAATGTCGCCAGAGCCAAGCTGGGGCTCACAGTTAATGGCTGTGTGATGTGAATGATGCCCACTTTAGCTTTTTTAAGTTACTTTGCAGAGATTTATGTTTGATTTGATGTCTCTATATTATGTCATAAATTTTCTATAGATAAAAGTTTGCCCACGCCTCAAAATCTCGTCCCTCTTTTTGACCCTTTGTCACTTACTTTTGTCCCCACCAGTACATTCAATTTTGTTACTGATTGAAAATTTGCAAATTAAAATATAATTTACCTATGTGTTCCTCATTAAGATCTACTCTATATCTTAAGAGATAATCTTAAACATGGAGTCGCTGTGTTAGATTTGAAGCCTCACATGTTTGGTCTCAGGGCCTTGAGATAACGAGAAAGACGAATTAACCGTTTTACCTTGGTATACGATGCCAACTCTATACTCTCCCAAAAAGCCGAAGAAGCTGAAGGAACCATGGTCGTCGGTCGTGGCCTTAACCTCACGAGTCTTCCATTCTAGAAGCTTCTGGTCCACCATGTCTCCGGCTGGAAGGTTCCGGAATTTATCGTCGGTGAGGCACATTTGGTAACAACCGTTTGGGTGAAGTGCGGTCCATAGCATTATACCGTTCACCGATGGGTGCGAGAATCCTTCACGTAACACTTGCTCCAAATAAATCGCCTGAGAACATGACAAAATTCCGGTTACTAGCCCCAAGGTTTAATCAATTAATGTGTACTACTAGTGAATAAGATATCAAAAGTGAAGCAAATTTATCTACATAGTAGTTAGTAGAAGAATGCTTCTCTTTCAAATTTGATTATTTTGTAGTGGAATGATTCCACTCTGTTCAAAATGCCACCATATTATATCACCCTCAAGAAAGAAACAACAACTATTTTCAGCCTAAATCAATTTGAAAAAACGCATAATAACCGGGTTCAAATTCCAAACTGAATTAAACCGGAATTGGCAAGGAAACAGAGACTTATTGACCTGCGTGCGGTGGTCGAGGCTGCTGCTGATATCAATTTCGGTGAGCCAGATTGGGAGCTGGAGCGTCGCGAGTTTGTCGATGATTGCTCTCATTAGCGCCACGTTCGGCGTCGTGAAGTGACCCTCGAGACCGATTCCGTCCATCCTTATGCCGTCGTACCGTTGGAGTTCCCTCACCCTCGCGATGTATTCGTCAACCGTCGACTTCTCGTCGCTGCAAGTCTCCACCACGTTGAAATCATTAAAGAACAGAGTCGCCAGCGAGTCAATCTCACGCGCCGCCGCGAAGAACCCGTACGACGCGTTCTTCCCCAGTCGACTCTCGTAGAAGTCGAAGTGAAGCATCTCGTTGCTCACGTCCCAGTGCACGAACTCCCCTCTGTACCGAGTCATTAGACTCTTGATTCGCCGGTTAACCGCCGACCGGAGATCTTCGCCGCTTAGATTACGAACCCAATTGGGATTGTATTTGGGATCCTCCCAGAAGATGTTGTGGCCGCGAGCGATGATTCTGTTGGCTCTGACGAAATTCATCATCTTATCAGCCAATGTGTAATTGAGTTTGCCTTGATCGGGCTCCGTCGCGTACCATTTCAGCTCGTTCTCGAACACAGTGGCGTCGAATCTCTTGACGAACCATTCCTACCAAAAAAACAGTTTCCGTTTAAAGAAGGAAGCAGAGGGAGGTTTGATCAAACGACATATGTTTTTAGTATAGAGAGTGTCTTTTACTTGGTAAGGAATGTTTCCAAGAATAGTTTTGGAGATGGCAGATCCAATGGGGAAGTCTTTAGAGATCTGCTCTACTGTCACCTCTGCTCCTTCAACGCTCTCTCCGTTTTCTTCGGACACGTGAATTGTCACTGCTCGTTTTCTCGCCTGAAAATAAGTGTTAAGCGATCCACATAAAGAATGTAATTCGCGAATTTTGGTGTTAGGAATTAGATTGTGTGTTTTACGGTATTAATGAAGTAATCTTGGATGTTCCTCCATTGCTCCTGCGTGAAGGGCTGAAGAGAAGCACTCGCCACTTGTAATTGGATCTTGCTATCGTCGTTTGATGTCTGCATTATCAGAAATTTACAATCTTTGGATCTTCTATTCTGATCAGATCTTTTGAATTGAGCATATATAGAAGAGTCTACCTCAAAGAAGAGGATGGATTGGTTACAAGGAGAATCAAGAAGGAAGCCGCCTTTGAGGAAAGACCAGCAACCATGTTTGGCTGTTACAGAACCGACGCAGTTTAAAGTGGCGTTGTCTGCTCTCAGCCTTGCCCTTACACGAGCTGATGCAGCTCCAGCCTCTATCTTCACCCAAACTGTTGTCCATATATCAGTCCCAAATCAGTCAGATCATCACATTCATTTCACCTTTTAACGTATATATATAACACTCTAATGAATATGCTTAACTGGAGAAGCAATAGATGGTGTTCTGCGTGAGATTGTGCAATATGTAAGTTGGTGTGTAACGAGCACCAATGCCTGTGAGAGAGTCTCTGCCTGAGACAGAAGGCTTTTGGTCCTTCAGCATTCCTCCGTTGTACAGTGGCTTCTCTGCTTCTGCTCTACACTGTTGCATTTGACATACATATATGTGTATAATTTTTCTATCTATGCGCAATTGTATATCTTGTGAAATTGATAGTTCAAAGCTTTAAAACCTCTGTGTAGGCGGTAGAGTCGTAGAATGGTCCATCTAGACCTGAAGATTTTAAACATCATCAAGCTAAAATTTTGTATACATATGTGTATTATATACTATGGTATGCTCTGATATACTTGTGTGTACCATTTGACGAAGAAGCAGGAGTGAAGGCGGTGAGGAGAGAAAGGGCCAAGAAAATCAAACAATACATGTAAGAGTATTTCATGACCATAACAAGAACACACAATTTTGAGATAGGAAAAGAAAAAAAGAGAAATTCGATCAGGGCGATGAAACGAAGTGCGTTGATGTGGTTGGATGGGTGGTTAGGCCAATCTCTATTTGGGAGAGTTTCAATCAGAGAGGGAACAATATAGTCAGAAACACTGAACCTATTGAGTGAGTTCACGTGATGATGTTGTTATACGCGAAGTGGGTTTTTGTGTCATGTGAAGTCGTGCTTTTATAGAGCTACTAGAGTACCACGGGTTGATGCTTTGGTTACAAGTTTCTTACCTAAATCGTAACATTTGGTTGTCTTTTTAAGTTTAAATGAATCAAAAAGTATCCTCTATATTTAAAAGTTAGAGATTTTGAATTAACATATAGTTTGATCCAAAGTTTAAATTTACAAGATTTTGTATTAATGTTTTTAATTTATTGCTCTATAGAAAACTCAAATATTTGGAAAACAACACATAAAAATATCATAGAGAACCATAAGTATGAACCACAGAAGTTATGAGAAGAGACCAAATTTTTTAAACATATATTTTTTTTAATTGATACAAAGGGAAATAAATATTATGGTCTATGCATTTAAATTACATTGTTATTTACATATGGATATAAATTTGCAACGAATTTAGCTAATTAAAGGGGAAACAAGATATGCAGTGAATTTGGTTAATTGGAAAACAAAAAATCTAATAAGGGCAAAAGAGATTTTTATGGGGGCAATTAAATTAAATTCCTTAAAAATCTCTCAAAAGATTTCAAAATGTTTAGGACCATTTTGCCCTTGCATGCGAGGCTTTGGGCTTTAATATGATCAGTCAGGCTTACTGAATTCTTTTATGGGACTTTCTTTGAAGCCCGTTCCAATCTCTCCGAGTCTGGAAATTTATTATTCAGATAGGACATTAATATTACTATTATTTTTCTTCTTCGTGAATTTTCTTTTAGTCTTAATGTTATAAGAAATTATACTAAAATTTTAATGCGCATGAAGATGATGATGATAATAATATCTACGTATTTCATTAAAAATCCACCTTGGGACGGTATACTTGACTAATATCGGTTGATAATCAATTGTGGTGGCGAGATCTCTTGGATCATCTTCGCTTCGCCGCTTGGGCGGTGTGGTCGTCGTCATCATCGTCACTACTAATTACTGTTGAGATTAAAAAAAAAATGCTTAATTGAGTCTCGTCGTCTTCTGCTTAAGCTTCATCATCATTTAGCTCCAGAGGTGGAGCTTTCTTCTCTCTCTCTCTTTTGACGACCATGGCGGCGGACGACGGCGACCCCACTAATTTCGCTGCAATCTACGACTCATCTTCTCCGTCGCACCCTCTTCTCTCTAAACCCTCCACGTCCGCTCTCGATTCTCCGCGTCGAAGTGATCCCGAATCCGACCCAACTCAATTTCTTCAGATCTCCTACAATTTTGGCCCCAGAACTTTCAAGGACATCCCTTTCCTTCTTCTCTTCGATCTTCTCGTACTCTCCACCTTTGGTTTTGGAATCTTCTCCCTTTTCCATAGAAACAGCGATTACGGGAGCTCCTCTTCCTTCACCTACGATTTCCACTCTAGCTCCTGCGTCAAAAATTCCACCTTTACGAAAATTTCGGATGGGTACCACTCGAGTGTCATGTACGGTATGGTTTCTTCGTCTGATCCAGTCTTTGAGAAGGATTTAATCTGGACCCTTGTTGTAACGCTCATCTTAAGCCTGCCCTTCTGTTTTAGCGTCCTGCTTTTGCTCAAACACTACACTAAGCAGATTGTTTATGCTTGTTTACCTCTCTTTGTCCTTTTCCCCATCTTTTTCAATCTCTATTGGTTTGTCGCTTGTACTCTTAGCGCTTCTTGTAGTGACGCCCTCCCTCTAGCTTACAGAATTCTTGTCCTAGTCTTCGTTTTCTTGATCATCGGGATCATTGTCTGGATCATAGTAGCTAATTGGCACAGAATTGAGCTCACTATCCAAATCATCAGTGTTGCATCGGATGCCTTGTCCAAAAATTTGAAGCTTTTTGTTGTGTTGCCGCTGCTGACTCTCGGGTTAGTGGTGTACTATGTGCCGATTGTGGTGTTCTTGGTGTTTGCAAGGTTTAATGGGAAGTTTGTGCCGCGAGAGTTGGATAGTCACTACTTTTGTGAGTGGAAGGAAGATTCTTGGGTTCCTGCGTATTACGCTCTTGCCATTTTAACGATGCTTTGGTCTCTTGCTGTAATGGTGGAAATGCAAGTGTATGTGATAAGTGGAGCTATTGCTCAGTGGTATTTCTCCAAGGAAGACTCAGTGCCTAAAAAATGCATCCGGAGTTCTTTGAGGTGATTCACTGCCACGTCTTTCCCTCTTTTATTCTTGCAATCAATGAATTTGTTTGTGTGATCTGGGGAGTTTTTGCTTTGAGGTCTTCTAGTTGTGTTTCCTCATAAAGTATGCTTCTTGTTTCAATCCTCACATCCAAAGTATCCCTTGCTTGGCTTCGTTCTTGAGTACTCAATGGTTTTAGGTCATGGTATTCATAGTCTAGGCCTTATGGATTGGATTCAATACATGTACTGGAACCCATCATCTTAACTGGTTTTGATACTTTAAATGTGAAAAGAGACAACAGAGAGTGGTATTTGAGGATCCAAATTTGCAATAGTCTCCTAATCTGTTGTAGGTTTATGTCAAGCATGTGTGAATCTTATTCTTTTTCCATATCTCTGTCTCTTCAGGAACGCATTTGGTCAATCCTTTGGTACAATATGTGTATCAGGACTTCTCATCTGCATTGTTCGTGTGGTCCGGGCAATTGTGGACAATGCAAGAGAAGAGAACCCACAAGGGATAGTGAACTTGGTTCTCCGTTGCTGTGCAAACGCCTTACTTGGAGCCCTTGATTATCTCAACAAGTTCACCATCAACTTTGCTGCAATAACAGGGGAAGCCTATTGCACCTCTGCGAAAATGACTTATGAGCTCTTAAGACGCAACCTACTGTCAGCTGTATTTGTGGAAACGGTTTCCACCAGAATCCTAACCGGAATAGTCTTTGTCCTCTCAGCCGCATATGCAGTCGCGGTAAGTATTAGCTTCTGCTTCTCATGAACTAAGCATCTACTAATTGTCATAGTTACTAACTTTGGGTTTTACGATGTGCAAAAGCAGACATGGGCTGTTCTGAGAGGCGTGACCAACCTGGGTATAGATTCGTACTTGGTGGCTATACTTGCGTGGCTGTTACTGATAGTGGTCTTGGCTTTCTTTGTACATGTTCTTGACGATGTGATAGACACAATTTATGTCTGTTACGCGATTGATCGAGACAAAGGGGATGTATGTAAGCAGGAAGTTCACGAGGTATATGTTCACTTGCCTATCAGCAGAAGCACAAGATCTTCTCTAATCCCAAATGCTCTGAATGCATAGGAGAAGATGATCCAACGTCTCTGCTTGTTGTATTTGTTTTTTTGTTTGTTTACACCATTGTAAATTCGTGAGTAGAGAAAGTGAATCTTTCGTTTGTCTTCTTGGGGTTTATATTGACGTTTTGTAGAGTTATGGGGTAATGTTGAATAAAAAAGAAATAGTGTTTTTATGAAAAACAACTAAAATGAAATAAACGTAAATTATTAGGGTATAAAAGGAGAAAGTGAAAAATAAAGGGCTCTATATAAAGAAGCACAAATATTTTTATTAATCGGTCTAAAATCTAAATCTTGCGTTCCTGACTTTCTCTCTACGACAGAATTTGAAGCATCTTCTCTCTCTCTCTCTACGATGGTTCTCGAGGTGATTTTCGAATTACTTGTGCTTCTGATCTGAGTATCTCTCGATTTCTTCTTGTTTGATGTTTTCTTTGTTGGTTTCTCCGTAGGCGACTATGATATGCATCGACAACTCCGAGTGGATGCGAAACGGAGATTACTCTCCGTCTAGGTTACAGGCGCAAACGGAAGCTGTTAATCTTCTTTGTGGGGCCAAAACCCAGGTAATTTTTCACTTGGGATTCGATTAGGGTTTTGGGTTGGCGTGAGATTGTGATTTAGGGATCTTTCTGTTTGCAAATTGCAGTCGAATCCGGAGAATACGGTGGGGATATTGACAATGGCTGGCAAAGGGGTTAGAGTTTTGACTACGCCTACCTCTGATCTTGGCAAAATTCTGGCCTGTATGCACGGTATGTCTCTCTCTCTCTCTCCTATCTTTCTCATTGGAAAAATCTCTTCTTTTTTTTTAGTTAGTCATCATTGAGTTTAATTTGCCAGGCCTTGATGTTGGAGGAGAGATCAATTTAACAGCAGCTATCCAGATCGCCCAGCTAGCTCTTAAGCATCGCCAAAACAAGAATCAACGCCAACGGATTATTGTTTTTGCTGGAAGGTACCCTATTTCTTGTTTGCTCATTAACCTTCTTTTTGTATAGTTATCTGATGTTTTTCTTGTGCTTCTACTTTTTAGTCCAATCAAGTACGAAAAGAAGGCCCTAGAAGTTGTTGGCAAAAGGCTGAAGAAGAATAGTGTCTCTCTTGACATTGTCAATTTCGGGGAAGATGATGATGAGGAAAAGCCTCAGAAGCTGGAGGCCCTCCTTAGTGCTGTCAATAACAACGACGGTAGCCACATTGTTCATGTTCCATCTGGAGCCAATGCTCTCTCAGATGTCCTTCTCAGGTACCATCCATTTTCTACTTTATCTAGATTGTTAATGGAACACTTTATACAATATCCCGGGTTGGGAAGGGCCTTGCATTTGGTTTGCTGTGTTTAGGTCTTTTGAGCTCTCTAGTCTTGCTTTTTATCATTGCTCTTTTAAACATAGATAGTGTTTTAACTTTTAAATTTTCTTCCAGCACACCTGTCTTCACGGGTGATGAGGGTGCAAGTGGGTATGTTTCTGCGGCAGCTGCTGCAGCTGCAGCAGGTGGGGACTTTGACTTTGGTGTGGACCCAAATATTGATCCAGAGCTTGCTCTCGCCCTTCGGGTCTCCATGGAGGAGGAGAGAGCAAGACAAGAGGCTGCTGCTAAGAAGGCAGCCGATGAGGCAGGTCAGAAAGACAAAGATGGGGACACAGCTTCCGCCTCACAGGAGACAGTTGCTAGGACAACTGAGAAGAACGCTGAACCAATGGTTAGTTTTAACTTAATTTGGTTGCTGTGATGTTTTAAAATTGAGTGTAGCATGCTTATATAGTCACAGGCGGAGAGATTGTTAATCATTAAAACTTTTTGTGGCAGGATGAGGACAGTGCGCTGCTAGATCAGGCAATTGCTATGTCTGTAGGTGATGTGAATATGTCAGAAGCGGCTGATGAGGACCAGGATCTGGCTTTAGGTAAGTAGAGCAGTGTGGTAAAAGTATATCCATGGCAATCAAAATTTGCTTTTTCTTGTAAGAAAAAGGAACAACTATCAGAAGATATATAATTGATACCTTTGGGTGTTCTGATGAAAGACCCTTGTATGTGCAGCTCTGCAAATGTCAATGAGTGGGGAAGAGTCAAGTGAAGCTACAGGTGCTGGAAACAACCTCTTGGGAGATCAAGCCTTCATATCGTCTGTTCTCTCATCGGTAAGCTTACGTAAAAACCGTAGTCAGGATTTTTCACAAGAAAAATGAAAGAGAAAAGTAGTAGTGGTAGCTTTGGTACTAAGACTTTGTGAACACGCAGCTTCCTGGGGTAGATCCAAATGATCCAGCGGTAAAAGCTCTGCTAGCGTCTCTGCCAGATGAGTCAAAGGTGCGTCTTTGTTGTTGTTGATGATTACATCTTTTTTGTTATTAGATAAAGAAGATTCTGATAAATGTATCTGGTTAAAATGAGGGCAGCGCAACGAGGAGGAAGAGAGTAGTAGCAAAGGTGAAGATGAGAAGAAGTGAAGAAGGAAGAGAGAGGTCTCAATAAAACTTCCTCTTGTTTCTTTGGTTTGATAGAGATTGGGACCGATTTTAACTAATCTCTCTGCCTTATGAACTTTGTTTTCTCTCTCTCACTCTCTTTATAATGTTGTTATTGTACGAGTCAAAGGACTAGCTTCCTTCTTAATTTTTATCGGACTTTGTGTCGAATGGGGCTCTTAGAAAGTAGGCCTGTATATTACATACAGATCTCGAACAATTTAGTAGAAAAAATGAGTCCTAAATTCGTAATGAACTTCATCGGAAGATCCAACCCTTACACAAGTGTAGAACTTGTCAAATTTGAAAATTTCTTACGGCAATGCAAAAGTCTAAAATGGTATTTAAATTTTGCTCACATATCTGAGAACTTAGTTTGCTAATTGCAAGCCGTAATTTGATCATTTACGTACATGTAAACTAAGATACACAAATTGAATTGTGCCATCGTTAAGACATTTTGGGAAAACTGATTAGTGAGAAATTTTCTTTGTTCCCTTTTAGAGCAAGATAGGGAAAGACAAAACAAGAGTCGAAAACTATAACATTAAAAAAGAAAAGAAAAACTCTGATAGAAGCTTCTATTGCATCTACCTAACACCTTTTGAAAAAGACGGTTTTAAAAAATGAAAGAAGAAGAAGAAGAAGAAGAAGAGGAGGAGGCAGGTGCGTCTGTCTTTGTTAACTTGTGTGGTCATCGTTTTGTCCTTTTCCCCTTTTTCCTTATCTTCAGTTCTCACCACTCCTCTCTCCCATCTCTTTCATTTCTACATGTTTTTTTTGTTAGTCCTTCACTTTCAAAATATTTAATCCACCCGCTCTAAAACTGTTAAATCTTCATGTTCGAAATTACTCAAACGTTTTCAATTTTTATTTCAGACTACAACTGATTTCGAATTTGTACAAAGATCTACTTGTTTTTTTTTTTCTTTCTAGTTTTAATATTTAAATTTGTTTCATTTGTTGATGCAACCTGAGAAATGTCGTATTGTTGAGTTCGTATCTTCATCAGAATGGTATATATATCAAACCCCAGTGCGAGTTATAACACCTTGTGATTTAAATATGGTGATCATATCATTTCTTAAGAGATCTATATAGGCTGAGTGAGATCGTACCAATATTTTGACCTAAAAAAAACAACTGGAGTGTATAACCATTTGATCGATTTTACATTTAAATATGTACGAGAGAAAGAAAAATATATCAATTCTTTTGGATTTGAGATGAGAATGTAGTAGCTAGAGGGGGTGTGTAGTGTTGGGGAGATCAACGAACATGTCCACCACCGATTTTACCAAGCATCTAATTACAATAGAGCAATGTTTTACTCTACGAGGCACTCTTTCTATAAATTCAAGCATGTGGCTACATTCAATGAAACGATCCTATACATTATTAAGATATATGCATGCATGTGTAGCTACCATTATATATACCATTATATATATATCTATGCATGCATGTGGTAATGTGGATATACAAGAGTATATGAATGTTATGCATGTGTGTATTCATGTATGTATGTATGCAGATGTGGATCGCATGCAAGTGGACAAAAGATGAGGAAAGGTTGGTATATAGGTTGGTAGGGAGATGGGTAGTGAGAAATAAATAGGGTTTGGTAGAAGAAAGGGTCCATTGGTTGTTGCTTCCTTTCCTTCATTTATGGTTTATAATATTATTTTTTTTCATATATATATCTCTCTTTCCTTTTTTTATCTCAAAAACATTTAAGTTTTCTCCTACCTCCTTTTCTTACCACTTATCTATCCGTGCCAAATTAACCACAAACATCACTTTCCACTTGTCATGAAACATTTGGATTTGTTTTGAATTTCACGTTCTTCTCCTAGATCTTTAATTATAGATCTTAACAAGGTATCATCTCTACTCTCTAGTAGTACAATCTAAGTATCATGTGATGAAGTATCTTTGCCATACCCATAATCTTTTTTCTTCTTATTTGGCTTATCTCCAACATTGGATAACGAGTTATTTGGGCAACCGACCTCTCTTACCTCATAAACTACTAATCCTAATCGTATTCTACGATTTTAAAAAATATTCTTATCTACAATATGTATATATATGTATTTAAACATTGAAAAACTATCAAACTAGCTTCCTTATTTTTCTATGGATAATTTACCACCGATCGTCTAGATCCGGTATTTAATATTTCTTTTTGCAATGAAGTTGATTTGGATAAAATATTTTCTACATTTTAAAATTCATCAACAGTTAAATTTCTCATACAAGTTGAAGAAGATTTACTTTCAAATTATCTAGGCAAAAGTTTTGTACAGTTACGCCTAATTTTGACAATATTAATTATTTCATCTCCAAGCTTCTAAAACCCAAAAGAGAAGTGGTCTCTTTCTTTGCCAACCCTAAAAAATCAAATCCCTTGCTCAAGTCACTCCCCTTGCTGCTACCTCCAACTACATCGCATCTCATTCTTCCGCATCTGCACTCCATGCCGTTTATCATCCCTAAGCTGCACTTGAAACAACGAGGCGTTGTTGACTTTCCGTGTCCCACCAAGCCTCGACGACGATCAACATCATCAGGAAGACTGATTCTGAGCTCAAGATTCAAATCTGGGAACTTTTCTGCAACTGGGCACTCGTCTTTTTCCTCTTTGAACGTAAGCATTGAGATTTTCTCTGGAAAACTTATACTCTCATGGAACGTTTCGACC